AATTTTAAACTTTCGTGTTTAATATACTTTATTTAAATTATTAACCGGGTCTTAGTTATATATATAATGACGCGGAATCACTGAGACAGGTACGTGTAAATATAAGATATTTGCTACGTATATATAACAGCCGAAGAACGATATGCACATATATGAAGGAGAATATCCTTACTCAAAAAAAACGCTCATTATTCAAGAACATTCTTTATGATAGTAAATACGTGTTCTATTATCAGATACTGTCAAACGTTGTTTTTCCAACGGCTAATTTACACGTCGAAACGGTTATTCAAGAACACCGTGACATTTATTACAGTCTTTATAGATTTTTATTTTATCAAAATACACAAAAAGATGTTTCTTAAATATTTAATTGGCTAAACATTCTTGGCCATAAAGTCATCCAATTTTGTGAAAAATTCTCACCATTTCATGGACATACTAAAAAGCAAAATATATATTAGATAATGGTGAGTTTTGACGTTGAATGTATTCATGTTCCAGTGAATGATATGGAGGTGAAAATATTAAAACATTTTTTTCTTTATTAGATGCAGGCTATTTTCTGTACCAAGGTGAATACTACCTTCAAATAGATGGCTTTGCAATGGGGAGCCCAGTGGCACCATTAGTAGCTAATATTTGGATGGACACATTCAAAGTGTTTCTCAGTCCATTAGAAATTAGCCTGTGGAAAAGATAATGATGATGTTTTTGCATATTTAAGACACAATGATATTACGTAAAATACCTAAATTCCATACATTCTAAAACCAAATTTACAATGGAATTGGAGAAAGATAGGCCTTGGACATCTGATGGTGAAATGGTTACACACACAGATAATACCTATGGATGCCTGAAATCATCACCCACGACATTTACAATCAGTCGTCACTATCTCACAAACAGAGCGTAAGATCTCTGTGCTTTTGTGGAACAAGAACTATCCTATTCAAGAAGTCGGAAGAGAAACTATCATAGAGAAGGCAAAATAATTGTATAAAAAACCGAAGTGAACAGACAGCCATATATAATAATAATTTACAAAATTCAGCACTAAATAATACTCCATTAAAACTACCGCAGTAACGAATATATAAATAAGCTTAAAAGTGTCTACAAAATTGACTGTAGTTGTGGTAGCTACTGAAACAAAACGATCAATAGAAGAGAGTCAAAGAGCACATTTTAAAAATCGACAACCACACAAATCAGCGATTGCCGATCATCTACGAACGCTGGAACACATCACTGGATTGAACTACATGCGCCTAAGGTCGCTGTTTTACCCACGAATGGTCAGGCGATTGAAATTAAAAAACATCCCAATTTCAACAGAGAGAAAAAATGTAATAGCATTTGATGATTGATATTGACTGTGTGTCATGTTAAACAGTAACGGTAGATGAAGAAAAAACTGCTGAGTTAAATGGATGAAAGTACCACGTGTAATCAAACGTGAGAGAGAAAAACCATAAAATTATTCGTGTTAAGAATTAATTAAATAAGTATATTATTTATGCCCTTTTGCCATCTCGATATGAGGTACAATTAAATACAATACAAATAACGAGAACATTTGGACATATCAATAAAATTCACAAGAATCATCATCATTGCCTTTAATCTGTTGGACATCTAGGAGCAATTGTAAAGTCTTAAAAATCAATCTTTTTTGTTCATGAAGGACCCTCCTTTTAAGCTTTTTCACCCTCCCAATTTGTTACAACTGGATTAATACAGTTTTGTCACTAACACCGCAACCTGAAACTAACTCTGACGTGGATTGCGATGGATCTGCTATCATAATTACCAACCTTGGACGTTGTTTTGCAGGGGAACGAAAACGTGCAGATTGTGTTTTCATTTGCCAAATCCATCATTAATCCTTCGAAGGACTAGTATGGAGCACGTACTGTAAATGACGCGATATTTTAAGTTTTCCATTTTGTAAGCTGAAAAAGAAAAAACGCACATATATTCAAAAACAAATGCATGGGTGAATAGCCGTATAAATTTGAAATTGAAATTTCTAACCAAAGAGGAGATATTTAGATCAAAGTGGCCATTCGACAAAACGCTAATTTCATATGTAAGAACCTAATATATTTCAGATTTAAAAAAAAATGGCTTATTCATAATATGTATAATGTTTTTAAATATACAGTAATCAAAAGTTTTATAATTAATTTTATAGTTAAATTTTATATTTAATATTTAACAAAAATGCATCGTAAATGAAACCACTGAGTTTTTTGACAGAGAAAACGTCAAATGTAAATTTCTCGACAACCCGAGAAGACCCGAGAATGAATCGGCCTTGAGTTGGTATCATGAACTCTGTCAAACAATCATACTCATGAATACAAATATTTGAACCCTGCGAGGAATCGAACCCGCGGCCATCGGATGTAAAACGGTGTTCTTAACCGCCAGACCACCGAGGCCGTCAATTTTTTATTACAAATGTTTAATACCCAGCTATATCGTGTATCGTTAGTTATATATGTAACTCAGGTAGGTACGTGTAATATGGCTAGTTATATATGTACATTATGTACCTATATGAAGGAAATTATTTAAATAATCATTATTCAAGCTCATTCTTTATTATCTAAATAGGTCTTTATTTAGTTACTGTCAGTTGTTTTTAAAGGCTAATTTACACGAAACAGATTGCATTTATTACATAGATTTTTATTTTATCAGATGTTTCTTAAATATTTAATTGCATTTCTTGGTATAAACGCCTCATTATGAGAAAATATATATTATGTAAATGTATGTCATACACTGATAATGAAAATATTAAAACATTTTTTCTTTATTACTAACCAAAATGTAGACTGTCAGGTACACGTCAACCAACGTCGTGCTTCCTCAGCTTTAGCGACCAACCAATGATGATGACCCAAATAATGATATAAAAACAAAAGAATGATATTTTCTATAGTACGTAGGTGGCAAGCATACGGCCCATCTGATGGTAAACGGTTACCGTAACCTATGGATGCCTGAAACACCTCGGGTTATCGGCCCTGTCGGGTCCTTCCGGGCCCTATCGGACCCTATCGGGTCGGATAGACTATCATAGAACTAAAATTGTATAAAGATTGTACTGTATATAATAATAATAATTTATTCAGCATGTAATAAATCACAGTAAAATATAAATCTTAAAAGTTAATATCGCGCTATGAGCTGAAAGGAACCTCCACTCAGCAGCTGCAGTGAATACGCTGCACCGTGTTCACTGCAGCGCTGATTTTCAATGGAGCCGAAAAAATGTAATAGCATTTGCATTTATTAAGTTTATTGTGCAAAAAAAAAAAAAAACAGTTACAAAAATGGACTTAGCTAAGGTTCTATATCTACTATATATACATATAACTTCACTTTTTATACTAATTTAAAATTTTTATGTAGACAAATCGATTGTATATTAAAAAGTATATATAAAAAAAGAAGAAACAGATACAATATTTAAGTCTCAATATAACATTATGTCACTGCTGTCCTTACTAGGTCATTATAATGACCTGTATGAAGGAATTTGATAATGATATTATTGACTTTACATGTATAAAACGAAGAGTTAAATGGATGAATTAGAAGTATGTGTAATCAATGGACGAAAAACATAAGGATAAAATTATTAAATAAGTATATTAATATGATATAACTTAAATACAATACAAATAAAGACTTTCTCTTTACAAGAATCATCATCATTGCTTTTACCACATGCTAAAATCGAGGTGGTCTTAAAAATATCACGTTTTTTTCGGACTACTCTAATGCTGTTGGCCGCAGCTGGCCTATTTCAATATGGCACTCCAAACCAAGGAAGGACTTATGGAGCGGCTGAAGGCCAACTCCAGCCTGAAAATGTGACATATAATATTAGATTGTATAAATTTATTTATAGCGCCATCTAGTGTAGAGTAGATAAACTAGATAGTTTCTAATAATAGCAAGAACAGTAGTGCTATTCTGTAAATGCAAGTTCGATATCTATGCTCACTCAGTTGACAGAACTCACTTGGAAACATGAATCGGCCTTGAGTTGGTATTCTGTAAACAAGTGAAACGCAAGACAAAGTGAAGGGAATTAAAAAATGAACGATCGTCATTAGAGACAGGCACTCTGCGCCATGTTGTTTAGTCATTATATTGACTAATTTATTTACGATTTAAATATTATATTTCTTTTTGCTGCAATCGTACATTAATAAATTGTAAAATGCACTGCGTTCGAATTGTACTTATTGTTGTTTGGTTAGTTCAAGGAACATAATAAAAGAGGTTATGTTTGTTTGTATGATGTTATTGTATGAACATATAGTGTTTGAGTGCTTAAAATTTCGATTAACATTTAGTTCAGTGAACATTTGTGTTTTGTAAAAAGTAGAAGTTAAAATGAAGTGAGTATTGAAATGTATTACGGAGTTTTATCGTAGTTCTAGATGTTACATTTGTAAGTGTGTATTTTTTTTATGAATGACTAGCGGTTCCCGCGACTTCGTCCGCGTGGAAGTTGACTTTATTTTTCTAAAATAAAAGTAACCTAAGTTACTCCTTATTACAACAGCTACCTGTCAAAATCCAGCCATTTCAGAGATTATCCAGAGCAAACAGACAGACAGACAAAACTTGTAAAAAATGTTATTTTGGTGTATGTACCGTATTTATATTCATATGCATGTAGTAAGAAACGATTATTTCAATATTACAAACAGACACTCCAATTTTGTTTATATGTATAGATGTATAATGGACTGAAGCATCCGCCTGCGCTAACGGATTACGCTGGCGGGGCACCGGTGTAATATGATAAGATGAGCATAAAGTCAGATCAGTTAGCCCATCGTGACCTATTCGCCAAGAATTTATCACGATGGTTTCCAGGGGAACTGCGTGGAGGTCAACCTGATATGGTGCATTGCTAGCAATGGGGTCATGAGTCCACATGCTCCTTCCCCGTGTATTCTTTTTAGTTCTACCGAACGAGCTGCACACCCATCTCGGGCGCAAATTGATGCGCTCTTGCTCTTTCTGGAGCAAAACCGCAGTCTGGCTAAAGGATTTCCAAAAGTGCCTAGTGCTCGAGATAAGGCAAGAAAGAAATGGCAGGAAGTGTCACCGAGCTTAAATAACTTAGGAGGAAGTATGAAAACGTGGAAGCAGTGGACTAAGGTTGGTAGTTTGAATTAATATTATCTAACGTATCATTACATAGTATAAAACAAAGTCGCTGTCGCTGTCTGTCCGTCCCTATGTATGCTTAAATCTTTAAAACTACGCAACGGATTTTGAAGCGGTTTATATAATAACTAGCTCGCTCCAGCTTCGCCCGGGTGTACGTATTATACATATAAACCTTCCGCTTAAATCACTCTATCGATTAAAAAAACCGCTTCAAAATCTGTAGTATGCGTAGTTTTAAAGATTTAAGCATACATAGGGACAGACAGACCGCGACAGCGACTTTGTTTTATACTATGTAATGATACTGACTTAAATAATTTATTATATACTAGCTGTGCCCGCGATTTCACCCACGTTAAATTTAAAAAAAATATATATAGACTGCGTTTTTCTGATGCATAAGCTATATTACTGTAAAGTTTCATCGATATCCGTTCAGTAGTTTTTGTTCTCGCAAAAACTACTGAAAGAGTAACAAACATCGATACTCACAAAATTTCGCGTTTATAATATTATTAAGTTAAGATATAAATGTTTTTATCAATCTGCGTGTTTTACACAAATATCCTTTATTTATTAGGAAATTAAACTGACAATTTGTAAACAATAGCAATTTGTTGTAGTATTGGGCCGATAAAAAGAGTGCAGTTAAAAAAAAGGCCATACTGCGCTCTGAGGAGCGGCGCAACTCTGAAGCTGGAACTGAGGAGGTGGTGGAACTTACGGATGTAGAAGAGCGGATTATATCATTAATGGGTGGTGAGAGCTTCACAGAAGGCAACAAACCTAGTGCAAATAACACTTTTGCAGTGAGTAACATCCTGTTAATATTATTTTACATTCATTCATTGTTTGCCTTATTTTTTCACATTGACTATAATTTAAGATTCCTATAGGTTGAACCCGTAGATAACATGGTTTTGTCCAGACGCCTAAGAGGTGGATTTCTCAGAGCTCGTCAAATTAATAGATTTTAACATTTTATCATTTTTTCAACAAAAGATGCAATTTACAATATACAGATATGTATAAAGAAAAAGAATTATTAAAACAACATGATTTGCTGAGTGCTAAGTTATAGAAGTAATTATTTATTTCAGACTCTTGTCACAATATGTTTATAAAATATGTTTTCTCATTAATTTTGCAGAGTTTTGTACCTGCAGCACAACACCGGCAACCCTCTCCAACACAAGATTTCAAAATGGTTATTGATATTACAATGAGTATATGAACAATAAAATGTTAATAATAATAATAATATGTATATTTATGTAGTTTTTAAAATATTTTTAAACATGATTTCAGGAAAACTCTACGAGCGATCCTTTGGATGAAATAACTAGTATGACAAATGCTGACAGTCCCATATCAATGGTTAGATACTATCTTTTTTTATTTGTAAGATCATATACAGAAAATATACTATAAAAAAATATATTAAGTGAGAGACCATGCTTTGTATTGTATGTAAGTAACTTGGAAACTACTACTCTCCCACTATACAATCATGTACCTGACTGCTAGAAATAACTAATTTATTATTTCATTTGAACACAGATGGCTGAAGAATTAGAAAGTAATACTAATGCAGGCTCCCCGCAAGCTCAATGTTACCAAACTGCGTCTCCACATCAGTATAATTCGCCAACTCGCAGCACGCAATCACCTCGTCATAATACAAGTAATTGTCTTTTTTTAATATGTAGAGATAACATTTTTTTTATCAGACATTAATTTTATTTATATTTGCACCGCCAACAAATATTCTCAGCACAATCCATGACTAATAGAGAATACCTCATATTGTTAAGTATGCCTGTAAATGTTGTATTGGGTGCATTGAAGTTAAAAAAATAAATGGAATAACTACCCAAAAGCCAGATATATAGCCTAAAGTATACTCGATGATATTTGATTTGATTTCTGAAACTGAACCGGTTTTGTTAAAATAAATCAAAATATTCATGTAGGTCTATTATAGACTCTTATGATAAATTAAATTTATCCTAAGTTCGGAATGTAGTTTGATAAAAAAGAAAACACAGGAAACACTCTTTCCAAAGGCTATTTTATTATACTTCATTATAATAATCAGGTGTCCAGTACCCACACCCCAAACTCACTTCAGCTTGGGACTAGATGGCGCTGTGTGAATTGTTCATGGTTTATATAAAAATCTACTTTGTTTCTTTAGGAATGTCTATCTGTTAGTACACACATACGCGGGGCAGATATTTGTATCCGTTCCGGGGATTGCCATTTATAAGCGTATTGCCACTTATAAGGTACTAGAACTCGTTCCACCATTGCCGTTTAAAAACGGGGAAGATATTAATAACCGTTTAAAATAAGTGACACAAGGGAAAATACAATACAATATAATTAATTCGAATACAAATGCCTGCCCCGCTCATAATGTGTTAATGATTTTTTTCTTTAAATGTCATATTTGGTATTGTTTATATGATACAATATTTTATTACAGTTCCACACCGCAGGCGAAGGTTATTACCCTTACCTTCACAACGTCGATCACAATTTTTAAACATCACTCATCGCTTCCTGAGGGTGGAGGAGCAGCGGTTGGAGTTGGATCGCAGAATCGTTACAGTGATGGAGGACATGTCGAGTGTGATGAGGGAACTGTTGCAGCGAGACCGTGATAGAAACCATCACATTGGTCAGGGATTGTTGGCTATCGGCGAGGGTTTAAAATTATTAGCAAGAAATTCAAACCAATAAAGTGCTAAAAATAAATATGTTATGTTATTGTTAAATTTTTATGTTCACTTTATTAGTAGAGAACTTAAATGTTTTTATGTCGTCGTTGATTTTTTATTGTATTCATTTACTAATGAAGGCTATAAAAGAATAGCTTTGAGGCTGGACTCATTGCCCCCTCTTGCAGTGATCGAAGGAGAAGGGAAATAAAGAACTCACCCAAATTGCACAAAATTATAGTATATAGATGAACTGCATCGACGACTTGAAGCACTTGAGTTTGAGTTGTAGACCGTTTTGTCTAGATTATTCATTCTAAATTTTATTATAAGCATCGATTGTAATAGTTTAATATTTGAGACAAATAAATATCCTTTACTCTTATAACACTATAAAATCAAAAGATTGTTATACAAAAATGTGAGCAAGGGTGGGCTTATCTCTGAAAGAGATCTCTTCCAGCCAACTATGTAATGCTGTAACATAGGTGGTAGTTAAGTTACTGTCGGACAACGATAGTGCTCAAGTTTGAGTAATTACAATATTATAATGTATATTTTACAAAATTATAAAAACATACAAATAAAGATTATTAATATTATAAATCTTTTTATTTTTATCTCTTTATTTTTTATGTTTATCTTTTATCTCTTTATTTTTTATGATTAAAACCTATATACGAATAGTGTTTTACATTCTCTGTGATATTTTAACACACAGCATATGTTTGTCAATATTAGGATGTTGGATCTCGATCTTCCTTTAAGCTACCAATGGCCTTTTCAATAATATTATAAGTGATAATAGTATGTTGGTGAAATCAATGGTCTGTTTATAAATTTGGCATTATAAAATTGAAGAATTTATAAACGATTGTAGAAAATATCTAACTTAAAATTCATAGACATTGTTAATAAAAAAAATGATGACTATCCAAAAATCTTAAAATAATACATTTAAAAGTTTTCTTTAATAAACGATTTGAATAAAGATTATTTATATTTGATTTATATTTCATTTAAGATATACAGAATACCAATATTGTCCTTTAGATGCAACAAATGTCAAAAAATCACTGGTGACTGTTTTACGTCTATCCCGCTCTGGACCGTGTGGCGCTACAGTCGCTTCCAAAATAGAATCTCACTGCGGAATCCGCTTACGAATTCTTAAGTGATGTTTACAGAATAGCTATATATATATCTTATATATAAAATTCTCGTGTCACAGTTGTCGTTCCCATACTCCTCCGAAACGGCTTGACCGATTCTCAAGAAATTTTGTGAGCATATTGAGTAGGTCTGAGAATCGGCCAACATCTATTTTTCATCACCCTAAATGTTAGGGGTAGTCTACTCCTAATTTTTATTTTTTAGACAAAATTTTTAGTTTCTATTTTTTTATGATACAACATACAAAAATACATACAATCCTAAATTTTCACCCTTCTATCATCAAACCCTATTTTTTTATAGCGTTATTAATTTATATGGGAAAACAACGTTTGCCGGGACAGCTAGTATATATATATAGATATACATTTTGCATCTATTACTATGTTGTAATATGCTTACACTGTCTGTAATCACTTTTTCATTGTCAGATTATTGGTCATGTATTTATATGTGTATGGTATTTTTTTGTATATATATATATATATATATATATATATATTTATTCATGTATATTCTATAAAATGATTATATTTATTTGTATATCTATACTCATGGTTGTATATATTTATTCATGTACTCTTTACTTAGGTATTCTATTAAATTTAAATAAAATAAATGAATAAATAGCTCTACAGAAATCCTGAATTATTATGCTAATTTTTTTTATGGATGATAATGAAATGGTGCACCCGCCAGCGCTAACGGTTTACGCTGGCTGGGCATCAGTGGAGGATAATAAGATGAGCATGAGGTCAGGTCAGTTAGCCCAGAAATTGAACATGATGGTTTCCGGGGGGAACCGCGTGGAGGCAACCTGACATGGTACATTGCAATGCGGTTATTAATTCACATTACTAACAATTCCCGTCCCCATCAATCATCAATCAAAAGTATTAATGTTATTTGAGGAAATAAATGTTAATTTATTCATATACCTGCAAATCATTATGATGATACAGCAATAGTATCATCTGGTAAGTGCCCATAAATTACGTGAGATGTTAATGGGGGGGGGGGGGGGGTCAAGTCAAATCTCATTTAATCTTACGTTGGAGAGGGGGGGGGGGGGGTCTCGACAAATATCACGCAATTTTTTCTGATTGTTACAAAAAAATATATACTATTTTGGTTCATTTAATCCAGATTGTACATGCTTATTACACTTATAACTCTCAGCAACATTGATTACTAGTCTTAATTAGTCGTAAATAAAGCATTTTTTTTCCTTTTACAATAACAATCCAACGCAAGAAAGCCAAATTTTGATAAATTTCACGTGAGATTGAGGGATGGGGGAGAGGGTAGAATAAAATCTCACGACATCTCACCAGGCGGGAAGGGGGGAGAGGGACAGAAAATTAAAAAAAACACCACGTAATTTATGGACGCCCCCTAAATAACTATGTCATAGTAAGAACCCCATTTCTGCTCCTCCGATCGGTCCCCCGTCCAATTCAAACGGGGACCGATATTACGACGGCCTGAGCCGGGGTTCGTTTGGCAGGTAGCTGATGAAATAAGGAGTAACTTAGGCTACTTTTATTCTAGAAAAATAAAGTTAAATTCCACGCGGATGAAGTCACGGGAACAGTTAGCAAATAAAATAAATACTCTTGTAACAGTCGCACAAGTAAAACCACACGGCAAAATTGTATGTGAATAGGTATTAAGGAAATATACTTTTTAGAATTCTTTTCATTACAGTACTCCATTGTACTTAGTATCTGTCACAATGATCTGATTATGTCTTACAAATAACAGGGAACTCTTTATGTAATACTTAATTGGTTTTTATAATAACATATTTACTGGAAAAATGGACTAAATTACAGACAGGTCATCGGGTGATGCTTCGCTAACCCACTGAACGATATCGTATCAAAACGATTATTGTTCTGGTCGGTAGGTACAACAACACTACTTTATTACCTATACATATATATACTATAGTCCGCTCAATTACGTTGCCATAACTCTCTACAGTTTATTTAAATCGTCGGATAACGGACGAGTCAACGTACGCCGGTCCTGCGTGATCATTCGACAGTACACTTCAGATAAACAAGGTGAGTTCACTTGTAAAATATCTTGTCATACATTTTGAGGTTATGTTGTTTACTTTTTTTATATTTAAAATATTTATTAATCTAATAAAATTCTACTGTTATCTATAATATAAATATACAAATTAGAACCTTATTGTGTAGTATATATAGTAAAAAATCCTTTACTTTACGAATTACGTTTATTAGGAGTTACAATGTATAATCCGCCGAATTTAATAGGCATCTTGCGTTGAGAGCGTAATATTCGAGATGGTTAATTTTCATTGGCGGGTTATGCAAATTAAAGGTTATTATGATTGTCAAATGTGACGTTTTCAACCCTTACACAATAGTAGTTTATGGCATTAGCTTGTTTTGTAGCTGTCAATTAAACAAACATTTTTTGCGCTGTACGCCTACATTAATCTCAACAATTCAAGACATTTAAAAATATATATAAGAATATAAAAAATATGAAGACATGGCTGTATGGGTGCAGTTCCCTTTGCCTTTCCTATAAAGGATAAACAGAACCAAAAAAAAGACTGACAAAGTTGTTAATTACATCCGTCTTTGTTTACTTATAAGTATATTTTACATATAACTTGAACTCAGTTGTAAGAAGTTACAATAATTAAAAAAAAACATTGGGATGCTTTTTTTTAATTACTAGTAATGCTTCTCATTCGTTGTCATGTTTGAGACCTTTATTGCTATGTTTTCGCACCCTATAAGGCGTTATTAGATAATTAAATGATGTAAACAATATTCTTAACCCGTAGGGGGTTAAGAATTGGTGATAAAGTATCGTTTAGAAAAAGTCAATAGATCTTTTATGGGAATAGGTATAAAAATGTACAAATAAATACCAAAGGATATATTGAAATTACCCTTAAATAAATTCAAAACATCTGTTAAATCATATTTACTGAGCGAAGCCTATTATTACTCACTAAACGATTACTTGAATGACGAGCGTGCATGGCAATAGTTGTTCATACACGGGATTTTCATTTAATGTTAGACATAGACACCTATATAAATATACATTGTAAATAAACTGGCTTTAAAAAAAAAGTAGGTAATTCCATTGAGTTTCTTGCCAGTTTTTCTCAATTGGATCTATATACCGAACTGGACGGTATGGAAAGAAATTAAATTATAATGTAAAAAACTTGACGTTCATAAGCGGCTAAAATGTCCTACATGAATAAATGATTTTTGAATTTGAATGGGGAGAATTTCTCCTCGCCTACCTTCAAAAAAGTGTATTTAGCGTACCGCTTTATTTTGTATCAAATTATATCCATAAAATGAGTAGATATCGTATTGAGAGGAGTTGATACACATTAAGATGTCATGATTTTATCACAACAAGATGACAATACAAGATAAATAAGCTAGATATGATAACAACAGAACAAATACAAAAAATAGATACAAGTGGTTATACAACTAAGAATATTAAAATTTCATTTATTAATTTACATGTATGTGGTGTAGTGGTTTAGTACACCATCTTATTTCCTATGGTCGCGGGTTCGATTCCTTGCATGGTACATACATTTGTATTCATAAGTATGATTGTATCGGTCTGGGTGTTTTCTATGTATATTACGTATGTATTTACAAATATATAGATAAATAATAATAATAATAATCTCAGGACAATTCACACAGCGCCATCTAGACCCAAGTTAAGCTAGCTAAAGCTTGTGTGATGGGTACTAGATAACTGATACATATACATAGTTTTTTTTGTAAATACATACATATTATACATAGAAAACACCCAGACCGATACAAACAATCATGCAAATGTTTGTGCCGTGCGAGGAATCGAACCCGCGACCATCAGTCGTAAAGCGGTGTGCTAGACCGCTAGACCATCAAGGTCGTCAAAAATGATGAACTTCAACCTCTCTTCTACCATAGATGTCAGTGACGGTTGAGAAGATTGTGGATCCTGTAGTGCTGGGCGAGGGTCCACACTGGGACGAGAAGCAGCAGGCGCTGTTCTTTGTCAGCATCCACGACCGTACCATCCACAAATACGTGCTAAGCACCAAGGAGCATACCAAGACTAAACTCGGTGAGGATTTTGTTTCCTTTTGTGGCATTTACCGGGATTTTATCTATTTCAATCTTAAAATTGTTTTTACCTTATTCAAATAAACTTAATAGAGGTTACTTTTGAATGGTCAAATCTTTTTTCTTTCTACCACTCATTTGGAACGCAGACTCATCACAAGAAGCAAGGGCGATAAACTTGTGTGTTACTCTTTTGAATAAATGTTATTTTTTACTAGCTGTACCCGCGACTTCGTCCGCGTGAAATTTAACTTACTCTACTCAACTACTAACTACTTACTTAACAAAAAAAGATTTTTTCTAAAATAAAATTAGCCTAAGTTACTCCTTATTACATCAGCTACCTGCCAAAAAAAATCCCGGCAAAATCGGTCCGGCCATTTCAGAGATTAACCGGAACAAACAGACAGACAGACAGACAAAAATTGTAAAAAAATGTTATTTCGGTGTGTGTACCGTATTTATATTCATATGCATGTAGTAAAAAAAGGTTATTTCAATATTACAAACAAACACTCCAATTTTATTTATATGTAAATATAAATAAATACATGGAGGCATAACAAGTAGAGAGGCATACGATAATCAGAATGACCGCTATGTACCCATTCCTAGTGCAATGAGATAATATCAGCGCTATGAATTTTAATTATTTTCTACAGAAATATTACTATAATTAGCAAACTCTTTTAATAAGCAAATTTTATAATAAGCTTTTATAAATAAAGTGTTTGACCAGACATTGGAATCTTTTCTTTCGGGGAGATATAGAACAAAAAACTACCTATATTACCAACTTCCTGGGTATAAATACTGCCCCTACTATTTTTTTTATTGGATTGTTTGGGCTATTAATAATAATAATAATAATCATCTAAGGACAATTCACACAGCGCCATCTTGTCCCAAGTTAAGCTAGCTAAAGCTTGTGTTATGGGTACTAGATAACTGATACAAGTACATAGATAATTTATTTTTTCGTAAATACATACATATTATACATAGAAAACACCCAGACCGACGCAAACAATCATACTCATGAAAACAAATGTTTGTGCCGTGCGAGGAATCGAACCCGCGACCATCAGTCGTAAAGCGGTGTGCTAGACCGCTAGACCACCGAGGTCGTCATTGTTAGGATGAGCATGTTTGTAGCACTGCGACCGTAGCGACTGTAGCACTGCGACCTACATAGATCTATTGTGCTCGCCCTTTTCAGAGTTCGCTACCTAGACCCGTCAGGGACAAGAATTGAAGGATATTCTTAGGAGCGATGGTTTTTATCTCCTCGGGAAAGAGTGTAAACTTTCCAAAGGAGATATTTCGTTTATGCATGAGTGGGCTACAACCACATTGGATGTGTAATGGAATTTCCTCTTCAGTTTGACAGAATCTGCAGATTTTTGTCGTGCATAGGCCTAGTTAGTGCCCCTACTAACAAAGTTATATATATAAGTGTTTATATGCAGCCCAATAACTCATTTAAAAGGCAGATATCAGGTATCTAGAGGTATAGTGATTTATTATGGTAAATATATACTGTTAGCGCAGGTGGGTGCGTGGTAGCGCATTTTTTTTCGGACTACTCTAATGCTGTTGGCCGCAGCTGGCCTTTACAGCTTCACCGGACGATAGGGGGCGAGTGCAGATGGCACTCCAAACCAAAGGAAGGACTTGTGGAGCGGCTGAAGGCCAACTCCCGCCTGACGGATACGACTTTAGTCTAAGGGCACTACTAGGGGTTCGAACCTCGGCTCGGCTCAGGGCGACGTAATTTCGATCCCCATTGAATTGGACGAGGGAACGGTGGGGGGGGGGGGGGAAGAGGATTGTTAGTAATGTGGACTCATGACCCCATTGCTATCAATGTACCATGTCAGGTTCCACACCTCCACGCGGTTCCCCCTGGAAACCATCGTGATAAATTCCCGGTGAATTTATCACGATGGGCTAACTGACCTGACCTCATGTTCATCTTATCATCCTCCACTGGTGCCCCGCCAGCGTACACCGTTAGCGCAGGCGGGTGCATCATTCCATTATCATCCATAAAAAAAACGGTGGGAGGGGCGACCGGGGTACTGGTGTAAAGCGCCGGGTTGAATGCGTGGCATTGTGTGGTTGAGGTCGTCGTCTTCGTCGGCGAGGACGGTGTCGTGTGTGTGTGTGTGAAAGTATGATCTGGACGCTGATTGTAAGCGTATACCTATGTAAATTTCCATTCCTTATGTTACAGATGGTCCAGTGGGTTTCATTGTCCCAGTGGAAGGCACAAGTGACCAGTTCGTGGTTGGAGTGGGACGTAAGTTCCAGGTGGTGCGGTGGGACGGTAGAAACAACAGCCCTGCTACCGTAGTTAAGGAGATTGGAGAAGTAGACCAACATACAAATCCCACTACGAGACTCAACGACGGGAAAGCAGACCCGAGGGGCAGACTCTATGCAGGTGTGCATAACTTACATTTTTTTTAATTCGTAGTTTATTTATTTACTTTAGGCAACTTACTATCATTATTACATAGTATAAAACAAAGTCGCTGTCGCTGTCTGTCCGTCCCTATGTATGCTTAAATCTTTAAAACTACGCAACGGATTTTGAAGCGGTTTTTTTAATAGATAGAGTGATTCAAGAGGAAGGTATATATACATGTACACCCGTGCGAAGCCGGGGTGAGTAGCTAGTTATTTATAAATCAATACTGGCCCGTATTATATACTCTTAAGGACTAATATATATAGAAAATAATATAATATAATCTTAAATATAAAAATATATATTCTCGTGTCACAATGTTAGTTATCATACGTTTTCGAAACGATTAGACCGATTTTTTTGAAATTTTATATTCACATTCCGTAGGTCTGAGAATCGGCTACTATTTTTCATACCCCTAAGTGTCCATGCTTAGATTTTGCGTTATGTAATGTATTTCCAAATCAAAATTTTCACCCTGCCCGCACGCCTGCTTGATATTTTTGGCCTATGTGTTATTCTGATGCATAAACTATATTACTGTAAAGTTACGTCAAAATCCTTTCAATACCGCTAAAAAGATTCCATTTATCGTATCTCCTCAGTTTCAAGACACTCTCCTTGATGTGAAGCCAAATCTCGAGGTCCTTGGCGTTGATATATCAAGTGACGTTCAGTTTTGCGGTCATTTGGAGGACAAGGCTAAAATAGCCTCAAAAAAGCTTGGTGTGCTCAGTAGAGTGAGACGGTATTTCACGGCGGCCCATCGCTTGCAATTATATAAGGCGCAGATCCGGCCGCATATGGAATACTGTTCTCACCTCTGGGCGGGAGCACCACAATACCAACTACTTCCATTTGACCGCATTCAGAACCGAGCAGTCAGAATCACTGGTAATCAATGTCTATGTGACAGATTCGACCCATTGGCTTTGCGGCGAGATATTGCATCTCTGTGCATTTTCTACCGCATATATCACGGGGAGTGTTCTGAGGAATTGTTCGGATTAATACCAGCTGCTGAGTTTCAACACCGTACCACCCGCCAGAAACTGAAATACCATCCTGATCATCTGGATGAATGGCGGTCTTCCACAGTACAGTTTTCTAGAAACTTTTTGCCCCGCACAACCACATTGTGGAATCACCTTCCCGCAATGGTATTTCCGAACCGATACGATATTGAAACCTTCAAGAAAAGAGCTTATTTCTTTTTAAAAGGCCGACAACGTACTTGAAATTCCCCTGGTGTTGCGGGTGCTCATGGGCGGCGGTAATCACTTACCATCAGGTGAGCCGCATGCTCGTTTGTCCCCTGTGTTATAAAAAAAAAAAAGTAATTTTTGCGTGAAAGAGTAACAAACATCCATCCATACTCACAAACTGTCGCGTTTGTAATATTAATAAGATTATTATATTTCTAGGCACGATGGGCCACGAGGAGCCTCTAGGCGTCTTCATACCAGAGCAGGGCGCTTTCTTCCGTTTGGACGGTAGCAGAATCATAAAGCTGAGCGACAAGATTGGGATATCCAACGGTCTAACTTGGGATCTAAAGGAGAAGGCTATGTACTACATAGACTCGCCTGAGTTGAATATCAGGCGATATGACTATAATGTTGAAACAGGAGAAATTTGTAAGTACAACCATGAACCATTTTCACCCCTTTTTCGTCACCCATTTCACCATTACAGTGCCTTGTGTGTGTGCCTTTAACGTGAATAAACATTTTATCTATCAATCCAGATCCACTAATAAATTTATAAAAAAAAAATTTTTTTCCAGCAAACATGAAACGCATCTTCGACTTCAAGAAAAAAGGAGTGAACGGCACCCCTGATGGTATGACCATCGATACGGATGGTAACCTCTGGGTAGCAGTGTTCGACGGATCTAGCATCCTCCAGATAGACCCGAGAGAAGGTAAATTGCTCAGACAGATATCAATACCGGCTAAGCAGGTGACCTCTGTTACATTTGGCGGGCCGAACTACGACATCTTATTTGTTACAACTGCAAAACTGAAAATTAACAATGTGGAACAGGAGCCCCCGTGTGGAGCCACCTTCAAGGTAACTGGTTTGGGAGTCAAGGGATTCCGTAATAATAATTTTAAGTTGTAAATTTTATATAACCTCAAACTTATTCTTGTCCCAGCATATTTGGATAAAAACCTTAATAATATAATTAGTTTCTTGTCACAGCATGTTTGTATAAAAACCGTGATACATCTAATAAACCTTATTAATATGGTATAGCATACCTATTTGTATAAAAACCTTCAAACAATATAAAACTTATTAATATAGCTAAATTCTTGTCCCAGCATGTTTGTATAAAAACCGTGAAACATCTAATAAACTTTATTAATATGATATAGCATACCTATTTGTATAAAAACCTTCAAACAATATAAACCTTAATAATATAATTATATTCTTGTCCCAGCGTGTTTGTATAAATACCGTGAAACATCTAATAAACTTTATTAATATGATATAGCATACCTATTTGTATAAAAACCTTCAAACAATATAAACCTTAATAATATAATTATATTCTTGTCCCAGCGTGTTTGTATAAATACCGTGAAACATCTAATAAACCTTATTAATATGGTATAGCATACCTATTTGTATAAAAACCTTCAAACAATATAAAACTTATTAATATAGCTAAATTCTTGTCCCAGCATGTTTGTATAAAAACCGTGAAACATCTAATAAACTTTATTAATATGATATAGCATACCTATTTGTATAAAAACCTTCAAACAATATAAACCTTAATAATATAATTATATTCTTGTCCCAGCGTGTTTGTATAAATACCGTGAAACATCTAATAAACTTTATTAATATGATATAGCATACCTATTTGTATAAAAACCTTCAAACAATATAAACCTTAATAATATAATTATATTCTTGTCCCAGCATGTTTGTATAAATACCGTGAAACATCTAATAAACTTTATTAATATGATATAGCATACCTATTTGTATAAAAACCTTCAAACAATATAAACCTTAATAATATAATTATATTCTTGTCCCAGCGTGTTTGTATAAATACCGTGAAACATCTAATAAACTTTATTAATATGATATAGCATACCTATTTGTATAAAAACCTTCAAACAATATAAACCTTAATAATATAATTATATTCTTGTCCCAGCATGTTTGTATAAAAACCGTGAAACATCTAATAAACTTTATTAATATGATATAGCATACCTATTTGTATAAAAACCTTCAAAAAATATAAACCTTATTAATATAATTATATTCTTGTCCCAGCATGTTTGTATAAATACCGTGAAACATCTAATAAACTTTATTAATATGATATAGCATACCTATTTGTATAAAAACCTTCAAACAATATAAACCTTAATAATATAATTATATTCTTTTCCCAGCATGGTTGTATAAAAACCGTGAAAAATCTAATAAACTTTATTAATATGATATAGCATACCTATTTGTATAAAAACCTTAAAACAATATAAACCTTAATAATGTAATTAAATTCTTGGCCCAGCATGTTTGTATAAAAGCCTGGAGACATCTAATAAACTTTATTAATATGATATAGCATACCTATTTGTATAAAAACCTTCAAACAATATAAACCTTAATAATATAATTATATTCTTGTCCCAGCATGTTTGTATAAAAACCGTGAAACATCTAATAAACTTTATTAATATGATATAGCATACCTATTTGTATAAAAACCTTTAAAAAATATAAACCTTATTAATGTAATTGAATTCTTGTCCCAGCATGTTTGTATAAAAACCTTCAAACAATAGAAACCTTATGAATATAATATATTTAAAAGGTTTTTTCCACGAATATAGTAATTTTATGGTAAATAAAGGTGTCAGTGATATGGTCAATAAAGAAGTGACCACGGCTAGTGCAACCTAGTCGAAATATCTAATGAACCATAGATTAAAACTAATGCACAGATACACAAATATAGATGTAGGTACCTGTATGGCGGACATAACACCTTGATAAATTGAGGATTATGTAACACAGATGTACTATAATAATTGCATCATTTGAAACAGATTATATTGGCAGTGAAGGCGTTATGTATGAACCATTTGATATTGTCATTGCAACACGATGTATCGTGACATCCACTGTATCTATCAAATGATTCACAACCGTATGTATGAAACTGTTTCTAATGGAGTTGTTAGCAACTGTGTTCACTTTGATTTTCTATATATCTTAAGTGTATTTACTGTAATTATGTAAATAATAGCTGTGCCCGCGGTTTCTCGGTTCAAATTTATAGACTATATGTTATTCTGGTGTATTAATTAAGCTATGTTACTGTAAAGTTTCAACAAAATCCGTTCAATAGTGTTTGAGTGAAAGAGTAAGAAATATTCATATATATTCTTTGTGTTCATAATATTAATAACATAATTGAGTTTCTTGTCCATTTTTTTTTAGAAATAGAAATAATCTTTATTCAAATAAACTCATTACAAGCACTTTTGAATAGTGATATTTTGATTCTACCACTCATTCGGAACGCAGATTCATCACAAGAAGAATGAGCAAGAAACTTGTGTGTTGCTCTTTTTAATAGATGTTTTTTTTTATATAAATAATTACAGTATAACAAGTAAGAGGCATGCGATAATCAACATAGAAGTCGCTACGCACTCATTATTAATGTAATCAGATAATATTGTCAGTGCTATGGATTTAAAGTTTTTCTATAAAAACATTATTATCGTTAACGAATTCTTCAATTTTATAGTAAGCTTTTTTGCAAAGGAACTGTTTTATTTGACATTTAAATCTTTTTTCTGGCAGATTTATACTGTACTTTGACAGATACACAAATATAGATGTAGGTACCTGTATGGCGGACATAACACCTTGATAAATTGAGGATTATGTAACACAGATGTACTATAATAATTGCATCATTTGAAACAGATTATATTGGCAGTGAAGGCGTTATGTATGAACCATTTGATATTGTCATTGCAACACGATGTATCGTGACATCCACTGTATCTATCAAATGATTCACAACCGTATGTATGAAACTGTTTCTAATGGAGTTGTTAGCAACTGTGTTCACTTTGATTTTCTATATATCTTAAGTGTATTTACTGTAATTGTAATGGATCGGTGGACTGTATGGGTGTCTAAATGATGAAAACACGTAGTTTGCAATAATATAATATATTAATATGTGCAATTGCGAACTATACGAAAGACATAAATTGAAGTATATCAAATAACATGACATATAAAAAAGTACTCTTCAAAAATAATAAAAATATCAAAAGAGAGAGGCGGACGGTCGCCAACAGTAATTATGTAAATATTAGCTGTGGTTTCTCGGTTCAAATTTATAGACTATATGTTATTCTGGTGTATTAATTAAGCTATGTTACTGTAAAGTTTCAACAAAATCCGTTCAATAGTGTTTGAGTGAAAGAGTAAGAAATATTCATATATATTCACAAATCTTTGTGTTTATAATATTCATAACATAATTGAGTTTCTTGTCCATTTTTTTTAGAAATAGAAATAATCTTTATTCAAATAAACTCATTACAAGCACTTTTGAATAGTCATATTTTGATTCTACCGCTCATTCGGAAATATCACCAGAAGAATGAGCAAGAAACTCTTTTTTAGATGTTTTTTTATATAAATAATTACAGTATAACATGTAAAGCATAAACAAGCACTTTTGAATAGTCATATTTTGATTCTACCGCTCATACGGAATGCAGATTCATCACAAGAAGAATGAGCAAGAACCTTGTGTGTTGCTCTTTTTAATAGATGTTTTTTTATATAAATAATTACAGTATAACAAGTAAGAGGCATGCGATAATCAATATAGAAATTGATTGTTACATGTATTTCAGAAATATATAATATATATGTACGTGTAATATTATATTTGTAATTTTAATAGTTTTCAATAATGTATCATACAGATTACATCTGGATGTGTTCAATTGTAAAGATACATTTATATTATGACTTTAAAGAAAGATATAATTAAAAAGTATTATCTGAGAAGCAATTATGTTATTTGTTTTATTGTTTGCCAACCCAGATCCCTTTTTTATCGTATGGAATAACCTCCAAAAGATTGACACCCTTACGGAGGGGTGACTAGGTGGTGTGTGGTATTCTTGCCCACTAAAAAAACACTTGATGGCGTACCTACAGGCGCTATTGCCTTCGCGAGATCGCGTTAGGATTTTACCGTGACTCCAGCAACGTTGGCACGCCCTATAGACGGTGTAAGGCATCCCCCATTGTTAGGGCAAGCCCAAATCCATGAAGCAAGTATAGACAATCAAGTGCTACACGTAGTTCACAGGCAAGTCCTCTCTAGTTTGAAAAAATAATAGCAAATAACAAACTATTTTCAGACCTGGCGAATATATAAAGGTAATTGAGTAAAATCCGGCCCAGTTAATAAAAGTTTTCCTATAAAAATGAAATTGTTAAGGTTACTAGGGCAGAGAAAGACCGAAAAAGAGGTGGATGGACTGTGTGAAAGATGATATGATAAGAAAGGGAGTTGATAACGAGATGACTGCGAACAGGGATGAAAGGAAGAGAAAAACATATTACGATGACCTTATTTCAATTGTTTTGTTTTGTTTTTCACTTGTAATATATCTGTCAACACTTAAGATCCTTCCATTATTTACATCTACACTAATATAGATTTAAGTTCAGTGTAACCAGTCCGCGTTACGACTCCGCGTCGAATGTACGTGTTACTAATAAGCCATATAGCACACTATCCAATAAACTTAAAAAGGAACAATAATTTGCACAATTATTACACCTGTGTACTCACTATCTACATATAAAAAATATATTATGCAGCGATACCTCATCACAACATATATAACGCTACAATGGCGAGGATAACCACCGCGCTACAGTTTCAGTACAATTTAAAATGCAACGGAGATCTAATGTTTCTGCTGATTCTTCTAGTAGTGCCTTCCGTGAGTTCAATTTCAATAGTTTCAATAAAATTCAACGTTTTTAAAGTTTGACATGTTAATGTTTTCTGTTAGTACCTTCCGTGATTTTTTTTCCATATTCGTCCATCTTTTTTCAATGATGAAAGGCAAAGATCCTTAGACCGTACAGCCTAGTCTACGTTTAAACTTCTTCGTACCTTCCGTGAGTTGACATTGACACTGCCATTTTTTTAACTCAAACTTATTACAGAAATGGAAGAAAGCAACAAACAATAAATTAATAAAACTTTTTTTTTTATTCTGCCGCTTTTTCGGAAAGTATAAGCTTAATCATTATGTAATCAACTTTAATTTTTTATGATTTTGTTTAAATGTATGGAAATAAAATCGTAAATATTTAACAATCAAATTTTAATCACTACGCAAAAGTAGTTATATTTTTTATTGGACGGCCTCAGTGGTTTTTCACAGCGCTTTACTTCCGATGGGCACGAGCCGATTTCTCGCACGGTGCAAACATTTTTTTTTAAGGGTAATGGAATGGTACTCCCGCCCTCGCTAACGGTTTACACTGGCGAGGTACCAGTGGTGGATGATAAGATAAGTATGAGGTCAGGTCTGATAGGCCAGCGGGCTAAATTTACCATGAATTTATCTCGATGGTTTCCAGGGGAACCACGTGTAGGTCCACCTGACATGGTAGATTGCTAGCAATGGGGTTTGTATTCATGAGTATGATTGCTCGTTTGGTGTTTATGAGTATTTTCTATGTAGGTACATCAGTTGTCTAGTACACAAGTTCTGCTTACCGTGGGACTAGATAGCGCTATATATTTATATTTATTTGAATTAAGATTGATTAGCTATTCAAAGAGGGAACGCTGCCAGTATCTTCGGAGCGTTACCTAAAGGGACCCCTTTTAATAATATATTTTAGTCATCATATTATATATTTTTTTTAAGCCTGTTAATTTTAGGTTCTTAGTTGTACAAATAGGTTATGTAAATACTAATAATAAATTAAGATTAATTTCTAATTTCACAATATCTTTTGTAGCTGTGACGTGGTCGAGTGGATAGAGTAGTCATGCTCACTAAAATGTCCAGACATGTGGCGGCGTGGTGGACCGGGTCATTGGGCTCCCTAAAATATGGTCGAGCGCAGTGATGGCTGGCTCATCCGTCATACTCGTGAACGAGTGCTGCTTGTAGGGACTGGTCTGCTCTTATCACTACAACTGATTTAATCTTATTATATATTTATATTTGACCCAAAAAAAATAGTACTGGTTGGTAGTTTGTATTCACACGTTTCGACTTGTAAATGTAAACTTACAAGGATTATTTAAAAGAGCAACACACAAGTTTCTTGCTCGTTCTTCTTGTGATGAGACAGCTTTCCGAACGAATGGTAGATAAAAAACAAATTGTTATGACTATTCAAAAGTGCTTAATTTAAGTTTATTTGAATAAATGATTTTCTATTCTATTCTATTCCGTAACTTAACTGATATCTAATTTTTGATACCTAATCAATGAAATACTCAAGTGAGCATGATTAGTCCATTTGTCATTATCACCTGATAACAACATTAACTATATATCAGAAATCACGCATTCTCATTAGTGTATTAACTGTGAAGTCAAGACGTGTACATTTGCACTTAATTTAAATATTGTATACTACTGAAAACAGTTAGTGACATTATAATTTCACATATAATTGTACAGCTTTAAACAGAGTGCGCAAGTGTATTTTTTTTAAGAAGTCAACATTGAGAATAACAGATATTCTCAGTAATTGTGATTCTCGTTAAACGGTAATGTGCCTACTACTTACATATACTAATATTATAAATGCAAAAGTAACTTTGCCTGATTGCGTTTTGTCACAAATACTACTGAACCGATGTACATGAAATTTTGTACAGACACTGAGGAAGGACTACTTTTTAATGCAAAAAAGTAACGATGAGTGACAATATTTACCATATCAGGCATTATAAGAAAGTTTAACGACTTCAGTGGTCTAGCTTTTTAGCATACTGTCTTATTTCCGTTAGTCGCGGCTTCGATTCCTCTCACGGTAAAATCATTTGTATTTATGAGTACAATTACATCTGTAATATGTGCAGAAAATAAAACTGTGGAATACACATATAGGCAGTGGCGTAGATACATAGGGGCTAGGCGAGGCAGTGCCCGGGGCCGTCAAGCTCAGGTGGCCCTCGAACCCTTACCAGAAAATCTCAATCGAACTGAACTTATGAAATTTTCAAAATAAATATACAGGTTGGAACCCGACTTTAATCATGGCAACTCAGTTGAGAGAAATTATACCTTAAAAGTTATACCTTCGCAATTCCCCTGCTGAGCAGTGGGGTTTGATTTGCCCGAGGGCCCTTGGTTACCTAATGACGCAACTGCATACAGGATACCAATTATAAGACATGGGTTAAAAGAATGTCGCCACAATCAAAGCGACATGAGTCCATATTACTTTAAATAAAAAAAGTAATATGCACTCATAACAGAAAATTAATGTACCACGTCAGTTGACCTCCACGCGGTTCTCCCTGGAAACTGTCATGATAAATTCTCACAATGGTGACTGTTCATCTTATCAGGTGCCCCGCCAGTGTAAACCGTTAACGCAGACGAGTGCACCATTCCATTATCATCTATAAAAAAAAATCAAAGCGACAGATATTACTTTAAATAAAATAAAGTGCAGATACAAAAAATAAATGTATGTAATCTAAATCATATAACTCAAAGGTGACTGACATAGTGAACTATCAACGTACAGCCCAAACGACTGGACGGATCGGGCTGAAATTTGGCATGCAGGCAGAAAGGATTTTGATTAATTAATTCCGCTAAGAAAGGATTTTGATTAATTCTACCCCCAAAAGGATAAAGATGAAAGTTTGTATGAAACTTTGTCAATTTTAAACCGATCGGGCTGAGACTTTGCATGCATAAAGCTACTATGACGTAGGCATCCCCTAAGAAAGGATTTTGATAAATTCCACCCCCAAGGGGATAAATTAAGGCAAACGAAGCCGCGGGCAAAAGCTAGTATTATATAGTATTATAAACGCGAAAGTTTATATGTGAGTGATGTGATGTGTGAGTATGGACGTTTGTTACTCTTTCAGACAAAAACTACTAAACGGATTGTGATGAAACTTTACAGTAATATAGCTTATACATTAAAATAACCTATAGGTTATAAACTGTTGTCTAATACCTATAACACAAGCTCTGCTTAGTTTGGATCTAGATAGCGCTTTGTGTGAATGTCCTGGATTATTATTATTATTCTTGAAAATAAATTATTTCCTTTTTTGTATAACAACATCCATTTATTGTAACATTGGCTTTACACAGATGTTCACTGTCGGTGTAGGTTCAATGATGAAGGTCATTCAACATTTCTTTGTAAATCCATTTGAATAAATAAAGCGTACCATAATATTTTACAATAATGAAAACCGGACCTCAAACTGTTTCTAATTAGCAACGCAAAGATTGTAACGTTTTTAGTTTGGGTTTTATTAAAACTCCTCGTTTGAATTTGACGGGGATCGAACTGAGGGGAGTTGTGGGGGTGTGCTTAAGCAATAGTCCGTAAAACAATGTGTTAATAATGGGATCTGTCCCCATTGCTAGCAAAGAACCATGTTAGGTTGGACTCCACGCGGTTCCCCCTGGAAACCATCATGGTTTTTTTTTTGGATGATAATGGAATGGTCCACCCGCCTGCGCTAACGGTTTACGCTGGCGGGGCACCAGTGGAGGATGATAAGATGAGCATGAGGTCAGATCAGTTAGCCCATCGTGACACGTTAGCACATCGATGGGTAAACTGACCTGACTTCATGGTCATCTTATCATCCTCCACTGGTGCCTCGCCAGCGTAAACCGTTAGCGCAGGCGGGTGCACCTTTCCATTGTCATCCATGAAGAAAACCGTTGCCTGTATACGTAGACATTGAATCTGCAGATGTCAGTACAAGTCCAGAAGATCACGGAACCCTTGTTGCTGGGAGAGGGTCCTCACTGGGATGATCGACAGCAAGCGCTATTCTTTGTCAGCATAGTTGAGCATACCATTCACAAATACGTACCTGCGACTGGGGTACACACCAGAACAAAAGTTGGTACGTATGTTTAATACTGTTGCGGGTGAATAATACGATGTTGTTGGTCGAGACGATGTATATTACAGATGATAATAGACTGACAATATGTACATAGAAATAATGATCTTATATACTAAATGACAATAGGAAAATGAAAGGTGGGGTGACACAGTTTAGACACAGCAGTGCTTAGTACACAATATTGAATTTGTCTTATTAGACATTATTAAATGTAATTATTGTTTTGATGTATCTAGGCGACTCTATCCCATGAATACCATCCTGATTATCTGGATGGTATGTTAATACCAGCCATTACACCGCCTTACTTCCGATCGTCGCGGGTTCGATTCCTCGCGAAGCACAAACATTAGTATTCATGAGTATGATTGTTTGTATCAGTCTGGGTGTTCTATGTACAATATGTATGTACTTACAAAAAAATATCTATATATTTGTATCAGTAGTCCAGTACCTATTACACAAGCCTTAGCTTCACTTGGGTCTATATAGCGCTGTGTGAATTGTCTTGAGATTATTATTATTATTATTATCTTGATCATCTGAATGATCTCTGCCATGCGTTATTCCAAAAACTTTTTGCCACCCACAACTCCATTAAAACACCTTGCATCAATGGTATTTGCGAACTTATATGATATTGAAACATTCAAGAAAAGAGCATATTTCTTTATAAATAGCCGGCAACGCATTTGCAATTCCTCTGGTGTTGCGGGTACTTATAGATGGTAATCACTTACCATCAGGTACGCCGCTAGCTCGTCTGTTACCTATGCTATAAAAAACTCAATTTAATGGTACATCTATCATTTTATATTACCAAGTTTACTCCCAATTATCTGAACAGCTTATTATTTTAATATTATAAACGCGAAAGTTTGTGAGAGTCGGTGGATGTTTCTTACTCTTTCTCGTAAAAACTACTGAACGGATTTTGATATAATTCTACAGTTATATATACATTATATATACATCATAATAACGTACCTATAGGCTATAAATTTCACAAGGGTAAAACTGCGAGCAACAAAAAGATGTTTATTTTTAATTTTCTTTATTTTGTGCATAATCTACTCCGAGTAAAAGATCTGAAAAGACTCGAAACCAAGGGTAATTTATTTATTTATTTAATTCAGTCCACATTACCCATATTATTAACACCTTACAGACTAACATACTATGTACATGCAACGTGAAATAAAAGTCTAAAGGCCCCGCGCCGAATGAGGTATTGACATGCCTTTATTTTAACATACGCTATGAATCGTTCAAATAACGAAATAATATTCAGCTGAATAAATAATGTAATTTTGCAGTAACAATATGTAAATAATGATCCTTTATTACCTTTAACTTTTATGTTTACGTTTTTTCCAAATATATATTATATGTAATTCGGAATTATTGTATTCATTTTAATTTATGTTTAATTAGTTGTGCCCGCGGTTTTACGCGCGTGTACTATTTGTTATTCTGATGTGTATGCTATATTACTGTAAAGTTTCATTAAAATCCATTCCATAGTTTTTGCTGAGAGAGAGTAACAAACATCCATCCGTCCACACACAAACTTTCACAACTAGAGCATCTTTTAACTCTCTAGTTAGTTTATAACACTTATTGATCAGTCTACAGCTGACGGGTGTATTAATATTCTCGTTTCACATGCAGACAAGTATATTAACATTCTCGTTTCACATGAAGACAAGTAAATGAACATTCTCGTTTCACATGAAGACAAGTATATTAACATTCTCGTTTCACATGCAGACAAGTATATTAACATTCTCGTTTCATATGCAGACAAGTATATTAACATTCTCGTTTCACATGAAGACGGGTGTATTAATATTCTCGTTTCACCTGCAGACGGTTGTATTAACATTCTCGTTTCACATAAAGACGGGTGAATTAACATTCTCGTTTCACATGAAGACAAGTATATTAACATTCGCGTTTCACATGAAGACAAGTATATTATTAACATTCTCGTTTCACATGAAGACAAGTATATTAATATTCTCGAATACAAGTATATTAACATTCTCGTTTCACATGAAGACAAGTATATTAACATTCTCGTTTCACATGCAGACAAGTATATTAACATTCTCGTTTCATATGCAGACAAGTATATTAACATTCTCGTTTCACATGCAGACGGGTGTATTAATATTCTCGTTTCACATGCAGACAAGTATATTAACATTCTCGTTTCACATGCGGACGGGTATTTTAACATTCTCGTTTCACATGAAGACAAGTATATTAACATTCTCGTTTCACAAGTTTCAAGACAAGTATATTAATATTCTCATTTCACATGAAGACAAGTATATTAACATTCTCGTTTCACAGGAAGACAAGTCATTTCACATGTGTATTAATATTCTCGTTTCACATGAAGACAAGTATATTAACATTCTCGTTTCACATGCAGACGGTTGTATTAATATTCTCGTTTCACATGAAGACAAGTATATTAACATTCTCGTTTCACATGCAGACGGTTGTATTAGTATTCTCGTTTCACATGAAGACAAGTATATTAATATTCTCGTTTCACATGAAGACAAGTATATTAACATTCTCGTTTCACATGCGGACGGGTATTTTAACATTCTCGTTTCACATGAAGACAAGTATATTAACATTCTCGTTTCACATGAAGACAAGTATATTAACATTCTCGTTTCACATGAAGACAAGTATATTAACATTCTCGTTTCACATGAAGACAAGTATATTAACATTCTCGTTTCACATGAAGACAAGTATATTAACATTCTCGTTTCACATGAAGACAAGTATATTAACATTCTCGTTTCACATGCAGACGGTTGTATTAATATTCTCGTTTCACATGAAGACAAGTATATTAACATTCTCGTTTCACATGAAGACAAGTATATTAACATTCTCGTTTCACATGCAGACTGTTGTATTAACATTCTCGTTTCAAATGCAGATGATCATATCGGATTTATAATCCCCGTTGAAGATACACTGGACCAATTCGTAATTGGCCTTAAAAACAAGTTCGTAATAATTCAATGGGACGGTGAGGATGGTACTCCCGCAAAGGTGGTGCGGCAGCTGGTAGACCTGGATCCATACAGTGATGGGCCGACGCAGATCAACGATGGCAAGATTGATCCCAGAGGGAGACTCTACGCTGGTAAGTAGTAGAAACAATGCACATCTTTGAAGTGAAGCTTCTATATGTGTAGACTGGGTGTACATTTTTTGGGAATGATAATGTAAAATTGTACACGCGACTGCACTAACGGTTTATGCTGGCGGGGCACCAGTAGAGGATGATAGGATGCGCATGAGGTCATTATTCGATAGTCTCCAGGGGGAACCGCGTCAAAGTCAACCGGACATGGTACATTGCTAGCAATAAGATCATCAGTCCACATTACTAACAAACCCCTTTCAGGCCCAGGCCCCTCTTCCCCACTGGGCACACTAGGCACATACCTAGGGCCCCGCGATGGATTGGGGCCCCCTATTCTAGTCTAGTCCCAACTCCATTACTAAAAGATAACCGATACTCTATTCTCGCCTGAAAATCAGTCTTAATAAATGCTTATCGACTATGGTCAACTTGTTCGTTTTATTGATTTTTTTATAAATGTCCAGCAAGAAATGAACACTTCAGCACATAACGACTTTTTAAAATTATTTTGCCTGGTTTGTTTTGAAGGTAGGACATCCCCATATACATATCTATAGAGTCATGTTCAAAAATGTCTTTGAAAATAGTGCTTTATTACTATGGTCATAGGGATCCTATTATCCTAATTGCCCAGGGCCTCTAACAGGTGCAAGAGGGCCTTGCCCAGGCCTAGGTTTGCCATATGTTTGTTTTGTGGTGTATGTACCCTTTGACTTCGGAGGAAGGAAATTGTTAGTAATGTGGACTGATGACCCCATTGCTAGCGATGTACCATGTCAGGTTGACCTCCACGCGGACTCCACACTCCCTGGAAACCATCGTGATAAATTCCTTTTTTTTTTATACCACTTAGGTGGCAAACAAGGATGTAACTATGGACGCCTGAAATACCAGGGGTGTCACATACGCGTTGCCGACCCTTAAGAAACCTTAATATACCCTTCTTGAAAAACCCCATGCTGTAGTCTCTCGAGAAAACCTCGGCAGGTAGTTCATTCCACAATCTAAATGTACGCGGGAGGAAGCTCCTCTGAAACCGCACTGTCCGAGACCACTTAGGTTCCAGCGTGTGGGTATGAATTCCCTGTCGATGGCGAGCGGTGCGATGGTAAAAGGTAGCCGTAGGCATCATGTCAAACAATTCATCAGAACACAGACCGTTGTATATTCGGTAGAACACACAAAGCAATGCGAAGTCTCGCCTCAAGCTAAGTGGTTCGATACCGTTTGAAAGATCATTCTCAATCTATCATCCTCCACTGGTGCCCCCAGCGTAAACCGTTAGCGCAGGCGGGTGCACCATTCCATTATCATCCATTAAAAAAAAATACCCTTTTGACTTATACTTTACAGGTACAGTGTTGCCAAACGAAAAATCTTTAACTGAAATTGAACCGAAGGGCTCTCTGTACAGACTAGATCGCACCGAAGTAACCAAACTGTGCAGTGGAATCAGAATATCGAACGGGCTGGCGTGGGATTTGAAAGAGAAGGCCATGTATTATATAGATACTATGGAGCTGAACATCAGAAGATATGATTACGATGTCGAAACAGGAGATATATGTAAGTGATTCAATACCTTTTTTTTCTGTAGACGCCGTCATCTTGGTCTACTGCTGTTCTGAACAGGTATCTGACTCCAATAGGTCTTATATGTCGTCGATTAAATTAACCACGCCGTCTTAATCATTATCTAAACACTTTTATAATGATATATAACACTTCTGTGTAAATTTAAAATTTAAAGAAATAAAATAATTTAAATAAATTTTATAACTTTAAATGCTAGTCTTGTAAAAAAAATGTACATTTTGAATAGTGCCATTAGTCTATTTAACCGACGATATATACTAGTTGTACCCGTGACTCGTCCGCGTGGAATTTAACTTTATTTTTCTGAAATAAAAGATTTTTTCATACGAAGCATACATAGGTACAGACAGCCATAGCGACTTTGTTTTATACTATGAAATTATATACTACTTTTATATACAAAAAATGGAATATAAATACAGCCCCTACTATCATTTCTAAGTTACTCCTTATTACATCAGCTACCTGCTAAAAAACGGTCCCGTCAAAATCGGTCCAGCTATTTCAGAGATTAGCCGGAATAAACAGACAGATAGCAGACAAAAATAGTAAAAAATGTTTAAATATTACAAACAGACACTCCACTTTTATTTATATGTATAGTCGTATAGGTTATATATATATTAATGTTATAGATAGGTATCTATCTCCAATTCAAACGGGGATCGAAATCACGACGGCCGAGGTTCGAACCCCTAGCGGTGCCCTTAGACTAAAGTCGTATCCGTCAGGTAGGAGTTGTCCTTCAGGCGCTCCATAAGTCCTTCCTTTGGTTTGGAGTACCATCTGCACTCGCCCCCTACCGTCCGGTGAAGCTGTAAAGATCAACTGTGGAGAGCATTAGTCAGCATTAGAGTAGTGCAAACGTAAATAAGTTTTATTTTTGTTAAATTACTTAAATTTGGCGACGTCGGTGGACTAGCGGTTTATCACACGATGGTTGCGGGTTCGATTCCTCGCATGGTAGTCATATTCATTTGTGTTCATAAGTATAATTGTTTGTATCGGTCTGGGTTTTTTATATATATATATTATGTATTTAATTTAAAAAAAATAATGTATTTATATCACTTATCCAGTAAACATAACACAAGCTCTGCTTAGCTTGGGTCTAGATGGCGCTGTGTGAATTGTCCTGAAGTATTATTATGATTATCTATTTAAGGGATCATCTCAGTGTGACCCTCCAAAAAATCCCTAATTTTCGCGATTTTTCTTGGTTGGAATAAACTAATCGTCCTGGGTTTTTTTTAAATAAATAAATATATTTTTTTTTTATGTGGATTTATTTAGTGTACAATATTTTAAAAAATGGTTCAAAAGATTGCGACCGGAAAAACCAATTTTGATCTAAAATAAAAGTTTCAAAAAGATAAAAGAAAGGTCCTATATCGTGCGACGATTTGAACAAAACGTATCGAATTTGAATTTGGAAGATTTCATAAAAAAAAAGCTTCCATACAATCAAAAAATCAATCAACAAAAATAAAATTATGTTTTTATTTTTATTAGGTATATTTTTTCTAAAATTATGTAATCAACAATCTAATTGTATCAATGATTTTTTATGAGGTAAATGTAAACTAATTACTATATTGTTTCAGCTAACCTCAAATACATTTTCGACTTCAAGGAGAACAATATAGAGGGCTATCCTGACGGGGCCACCATAGACACTGACGGGAATCTGTGGGTCGCTGTGTTTGAAGGATCCTGCGTTATAAAAATAGACCCGAGAACTGGTAAATTATTGCAAAAGGTACCCATACCGGTGCTCCAGGTCACCTCTGTCGCTTTTGGGGGCCCCAATCGTGATATCCTGTTCGTAACAACTGGTAATATCACAATTGATAGAGAGCAAGATCCACCGAGTGGAGCCACCTTCATGGTAATCGGTCTGGGAGTTAAAGGATATCCCATGGAAAAATTCAAATTATAAAATTGTTAATAAACAATACAGAAGGTTAGGCTGTATGGTACTGTACCTTTGCGTTTACAGTTGTTCATAAAATATTACTACGATTGTCTTTATAACGGTATTCTGAACCGCCATTTTTGAAATAAGTACAAATATTAAATTTGTGAATGTGGAGAAGATGTGGGTGATCTAAATCATATTGTGTTTTCCTGCTCCTCTTACGATCGTTCTTCATTTATAGAGACACTCATCTCATTAGAAATTCCTTTTCCTTCATCCATTGTATCCATTGTATGAGCTATTAGCTCATCCTAATCCTATAATTTATAAATCTCTTGCGTCTTTTATTTCCCATAATAACATTAAACTTTAAAACCCATGATCACTAATTCCGAGTATATTCAAAATTTAACCCGTTCCTTTCCATTATCCCGTCTCGTTTCCTGTTTTAGTGGCATAATAGGCAACACTAGCCTCTTGCCAAGGAAGAGAAAAAAAAAATAATTAAATGTTAAAAACATTTTTAACATTTAATATTTGTACTCTACTGTTTCTTAGCAACAGTAAAAACCAATTATACAATTTTGATGTGATATGATGTAAGTATTGAAAGAATAAATTGTATTTACTGCTACCACAGACAACATAATGTTACATATACTAAATATTATATTATATTTAGTATATGTATGTAATATTATGTTATCTGTGGTATATGTAATATTATTTATTGTTAGTTTTTTGTTCGTTCTTGTGATCAGTCGTTCCAAATGAGTGGTAGAATAAAAAAATATGATTGTCATAATACTCTTATTAAGTTTATTTGAATATTACAGGGGCGTATCAACCGTATCAATTAACATGTGTAAGCAAAATTAACTTCCCAATTATTATTGTTTATTTCACAAATGACAAAAGGAAATAAAAGCATTTTTTTTCTCGTATCACCTATAAATTATTTAATAAATCAGTTTGCTGAAAAAAGGCAGGGAGAGTGTATATTTAATTTGGATTGTTTGTAAAAATTTTGAAAAAAGTCACAGATGAATAAATATTTCTTTTAATTTTATGCAATTTTTTTTCTTATGTGAGAAATCTTTACTCATCGTAAGGGTCCCCAAACAGATTTTTATACGGGGCCCCACCAAGGCACGCTACGCTTCTTGGTTATTTCTATTATACAGCTATGACCACAGGTAACATAATATTCTATTACTGAACATCTCCATCTGATGATAATAGGATGGTCATAATAAGGCGCAGTCAGGTGCACCATTCCATTGTCATCTATACATATAAATAAAATTGGAGTGTCTGTTTGTAATATTGAAATAACAGTTTTTCGCTACATGCATATGAATATAATTTTCTAAAATAAAGGTAGTTTAAGTTAGTCCTGATTATACTACCAATAATATTTGTTTTCTAATTGTGAACCTGTTTTAGATCCTAAATAAATAAATAAATATAAAAAAATAAAAATAGCCTAAGTTACTAAATTAACTTCCCAATTATTATTTATTTTGTTTATTTTATATACATACACCAAATGACATTTTTGTCTGTCTGTTTGTTCCGGCTAATCTCTGAAATGTCTGGACAGATTTTGACGGGACTTTCATTGGCAGGTAGCTGATATAATCAGGAGTAACTTAGGCCACCTTAATTTTAGGAAAATAAATTTAATTTCCATGCGGACGAAGTCGCGTGTACAGCTAGTATAAAAATAATTGTAAAGACTAGCCAGTAATCTCTGAAATTATTTAGATAAATTCAAATTGAAAATATCTTTATTCGTGTAGGTCTATTACAGACTCTTATGATATGTCAAATCTACCGTCAGTTCGGAGTGATTTCGAGATGAGAACTGACAAGACAATCCTCAGACAATTTCACAAAACACCGCATAAGAGAAATAAAAAAGCAAATTAAACAATTCTTTATTCTGTGGTTAGGTTGGCGTGTTGATATACAGAAGGAGTGATATTAATAAAAGATTGAATATATGACGGTGTATATAATATCAGAAGTAAAAATAATTATTAATAATAATTTAACAACTCATTTAGATCAGTAATTTGCAAGGGAATGAATTTGACATTTTTGACAGTATACTTTTTATTAAAATGTGTCTGTGTTATATGGCTAGTTTATGCAAGGAGGTTGGTAGCCTACAATTCAATACAGTTTGACGTTAACATTAGGGTATCCTCTAACTCCGAGGTTGGTCAGCACGAAGGTGGCTCCGCTGGGTGGTGGGTGGTGCTGGCCACGGTCCACGCACGCCGTCGTCACGTACAACTCCTCGAAGGTGCAGTCGCCGAAGGTCACCGAAGTCACCTGCTGTGCTGGGATTCGAATCTTCTCCAGAAGAATCCCCGAGCGGGGGTCAATTTTGAGAACCTACAAATTGTAAAATGAAATCTATACATATAAATAAAATTGCAGTGTCTGTGTGTGATATTGAAATAACCGTTTTTTACTACATGCATATGACTATAAATACGGTACATACATCAAAATAACATTTTTTAATATTTTTGTCTGTCTGTCTGTCTTTACCGGCTAATTTCTGAAACGGCTGGACCGATTTTGACGGGACTTTTATTGGCAGGTAGCTGATGTATTAAGGAGTAACTTAGGCTATTTTTATTTTAGAAAAATAAAGTTAATTTCCACGCGGCCAATTCGCGGGAACAGCTAGTCGAAAATAAATATTAATTGCCGATTTTTATAGATTACTCAGAAATAATGTATGAATGTTTATTAAATTAGCATTACAAGTATAGGTATTAACATATTTGTTAATACAGACAGACAGACAGACAGACAAAATATGTAAAAAATATTATTTGATGTACGTACCGTATTTACATTCATATGCATGTGGTAAAAACGGTTATTTCAATATTAAAAACGGACACTCCAATTTTATTTATATGTATAGATGTATTTATGTACTTGTATCCGTTGTCTAACACCAATAACACAAGTTGTGCTTAGCTTAATAACACAAGTTTTTTCTACACATTGTTTTTTACATTACCATATTTTTTTTTTTTTTAACATATTTGTTAATTCCTATAGTACAGTGACAGTTCTTTTATCAAAATAGATTTTTTTACACAATTTTTGTTACATTACCATAAATAATAATAATATTTCATCCACAGGTGTCATCCCAACATCCCTACACTGTAGCCTCAATATATTACAGCTTCACCCACTTACTTTCATACTTCTCCAAAAAGCTGTAATTCTAAACACATGTAGAATGACAAGTTTTTGTCATCATAATAATTTTTTTTATAATTGTCATTGTTTGGTGATATTCACCCGCAATGACAAGTTTAACACCCCATCAAAGGGAGATATATAATATATATATTTATATAAAAATATAAAAACAATAACAATAATATAATATAAAAATCTCAGGACAACACACAGCGTCATCTAGTCCCAAGTTAAGCTAGCTAAAGCTTGTGTTATGGGTACTAGATAACGGATACAAATACATAGATATTTTTTTCGTAAATAAATACATATTATACATAGAAAACACCCAGATAGATACAAACAATCATACTCATGAATATAAATATTTGTGCCGTGCGAGGAATCGAACCCGCGACCATCGGTCGTAAAGCGGTGTGCTAAACCGCTAGACCACCGAGGTCGTAATATCGACATACATTTTACTAAAACCTAGATCAGCTGCCTTTTTTAGACAACTGACCTTCGTTTGGATTCATAGGCTGTTTGAAAGAATAAAATGTTTATTTGTAGCAAGTGTTAGCAGTGATGGATTACTTTTTTTGATCAATTAATTAATTTAATTAATATTTATTAAATAAGTATATTTAATTATGATAATCATATATACACGGGCGTTATCACGTTATCATGTTATCATGTGATGCGTATGGTGCCGCTCCAAAGAACTAAGACCTGTCTCTTATCCCATAATTTCAATCTTCAACGTTAGTTGAATTTAATACTATTTTGATATATTTTTATTACATTAACAGTTGTAACTTTTGACTAAAAAGTTTATTCAAATTTAGTAACGGTACATACATGGTGACCATCGAAGTTGGCAACCCAGAGGTTCCCATCGGTGTCTATGGTCATTCCGTCAGCGATGCCCTCCAGATTGTAATCCTGGAACTTGAATATTATCTTTGGATTTGCTGTAAATAAGAATAATTCTTATTAATACCACACAGATATTAAAAAAAAAAACTGAAGCTACCAGAAAGTAAAAATATACATAAATACATTATGTATCAGGGATGTTATGAATATGAAATTTCGGATACGGATAGGTTTCGGATATAGGAATGATTATTATACCGATATACGGATGCGGATATGTTATGAATATGAAATTTCGGAAAATACAAATAGCTAATAAAACGGTTACATAACGTGATATAGGAATGATTATTATATCGGATACGGATGCGGATATGGAAATTTTTTTTATATCGGATTATCCGTTAGTTATCGGATATATTTCGGTTACGGATATTAATGTTTTAATCGGATATTTCAAAAGTAAAATATTTTTTTATATCGGATATCTGATAGTTTCGGTTACGGTTACGGATATTTTTTTATATCGGATATCTGATAGTTTCGGTTACGGTTACGGATATTTTTTTATATCGGATATCCGATAGTTTCGGTTACGGTTACGGATATTTATTTATATCGGATATCTGATTGTTTCGGTTACGGTTACGGATATTTTTTTATATCGGATATCTGATAGTTTCTCGGATTTACGGATATTTTTTTATATCGGATATCTGATAGTTACGGTTACGGATATTTGTCCGAAACTTTTATATCGGATATCTGATAGTTTCGGTTACGGTTACGGATATTTTTTTATATCGGATATATGATAGTTTCGGTTACGGTTACGGATATTTTTTTATATCGGATATCTGATAGTTTCGGTTACGGTTACGGATATTTTTTTATATCGGATATCTGATAGTTTCGGTTACGGTTACGGATATTTTTTTATATCGGATATCTGATAGTTACGGTTACGGAGCTCCTTAATATCCCTATTACATATATGAAAAAAAAAAGCTTTTTTCAAATAATGTATATAGCATGGATATAATCAAGACAATTTATATAGCGCCATCTAGTCCCAAGCAAAGCAAAACTTTTTTTGGCAGGTAGCTGATATAATAAGGAGAAACGTAGGCCAATTTTATATTATAAAAATCTTTTTACTTTAGAAAACTAAAGTTAATTTCCACGCGGACGAAGTCGGGAGTACAGCTAGTCGATAATAATGATACAAATATGAGTGTACTCACAGATGTTGCCAGTACTGATGTCATAATCGTATCTCCTGATGGCATACTCGAACGAGTCCACGAAGAAAAACGCGTTCTGGCTGACGTCCCAGCAAAGGCCGTTCGAGACGTCCAGATTCTCTTCCAATTTTTGCACCTGGCAACACAGATTGCGTTATATTTATACTTATACTATATATTTATATATTATACTAGTTATCCCGCGCAACTTTGTCTGTATCACACTAACTTGACATATATCATTATAATTTACATAGTATTTCTTCAAATTATAGCCTACTTAGTTACTCGGCTTCGCCCGGGTGTATGTGAATTATATATGTAAACCGTCCTCTTGATTCACTCTATCTATTAAAAAAATGATTCAAAATCCGTTGCGTGATTTTAAAGATTTATGCATACATAGGGGTGTAATGATGTGGTTTTCTGATGTATAAGCTATATTACTGTAAAGTTTCATCAAAATCCATTCGGTAGTTTTTGCGTGAAAGAGTAACAAACATTTCACAAATTTTCGCATTTATAATAAGACATACTAGCCGACTCGGCAAATGTTTTGCAATATAAATTATAATCGCTTATCGAAAAATAGGGGTTAGTGATAGAAGGGTGAAAATTTTGGGTTGTACGTCTTTCTTAAAGATAATAAATAAAAATAAATGTTAGGGGTGGACAACCCTTAGCACTTAGGGGTATGAAAAATAGATAGTAGCCGATTCTCAGACCCACTGAATATAAATAATCATCCGCAAGACCAGAGGAATTGCAAGTGCTTTGCCGGCCTTTTAAGAAGGAATAAGCTATTTTCTTGGAGGTTTCAATATCGTATCGGAAATATTTTCTTACCTTTCCATCAGGATCTATGCGGTACAAGCTACCTCTCTTCAGGTGGAACTTTCCAGGTTCATACTCGCCTCCCATTGTACCTGTACATAACAACACTTTGTTTATTGACTATTTTTTTTATACCAGCATAATCTCAATTTATTATATTACACTATGCTATTTACACAGCGCCATCTAGACTCAAATTAAGCTAAAACTTGTGTTATGGGTACTAGATAACTGATACAAATATATACATGTAGGTGCGGTTTACAATATGTTGTGCTAAGCTTCACTTAAAATTAATTTTTGTTTTTTACATTCGATATACAAACAAATATATCTGAAAATTAATAAAAATATATTCATATTTGTACTGTTTGTGTTCCTAATCATCTCAGACACACACCACTGATCTTACTACCGTTTAAAGCTTCATGCCTTATGACACCAGCAGTGTGCGCAAGAGACGGCATGACGGCTTCCTTCTTTTTCCACATATACTACAAAACTGAATTAACTATTAAGTAAACTATTTTTAATTCGAATTATGATTAAGGTCGATATTTTCAAAAATTCAAAATATCTTTATTCATGTAGGTCTATTATAGACTCTTATGATATGTCAAATCTACCGTCAGTTCGGAATGATTTCGAGATGAGAAGAACTGACAAGAAACTCAGCTCGTATTCTTTTCAAATAAATGTTGTACATGTGTATTGTACACAATTCATTTTTAAATTAAGGTTGGGAGAATACAGTGACCAGCATATGCTATTGCAAAAGCAAATAGTCTAATCAGTGTTCGTAACCCACTGTCAGCAACCAGTCACGAGTATGACGGATGAGCCAGCCATCATTGCACTCAACCATAATAGAGGGAGCTCATTGACCCGGTCTACCACAAGTTTGAACTTGTCTACCATTCCTATAATATAACAATGTAGACTAACTCACCAGCAAATAGTCTCCCGCGAGGATCCGCCTTAGCATCGTTGAATCTGTTGTCAGGATACTGCTGGTCTACTTCCACGACGGTCCTCAGTACCCTGGCGGCGTCGTCTTCTCCAGTCCAGACCACTTCCACCACCTTCCGGTCAAGCCCGACCACGAAGTGGTGTCGCTTGCCTTCAATTGGTATTATGAAGGCGGTTCGCCCATCTATAGATATGTATTATATATATAAACCTTCCTCTTGAATCACTCTATCTATTAAAAATAACCGCTTCAAAATCCGTTGCGTAGTTTTAAAGATTTAAGCATAGATAGGGACGGACAGACAGCTACAGCTACTTTGTTTTATACTATGTAATTATAATATTTATATATGATATTGTATGTTTATTGATATAGTAGGTGTTGAATTGAGAAGGGGTATTATTATGATTTAATAATGTATATAAGATCAGGAACACAAAAGCATAAGAAGAAAAGATCTAATCATTACATAGTATAAAACAAAGTTGCTGTCGCTGTCTGTCCGTCCCTATGTATGCTTAAATCTTTTTGAAACTGCCTCTTATTTCTTTAAATATTACTTTCATACGAACAATTTCTATGTATGTAACTAGTTTAATTATTTACGTTGAAATACTATCTTTCTTTTTACCTATCATTTACAGGTTTTGCAGAATTTAGCTTTTTGTGGAACCCATTTTTTGAGAATAGATGTCCATCTCTATGGATAGTTGCCCCACCATGAAAATACTAAGAAGGATAGACGCCCTCTATACTGTACTAGCTTTTGCCCGCGGCTTCGCTCGCGTTAATTTATCTTCTTAGGGGTGGAATTTATCAAAATCCTTTCTTAGGGGATGCCTACATCATAGTAGCTTTATGCATGCAAAGTCTCAGCCCGATCGGTTTAAAATTGACAAAGTTTCATACAAACTTTCATTCCCTATTTTATCCCCTTGGGGGTAGATAGAATAATCAAACTCCTTTCTTATCGGATGCCTACATCATAACATCTACCTGCATGCCAAATTTCAGCCCGATCCGTCCAGTGGTTTGGGCTGTGCGTTGATAGATCACTATGTCATTCACCTTTGAGTTATGTTGAGTATAGTTGAGTTAACGAAAAACGCAACCAAAGATGAGGTCGTCCAACTCTTGAGGAGTACTTGCAATTGCAATTGCTTCCAATAGACATGTATAGTAGAATATGACTTACCAAGTTTGGACCTGGTGTGCTTGCCCTGTGCAGGCACGTACTTGTGGATGGTGTGGTCGTAGGTGCTGATGAAGTACAGCGCCTGCTCCGCATTGTCCCAGTGTGGACCCTCGCCCAGGGTCACCGGCTCCGTCACCTGCTGTGGGTCTGGACTCATCTGTACATATAAATAAAATTGGAGTGTCTGTTTGTAATATTGAAATAACCATTTTTTACTACATGCATATGAATATAGATACGGTATATACACCAAAATAACTGGTTTTACAATTTTAGTCTGTCTGTCTGTCTGTTTATTCCGGATAGCGTATCCGGATAATCTCAGAAATGGTTGGACCGATTTTGATGGGACTTTTTTTGGCAGGTAGCTGATGTACTAAAGAGTAACTTAGGCTATTATTTTAGAAAAATAATGTTAAATTCCGCGCGGACGAAGTCGCGGATATAACTAGTCTGCAATATAACATAACAATTATATATAGCTCACACAGTAAACATTGGTTTGCTATATAAATTGAAGTATAAAATCGATATAAAAAAACAGGGGTTGGTTATAAAAGGGTGAAAATTTTAAGTTGTATATATATTTGGATGGATATAACTTTCACGCAGATGAAACCTCGGGTAGAGCTAGTAATCTGGTACAAATAGTTATAGATCTGCATACTTTCTATGCATATCGTGTAGATATATCATTACATATAACATTTTTATCCCTAAACATACTGTCCTGTTCTGCTAGCTATTTCAGTTAAGAAGAACAGACAAGAAACATGACTTGAATTTCTTGCCTGTTCGTTTTAACTGCATTGAATTTTTTTTTATATTCTTCCTTTTGTGGTCTAGTGTTTTGTTAAATGTCCAGACTTGTGGCGGCGTGGTGGGCCGGGTCATTGGGCTCCCTAAAACATGGTCGAGCGCAGTGATGGCTGGCTCATCCGTCATACTCGTGAACGGGTGCTGCTTGTAGGGACCGGTCTGCTCTAATCACTATGACTGATTTCCTTTTATTAATTGTTTAACCAGTTGGTTATATATTCAATATTTTTTCTATTTGAGTATTTAATTGAATTAGTGCTAATTGATAGTTTGTATTCACACACTTAACTTAAAAATGTAAAGTAATCATAAAATTATTTAAAAGAGCAACAAACAGCTTTCCGAACGAGCGGTAGATTAAAAAACTTGTATATATATATGCTTCAATGTAAGTTTATTTGAATAAATGATTTTCTATTCTATTCTATTCTATTACGTAGCATATTAGTGGTGTATATGACTAACATATATAAAATCCCTTATCAGAACAACTAACGCCATTCAAGGTCGTCCGCCAAATATTTTTTTTTATATAATATTTAAAAAAGAAGAATGTATCATAATTATTATATTCTTCTTTTTTTAAATATTAATTTTGATTTATTGTGGCCACCTCATTTTATGATCATTTCTTAAAAAATAATTTCAGAACAACATTTATTTATAAGAGCAACACGCAAGTTTCATGCTCATTCTTCTTGTGATGAGTTTGCGTTCTGAATGAGTGGTAGAATAAAAAATATGTGACTATTCAAAAGTACTTGTATTAACTTCTATACTACGCAGATCTTGTATTAACTTATACCAATGGTCCAATTGATGAAATTAATTGTTTATTTGAAAAAAAACTAGTTTATTTGGGGAGCGAAGAAAAAACTTAGAACTGGGTTAGCATGCCAAATCAACCTTAGGCAAAGAATACCTTGTTGTAAAAGGACAACAAAGGAGTTTAAAGAAATCCCGGGGCAATAACAACTAGCAAAAACGGGCGCCTTTACGGTGGGCGTTAAACAACCAACAATAGCGTTCCCAAGGAGGGTTGGTGTTAGGCAGGCGGCCGGCCGTAAAACACTTATGCCAAAAACCTTTGCAGTATGGAAAATATAAATACGATGCGAGTAAGGGCTATATATATATATATATATATATATATATATATATGGATGCGACGTAAGAAGCGAATTCGGGAAACTCAGGATGTGAGACTAAGGTATGCAAGTTGGAATGTAGGTACGATGACTGGAAGAGGAAGAGAACTAGCGGATGTACTAAAAAGAAGACGAATAAATGTGGCATGCTTACAGGAAACTAAATGGAAAGAGTCAAAAGCTAGAGAAATAGGTGAAGGATATAAGTTTTATTACTGTGGAAGTGATGGAAAAAGAAACGGAGTCGGAATTGTGTTAGATAGTAATTTAAAGCAAAGTGTTATGAATGTAAAAAGAGTGAGTGATAGAGTAATAGCAATAAAAATAATGTTACAGAACATAATCGTTAATGTGGTTAGTGTATATGCTCCTCAGGCCGGTTGTGACGATAGAATGAAAGAAAAGTTTTGGGAGGAATTCGATACTGTAATGATGGACATTGCCAGTACAGAAGATATTTATATAGGGGGTGACTTTAATGGGCATGTGGGAAGATTGAATGAGGATTATAAGAGAGTGCATGGAAATTGGGGATTTGGAAATCGCAACCACGAAGGAGAGGCATTACTAGAGGCAGCTTCCGCTTTTGACTTGGCCATCACCAATGCATGGTTTAAAAAGAAACAGGATCATTTAATTACCTACACAAGTGGACACCATAAGACACAGATTGATTATTTCTTAGTCAGGAGAAATAAAATCAATTGTGTCAGAGACTGTAAGGTCCGCCGGGTGAGGATCTGATATCACAACATAGACTACTAGTACTTGATACAAAAATTAGGGTTCAGTATATAAAAACAAAAACCGACCACCCCCAAAAATAAGATGGCACATGCTCGAGAACTATGAGAATGCAATGAAATTTAGAGAACAAGTGAATGATATGATGATAGAAATGAATAATATGGAAGGAAAATCTGTTAACGAATGTTGGAATGTAATAGCGAATGGAATGAGAGGTATAGCAAAACATATTGTTGGCGAAACAAAAGGGACGAGAATGATAGAGAAAGATACTTGGTGGTGGAATGAAAGTGTGCAACAAATACTGAAAGAGAACAAAAGAGCGTTTAAAGAATGGCAAAAGAGCTGTAAAGAGAATGATAATACAAAAGACGAAAAAAAGGAAGTGTATTTAGATAAAAAGAGGGCAAAGAAAGCTGTTGCAATGGTAAGAGCTGAATTCCAAGATAAACTCTACGCCTCATTAGATACTTCCTGAAGGCCAAAAGCAGCTCTTCCGACTAGCAAAAATGAGAGATAAGAGTACAAACGATGGAGTATATGTAAAATGTATAAAAGATGATAAAGGAAAGGTTCTAATGAAAGAAGATGATATAAAAGATCGATGGAAAAATTACTTTGAAAACTTAATGAATGAAGAAAATTCATGGAATAAATCGATAGGAGAGGAAAGAGTGAATGTGGGTTTAGTCAGAGAAGTAAGAATGGAAGAAGTAAAACAAGCTGTGCGAAGTATGAAAAGCAGTAAAGCCGTAGGACCAGATGGAATACCAGTGGAAGTATGGAAGTTATTGGGTGAAAATGGATATAAGTGGCTCACTTTATTCTTCAATAAGTTGTTGCATGAAGAAACTATTCCTGAAGAATGGTGCCAAAGCATATTGGTGCCTATTTTCAAGAATAAGGGTGATGTTATACTGCATTATCGAGGAATAAAGCTTATGTCACATACTATGAAAGTGTGGGAGAAAATGATAGAGAGACGCTTGCGAGAGGAGTGTGATATTTCACAAAATCAATTCGGATTTATGCCTGGTCGAGGCACCACGGATGCCATTTTTGCACTACGCCAGCTGTGCGAAAAATACCGGAATGTAAATAAAAATTTGCATATGGTATTTGTCGATCTCGAAAAGGCATACGACCGAATTCCCCGTCTAGTTTTGTGGTGGGCCCTAAAGAAGAAAGGTGTACCAGGGAAGTATGTAGATCTGATACGTGCCATGTACATTCGGTCTAACACATACGTCCGATCGGCGGTAGGTGCCTCCGATAAGTTCAGTGTGGCGGTAGGCTTACAATCGAAGCCCTTACCTCTTCCTCATTGTAATGGATGCTCTGACATCGGACATTCAGGACGAGGTACCCTGGTGTATGCTGTTTGCCGACGATATTGTGCTTGTTGGTGAGGATGGAATCGAGGTCCAGAGTAGACTAGATAGATGGCAAGAAAAACTGGAGAGTGTTGGCTTGAAGATCAGCAGAACTAAAACTGAATACCTATTCTGCGATTTCGGCGGTCTCTCCAGTTTCAAGCCTATCTATCTAAACGGTGTAATGCTTCCGGTCTGCTCCGATTTTCGGTACCTCGGTTCAGTTATTCAGAACACTGTAAGGCACAGAATGGGCGGGATGGATGAAATGGCGACAGGTCTCGGGAACGATATGCGACCCCCGAATGCCCTTGAAACTAAAGGGTAAAATTTATAAATCTATCATAGGACCTGTCATTTTGTATGGATCTGAATGTTGGGCCATAAAGGGGATGGACGAAAGGCGTGTGCATGTGGCAGAAATGCGAATGTTAAGATGGATGTGTGGGGTTACCAGGAATGACAGAATAAGGAATGAGTATATACGAGGAAGTTTGAAAGTTGCGCCGGTTATAGAAAAGTTGCGAGGTAACAGATTGAGCTGGTATGGGCATGTTATGCGGAGGAATGAGGACCATGTCTTATGGAAAGTGTATAATATGAATGTGGATGGATGGAAAGAGAGAGGACGCCCTAAGAAAAGATGGATGGATTGTGTGAAAGATGATATGAATAAAAGAAGAGTATGTTTAGATATGACGATTGATAGAGATCAGTGGAAGAGAATGACATACTGCGCCGACAAATAATGGGAAAATAATGATGAATTGTTTATTTGAATAAAGATTATTTCTAAAATAATAATTTCAGGACAATTGACGCAGCGCCATCTAGACCCAAGTTAACTGAAGCTTGTATTATGGGTACTTGACAACTGATACAAATACATTTTGTTTTCGTAAATACATACATATTATATATAAAAAACACCCAGATGGATACAAACAATCATACACATGAATACAAACGTTTATACCGTGCGAGGAATCGAAACCACGACCATCGAAAGTGAGGCAGTGTCGGCCACCAAACTACCGAGGCCGTCAAAATTCTATTCTAATAAAAAGTTACAATTAAAATATAACTTACATTGAACTGATTAATCGTTGGAGATGAACCGTCTGTTTACAACGTACGTACAAATATGACAGACAGACTAATGTGAGCGGAATTATCTAATCTAGAGCAATCATCATTTAAGAGGTGATTAAGCTAATGTGCTTGATAAATTGAACATACAATTAGAATAATAATTAAAAAAATATTCTAAACTGTGTCAACGCGTCACAGACTTAGTGGTTGCTACTCAGATTTAATCTCGAGAAGACGCGATTTCGAATCTCGTCAAAATTTAAAAAATAGCAGGTTATTTTTTTTTATCAAAGTTAGATATACTACATATATATATATATGCTCCGAAAGGGATAGACAGACTTTTATGAAATTTTATATGCATATATTTTAATAGATAGTAGCCGATTCTCATGCCTACTGCTGAGAATCGACTATCTATTTTTCATACCCTGAGTGATAAGGGTTGTCAACCCCAAAACATCTATTAATAGTGATTTTAATTTATATGGCAAAACAATTTTTTTTGTTAGCTAGTATACTATATATACTACATGATACAAATCGTCTCATAATCTGCCCACCATCATGAAGGAGGACTACTGGCCGAAGGGTGTGGTGTATCGGCGCTACCGTGGCGGATTGCCGTCATCACACAGACAATTTAAATATAACAATATATTAGATATATAATATTAATTCCTACATATGTTAGTCTAAAAGGTATTTATGATATGGGCCTAATTGCCTAAAATAAATTAATAATAATAATGTCTGGACTGTGTGAAAGATGATATGGTAAGAAAGGAAGTAAATAACGAAATGACTGCGAACAGAGATGAATGGAAGAGAAAAACATATTACGACGACCACAAATAAATGGGATAAGGAAGAAGCAGATGATGAATAATAATACTGTGGATATCAGTTTCATCTCTAGTGTTTACATCACATAACAAATCTAGGAATCATAAAAAAACACTCACCGAAAGAAGTCGGCTATTTGATCTTAAAACCACGAACTACTGCTAAATACGAGCTGTTATTGATGAAGTTTGGAGATTTTTACGACCTCCATTCCTTTACCGAATAAACACACTGTAAATTCGGTGCTGAAAAAAAAACATATAATTAAACTATTGTAGTAATTAAACAACTAAAATATTATAGTAAAAATAACAATATTTTAGTATTATTTGTATATTACTCATTCATTCATAATTTAAGAGCTACGCTCTTGTCGGTGGAGCTCTTGCCACTTTCCGCGATCTTCCATCATGCTCTTTAATTCTTGATACGACACGACTCCCATTTTGTCCTCAATTTGTTTGATGTAGCTATTCCTTGGTCTTCCCCTCCCCCTCTTTCCTTCTATTTTCCCCTCAATAATAATTTTCATGAAATCATCGTGCCGTATCAAGTGCCCTAACATTTTTCCTCGTCTATTTTCTATTGTGTTCAATATATGCCTTTTTTCTATATATTATATTATACCTGTATATTATTAAATATAAAAAAAAAATAGATTCCCATATCTTTGTGTCTCTTATATTTAATACATATAAATAAAATTGGAGTGTCTGTTTGTACTATTGAAAACGTTTTTTACTACATGCATATGAATATAAATACGGTACACCAAAATAACCTTTCAATCGATCCCCTGTCCAATTCAATCGGGGATCGACGGCCTAAGCCGAGGTACGAACCCCTAGCGGTGCCCTCAGACTTACCTAAGACAACTTAAGTCGTATCCGTCAGGCGGGAGTTGGCCTTCAACCGCTCCATAAGTCCTTCCTAGGTTTGGAGTGTCATCTGCACTCGCCCCCTAACGTCCGGTGAAGCTGTAAAGGCCAGCTACGGCCAACAGCATTAGAGTAGTCCGGAAAAAAAAGCGTGTAGCTAGTTATTACATAGGCTACCTGTCTAAGAAAGTCGCGCCAAAATCGGTCCAGCCATTTTAGAGATTAGCCGGAACAAACAGACAGACAACAGAGAATTTTAAAGTTAGTCGTAAGTTGGCCGCAGCTGACCTTTAGGTCAACCAACAGCATTAGAGTAGTCCGAAAAAAAAAACGATATAACCATTTTTTTAAAAATTGTCTGTTGTCTGTCTGTTTGTTCCGGCTAATCTCTAAAATGGCTGGACCGATTTTGGCGCGACTTTCTTAGACAGGTAGCCTATGTAATAAGGAGTAACTCAGGCTACTTTTATTTTAGGAAAATAGAGTTAAATTCAACGCGGACGAAGTAGCGTGTACAATTAGTATTTTAGAATATCTAAGGACACTCTATTCTCCCAAATTTGAATTTTAATGACTGTATATTATTATAAACATGTTCCACTATTATTTGAAAAAAATACGAGCTGAGTTTCTTGTCAGTTCTTCTCATCTCGATATCATTCCGAACTGACGGTAGATTTGACATATCATAAGAGTCTGTAATAGACCTACATGAGTAAAGATATTTTGACAATTTACATAGTGCTATATAGTTAAGCAGATTATGTTATGACTAAAACTATGATGAAAAAGCGAAAGTTAATTAATATAATATAGGTAATTAATATGAATAATATCCGTAAACCTCACTAGCATAAACGAACATATATTTTTCCAATTATTCTAACAAAAATTGTTTATATATAACATAGTTCTGAGGCAACATTATATATGTTAATAAATAAACTATCGAATTAAGAATCTCTTTTCTAAGTCGATAAAAACATCAAAATTATAAAACATTGTTACGTCTTGTATATCTTTTTACTAACATTATAAACGCGAAAGCTTATGAGTGTGGATGGATACTAGTAGTAGTTTATTACTTTTTCACGCAAAAACTACTCAACAGATTTTGATGAAACTTTACAGTAATATAGCTTATACATTAGAATAACACATAGGCTATAAAATTCACGCGCGTGAAACCGTGGGACCGCTATTCTTGTATAACATTGTTGACAGCGTTATTTTCATTGGTAGCGAGTTCGATTCCTCGCACGGTACAAACATTTGTATTCATGAGTATGATTGTTTATATCGGTCTGGGTATTTTCTACGTATATTATGTTACTACAAAAAAAATCTAAATATTAGTATCAGTTAGCTAGTACCTATAACACAAGCTCTGCTTAACGTGGGACTAGATGGCGCTGTGTTAATTGTCCAGGATTATTTATCATTACCTTGAATTGTCAAGTATATCCATGCCTTGAATGTCAGAGATGTCACTAAATGTCTGTGACACAAACTGACATGTTATGACACCTTTCTCTATGCTCCATTTGCATAAAGTTACTCTTTGATCTATAGATGTACTCAATAAGAAGTCGTCCACAAGACGCAATCCGGTGATTTGTGAACAATGGAACTTCTCTGAAGCCCAACTGGCTATTAATTCAACGCCATTTTGTTTATATTCTAATAATTTCAAATGTATTCCATTATCATCACCTCCAGTGGCTATCAGTAATAGTTTATCAGTTATATATATCGAATCAAAACTATTTATACCCGATTTATTGGTGTTCATTGTGAATATTGGGTTTAATTCCAAAATTTCTATATCGGGCATGCCAATATCCCAAAACGTAACCTCACCTCTTGTTGTACACGTAACTATCAAGTTTCTATTATCAAATTTAACGTGTTTAGTTTTTAAAATACACGTTTCATAACACTTCTGTGTTGTAAGTGATTTAAAATCAGCAGTTTCTAAATCGAAGCTAAAACTACGTAGAGTCGCATCTGAACAACCGGCGAAAATTATAAATTTATTTTCATTTATGGCTATAATATCAACGTCCATTATTCTTGTTTCTGGATCGAAGTCTATGGTACAGTCGCGCCATGTTTGTTTCCCTTTGCGTTCCTTTTCAGTCCCTTTTATCATGTAATCTACACATTGTTGTGTTTTAGTTGCAATTCCATTGTTTATGTTAGTGAATTCTATTATTTTTATACATATTTGCGCTCTTCCACCCGCAGATACTACAAGTATTTTATCATCTGTCAAAGAATAACTTTTTAAAGTTCTAACACTGGATAGATGTTTAAAGATGGTATCCTCGCGAAATTTAAGTTCATTGTCTATTGAAGATATTCTTAATGTAGTATCTTCTCCACCAGTTATATAAAATATAATAGAATCACTTAAGTTTGTTCTATATGATATTAAACAATTAATTTCTTTAGAATGTGATCCACTTATAACATTCCTAGAAACAACTTTACTCATTTGAAATTTATGAACTTGTATAACACCCTTCTTAAGGTACATAAGCATTATAAATTCCTCATATACATCATTCACTTCGTCAATATAACGCACCACGTCCCAAGATCTGTGTCCTCCCCCACACTCTACATTTAGTAACTTTGATTTATTTTTAATGTCATAGACAATAAAAGTTCTTTCTTGAAAACCACAGACAACATTCTCGTTTTTGTCTATAAACTTTTCAACCCATTGAAACTCTAAATCTTTAGAACTCATATATTTTGCTAGTGTTTTATTTTCATTGCTTAAATTAAAATACTTTATTGTACCATCTCTGCCTGTAGTAATAAATTCGTCAGCCTTAATAGTAATGGATGTAGGTCCGTACCTACCGTGGACTTTACTAAAGCTTTTGATTGGAACTCTATTACTATTCCTATACACGTGTATATTCCCACATCTGTCTCCCACAACTAGCGTACCATTTCTAGAATCTATATCAGCAGCAGTTAACCACCTTTCTTTGCATGGAGGCAGGGTAAATTGTTTATACAACTCTACAATATTTTCTCTTGAAGCTAAAACATTTATAAGACCTTGTTCACAACATAAAACCAGATGTCTGTTGCCTGCCCAGTGCATTGAAAGTATTTTTCCGATTTCTAGTTTCGTTTTCATAACATTATATAATGTTGCATCACCTTTACAATTTTCTATAAAAACATCAAAATTTCCACACATATCAACAACTGCAACCAACTGTTTGCAAGATGACAGACTTATTAATTTATAAGTGGATTCATGTGTTAGTTTTTGAACAGTTTTAACTTTTGTTTTTAAATCGTAATGAATATTTTCATCGCATTCATTTAAAATGACTACATTTTTTCTAGCAGTGAAAAGTATGTTTTTAGGAGGACCTACTTCTAAATTAAGAGTTTCATTTTGACCATATTCAACAGTGATGGCTAGTGGATGAATTATTACACCACAATCACCACCACCAGTAACCAAATGTTCATCGTTGCTGTCAACAGACCATATACCGCCGTTCTGATGAGTTACCCATTTTCTTAACAAATTTCCTTGAAAGCTCCAACAGCATATAGCTGAGTCTTCACCAACCGATACTACCATATCTCTTGTAATACAATTTCTCATAACTCTGGCTGTATGGCCATACAATTCATGAGTGCAGGTTATGTCTGCCTTTTGCCAAAACTCTATAGTGTCGGCTCTAGATGAGTTTGAATTTGTGCTTACACTCCATATACGGACAGATCTGTCATCAGATGTTGTCACTATTAGGCGTTTTTCTTGGTTACATGATATTGAAAATATAACACCCTGTAACAGATGAATATTAATTTTATTATTAATCATTCTATATCTATGTTTGTTAAGGACAATGTAGAATTCTTATAGTAAGTTAAGTCATTTTGGACAAACAATCAATCAAATATTTTTAATGATTCTATGTTCATCAGAGATAATGAAGGATTCTAATAGTAAAAGAATTTTTCAAATCGGTTAAGTCGCTTTGGACAAACAAACAACCCAATCTTTCCTCTTTCTATCATCTTTGTAATATTTGTATAGTTATGTATGTAGTTTGTTATTAATATTGACACTGTTATCAAGAAAAATTGTAAATTGTTGTTGTGTATATCAGTGTCTAGCTGATGTATTTGTTTGTTGTTCTCTAATGATTAGGCTCCCAATAAACAATATTCATTATTGTAATAATTACTAAACAAAAAATTCATTTCATCACATTAGTTTTCATTCTATAAGACATGTATTTTGAAATAAAAATGACTAATTATATGTGGTGTTTTTAAAAGGCGATAACAGTATATCTTGTTGAGGTATCAGTGGAAATATTACACTATTTCCTGCATAAAAGCAGATTCACGCGTGAAAGAGTGTATGTGTAAAGGTAGCTATTAGTAGTGTTTAGAAGGGATTTGTTAGCAGCAGGTCACCATGTTAAGTTGACTTCATATGAAAACCATTGTGACAAATTCCTACTGAATTTGCTATGATGCAAGGGAGAAAGAGGTTTGTTAATAATGTGGACTAATAACCCCATTACTAGCAATACACCATGTCAGGTTGACCTCCATGCAGTTACCACTCGATACCATAGTGATATATGTCTGATGAATTTACCCTCATCATCCTCCACTGGTGATCCGCCAAGATATACCGTTAGCGCAAGCAGGTGTATCATTCCATTACCATTAACATGTTAAACACCCCATGCCTATGGTGGGTCACTCCGCAACGAAAGTAAATTTACATGTTGGGACCGGGAGATCACTCGTGGGCACTTTAATTGAAATCAATATAGGGGTTCAATAATGTCTACTTCAAACTATTGTACACTTACCACATATTTAAAAAATAATATACGTAATTAACAATAATAAAAACGCAGTCCCTATGTGAGAAATAAGATTTTTCAATCATCAAAATATATAGTCCATACAATAAGTAAAGTTGTAGAAATTGTTACCATAACTTATTGAACATACCTTATGTCCTTTCAAGTAATGTAGGGGCTTCTCAATCTTACATGCATGTATTATGACCTCTGAGAATACTGTGCCAGCCAGCACCAGTACATCATCCTGAAGAGGCACCAGTAACCCACTATACAGAATGGAGTTCTCTTTGCTTGTGTACTGTGCGCTCAGACTCTGTGTTGCAGTGTCCCATATCTGGAATAGATAATGAGAAGCTGTTATATAGATGTTTTGTACATTAGCTAACATTAAAATCTGTCTGGAAGGCATCTGGCTGTTTTAAATAATAAACCAAATTACACCCAATATATTATTGTATTAGACATTTTTATTCCTATTAAACAAATATCTTATATATAAAATTCTCGTGTCACAGTTTTCATTCCCATACTCCTCCGAAACGGCTTGACCGATTCTCATGAAATTTTGTGAGCGTATTGAGTAGGTCTGAGAATCGGCCAACATCTATTTTTCATCCCCCTTAATGTTAGGGGTAGTCCACCCCTAAATTATTTTTTTATTTTAAGTCAAAACAACATTTGCCGGGACAGCTAGTTGGATATATAATATAAAGATATTATTAGTTACTAGCTACTCGCCCTGGCCTCGCACGGGTGTACATATATTATATATATAAACCATCTAGAATCACTCTACCTGTTAAATACAATCATTCTGTCTACAACTATACATCATGAACTCAATAAATCAAGTTAGCAAGCAGTATGGGTCACAGCAGACTCATGAGCGTATGGATCACAGCAGACTCATGAGCATATGGGTCACAGCAGACTATGCAGACTATGACAGCATACACAGCATGCAAAGGGTTATATAACTTTTGTTGTAGTCTGTCACAATTTGATATTAAAATGTTCTGTACACAAAAATATATAATAAAATTCTTTAAAATATAATATATGAACTATAAAAGTATGTGGCCAGTACATCAGCAACAACTGTCATATTAGTTGGCAGTTATTCTTGAACTTTCATGTTTAATATACATTATTAACTGGGTTGTAACCAATGATGGAGTGCGCAGCAGTGGCCCCACAACGAAAACAAATCCTCGGAACGGTGAGGTCGCTCCGTGAAGCCTGTGAAGACACCAGGAGTCTTCTGTGCTTTTGGGAGGAGCTTGGCTGGCTACTTCAGTAATGTGGCTCTGCACGCACAACGGCCCGAATGAGAGGCTAATTGCGGAGACTGGAGTCCAACATACAATACAATACTGGGTTGTAATTATATTACTACAGTCAGCTCATGACCATGGACAGTGCAACCTAGTCGAAACATTGCGAGAAGTATACTTTTAGTTGTTATAAAATTATTCAGCTTCATTATATAGTATAAAACAAAGTCACTGTCTGTCCGTCCCCATGTATGCTTAAATATTTAAAACTATGCAACAGATTTTGAAGCGGTTTTTTTTAATAGAGTGATTCAAGAGGAAGATTTATATATATAATACATGTACATCCATGCAGCCGGGGTGAGTAGCTGGTTAATATAATAAATTAGTACCTGAACAACATTGTGAGCAGTCAGGAATGCTACAGTTTCGTCTTTCATCCACAATGCGGAGTGCAGCCAGTCATTACACACTACAGGCTCAAATAATCGCGTCAATTCAACACTATTCGTATTCTCACTAACCACGGTAAATTGTTTACCGCCAAATATAACTATTTTATTCGAATATTCAGACGGAAAAATACCATAGATTTTTTGTCCATTCAAACAGATAATTTTTTGTAATAATGATCTGAAAACGTTCTCATATACATGCAGAGAACTACCGATGCCTGAAATGGTGCAATATAGACGGTTATTTTTTTATTTTAATATGGCTAAAGAAATTTAATAACAAAAGAATAGGTTATCCAGTTTACCGGCTAAAATTAAGTTTCTATGTATTTTAACAGCAGTAACATCTGTACGTGTTATTAAAGACATTTTAAATATATTTAATCATAAAATAATAATTAAGATAATAAGAAAATTAATATATATTTTTTTAATTGAACAAAATTTTCACAAGATCACGTATAAGACGAAAATCAGATGGTCAATGACATATTGTTATGACACGATTAATGTAATGTCCAAGTGTCAGTCACAGTAGAAATGTACATAACAATTTACAATCATTAATCGATATTGACTGAAATATTTATAATCTGTAATGCGATACTTAATTTATTGAAACAATTCTCTGTGTCCTCAATTTATAGCCTATATGTTATTCATTTCTAAAAGCTTTATTATTGTAAGGTTCATTAAAATCCATTCAGTAGTTTTTGCATGAAAGAGTTACAAACATACATCCATCCATCCACACTTATAAACTTCCATGTTTATTTTGTTTGTTTATTGTTTAAGAATCCTAAGTAGATATATAATAATATTTAAATAAAACATCAGGTAAAGGGTTTTTATTTAATTAGGAAATACGAAAAACTTAAACATAAAATTATTCGCTCTGATATCGATTCAGTGGATAATGTTCGGGATATTTCTTCAGATGCTCCTCCATTTTTTGCATTTGTTTCCTGTAAATATAGAGAAAGATATTTAATTATTTTCATTGTAATTTTACAATAGTTCATGTTTAGTGCTGAAAAATAAAATATTGATATCGATGTAATAAAAAGTTGTTAAGTATTTGTTAAATTACTTATTGCAAATGCAATTTATTTAAGATATTAATTAGATCAATAATCATATTATTAAGTAGATTAAATACGAGTAGATTAAAGTTTGCAAAGCTCAAATTATACTGATTACAAAAGAAATGTTCCAATATTAATAATTTTATGAAATCAGATTAGTTTTGAATATCAGCTTAAATATTTTCTTAATGTAATTATTTTTTATTCCGGCGAGTATAGGGAAATAAATACAGGATAAATAGGATGATATGAGTTTAATATTTTGTTAGATTTTGGCTCAAAAGGACTTGTATACAGAGTCGTAAAGCATAATAAATAAAAAAAAAAATTAAAAAAATGAATGCTTACTGGATTCGTGGCGGCATATCATAGTATACGTCTTCGAGCATTTCTTTCCAGTGTGGTAGCTTCTTTTTCTCTGCTTCTTGCATCGTCCTCACCACTGTATTCCGGCACTCTTTTATCCATGCTTTATCAGTTTCCTCATCCCAAAGGCCTGGAAAATGAGCATATACAATAAAAACACTATACACTAATTATATATTTTTTAAATAATTTATTTACGTTATAGAGGTAAAACAAGATGTTTAAGATTTTCCCAGTTATTGCCTTTGTGCACGATAATCTCCGAAAAAAACAACTAAAATCTTTTCATGCAGTTATCACTAATGTACTTAATAATTTCAATGGTTATAAAAAAAATTACTTAATACAAAAAATATACGTGGCGACTTAAACATAACAATTAATATTTAGTAACAACAATTAAATAACATAAATCAGTATAAGTTCCTGTAATTCAAGTATTTAACTTTGTTAGGGTTATTATTACAGTCCGGCCACTATTGTAGTGATGTGACCAAATAACCTTGAAACAGCGCAGTTTGATGTGGTTTAAATTTTAAAAACTATGTATGTACGTCAGTTCAAAGTTACATTGCCCACTCGATCCCGACCAGTCCGTAACGCAAACTGAACGACCCGACCATACATTTAATTTTGCTGTAGCTATAATACCTACCTACTCTAATTGTATACGAACGGAATCGAGTCGCATTTCAATATTGTAATTAGGTTATGTTAAAGATTCGATACAAAATTATCAATGTACCTTTTCCTTCTAAGTATAAACGGAATTTTTGTATGGGACTTTCGTCTTTGGTCCATTTATCGATTTCTTCAAGGGGTCTGTACGCACTGCTATCATCAGATGTAGAATGATGACCGACTCTGTAAAATAATTTATATTATTAATACTATCAAACGAGTAAAAACTTTAACTATTCTATTTCACAGACAAGAACAGAAAATTCTTTATTCAAATAAACATTGAAGCAACTTTTGAATAGACAATATTTTTTTTTAATCTATTGCACTTTCGGTATGTTGTCACATCACAAGAAGAACGAGCAAGAAATTTGCGTGTTGCTCTATTAAATAATTTTGTTGTCACTTTACATTTTTTAAATTGATGTATGAATATAAACTACAAACTGGCACTATATTTATTTTAGATACCTTTTTGTAAATACATACATAATATGTATATATAGAAAACACCCAGACCGATACAAACAATGATACTCATGAATACAAATGTTTGCACCGTGCGAGGAATCGAACCTTTGAACATCGGAAGTAAAGCGGTGTGCTAAACTGTTAGACCACTGAGGCCGTCAATATAAAATAGGTTTTTTTTATTGATAATGACGATAATGGAATGATGCACTCGCTCGCGCTAACGGTTTACGCTGGCGGGGCACCAGTGTAGGATGATAAAATAAGTCAAAAGGTCAACTGACCTAACTGAACTGACTTAACTAAGTCCTCGTGACAATAGGTTTTTTTTTATAATCATAATGGGAATGGTGCTACCATTCGTGCTAACGGTTTACGCTGGCGGGGCACCAGTGGAAGATAATAAGATGAATATAAGATCATGTCAGTTAGCGCATCGTGGCAAATTCACCAAGGATTTATCACGATGGTTTCCAGGGGAATCGCGTGGAGGTCAACCTGACATGGTACATTGCTAGCAATGATTTTTAGTCTACATTACTACCCTTCCTCCCAATTATAATAATAATATAAATAACCCTAGACAATTAACACAACACCATCTAGTCCCACGGTAAGCAGAGCTTGTGTTATGGGTACTAAACAACTGATATAAATACTGAGATATGTTTTTACATTGCTTGTAGTGGGATTATTACACATTATTAACAAAGCCCCGTCTTCCTAATTGTAAAAGTTTTTTAAAATTAATGACAATGGAAGGATACACCCGCCTGCGCTAACAGTTTACGCTGGCGGGGCACCAGCTGAAGATAATAAGATGAACATGAGGTCAGGTCAGTTAGCCAATAGTGGTAATTCACTAGGAATTTATCACAATGATGTCCAGGGGGAATCGCGTGAAGGCAACATTACTTGGTACATTGCTAGTAAAATCTACTTAGTGGCTTATCTAATTATATTACTCAACTAAAAAAATACACCGACCAAAAACAAGCGACCAGAAATTCCCCGTTCCTTTCGATAGACGCGCACTTGCATGGTCGATTGATCTCAGTGTTGCCAACCTTATGATAGGTTTTTTAACATTCCAGATATTTTTTTTATATTCTAAATATCGTTTCAGTGGGGACTGGGGGCCCTTTGTAACTTCGGGGCCCTGGGCTTCAGCCCAAAAAGCCCTTAGGTAGGCCCCTGAGCCGAATTTTAATAGCTTAAATATTATATATAGGAGATCTACTGACCTGTAAGACATGGCCTCAATTAGTACCGGTTTGTTAGTATCCAACACTAGATCTCTAGCTCTAGCGACAGCGTTATACACTGCCAGTGGATCTGTACCATCAACCCTTATGGTGTTAAGACCAAGAGCGGGACCTCGTGCCGCTATCCCGTCTCCACGGTACTGCTCGCCTGATGGTGTTGAGATTGCATATCCATTGTTTCTACTGCGAATTGTAAATAAGATAACATTATTTTATTAATATTATAAATGCGGAAGTTTGTGAGTATGGATGAATGGATGTTTGTTACACTTTCACGCAGACTACTGAACGAAATCTGATGAGCTTTTACAATAATATAGTTTATACATTAGAATAATATATAGGCTATAAATTACATGCAGGTGAAACCGTGTGCGTAGTTGTTAATGTGTAATAATAATACAAGACATAATATCTCAGGACAATTCACACAGCGCCATCTAGTCCCAAGCTAAGCAGAGCTAGTGTTATGCGTATTAGACAACTGACAAATACATAGACACATTATTATTGTAAATACATAGATCATACTTAAACCGATACAAATAGTCATACACATGAATACAAATGGTCGTACAATGCGAGGAATCGAACCCGTGATCGTGAATTTGCCTGTAGACTACCGAGGCCGTCAAATCAATATGGATTATGATTATATGAAAAAATTTAATCGTATTGCATATTTATATTTGACCCAAAAAATTAGTGCTTGTTGGTAGTTTGTATTCACACGTTTCGACTTGTAAATGTAAATTTACAAGGATTATTTAAAAGAGCAACACACAAGTTTCTTGCTCGTTCTTCTTGTGATGCGACAGCTTTCCGAACGAGTGGTAGATAAAAAACAAATTGTTATGACTACACTACTACACACACATACCCATACTCCTAATCATTTGATTAGGAGTATGGGTATGTGTGTGTGTGTGTGTGTGTGTGTGGAGATGGACACTATAATTTTTTTTCCTCATATTTTCTTGTATATTTATTACTTTGATTTTTTTTTTCTCTCTTTACATTGTGTTAAATTAAAGTTCTGTACAATCTAGTACGCCAGTAAGAATATCGTCTCTTTTATTATTATTACATTTCAGTTTCTTTTTTTTTCTATTTGTATTCAAAAGTACTTAAGTTTCTTTTTTCATTCCTTTATGTACACAACTGCAAATGTTCACAGAATGTCGGAGGGAACTGGCTTTCGTGGCACAGGTTCACCTATTTCGAAAGCCAGGGCTAACTATATTTAACTGTACCGTACATTTATGAATAAAGTTTATTATTATTATTATTACAATATGGATGTAATCTGAATTAAAATAAATAAATAAATTATAATCCATTAAAAAAACCTCACCAAAGCATAATAACCGGACAGTCAAGAGTTGCAGCGAAGTTGAAGGCAGCGTGTGCATCACCCTCGGAGGCAGCTCCTTCTCCGAAGTAGCAGATGACGCAGCGGTCGTTGTTTGGTACACGTTTCAGTGCATATGCTGCACCCACAGCTTGCGGCATTTGGGTTGCTGAATTATAAAAAAGTGCTTAAATGTAAGTTTATTTGAATAAATGATTTTCTATTCTATTCTATTCTATTCTATAAAATATTACTAATATATAAACGTGGAAGTTTGTGAGTATGAATGATTGTTACTCTTACACGCAGAAACTGCTGAATGAATTTCAATGAAACATTACAATATAATAGGGGTTATATATGAAATTGCTGTTCTATAGTAATAGATATTAAGACATATTTTGACATAACACCTTCATGGTGCGATTTTTTCGAGTGAAAGTTTTGATGCATAATGTATAAGGTAACACTACAAATGCAAACAATCATACTCGGGAATACAAATGTTTGTACTGTGAGAGGAATCAAACCGGCCAGCAACGGTAGTGAAGCGGTGTGCTTTTTTTTTTTTTATAGATGATAATGGAATGGTGCACCCGTCTGCGCTAACGGTTTACGCTGGCGGGGCACCAGTGGAGGATGATAAGATGAGCATGAGGTCAGGTCAGTTAGCCCATCGTGACAAATTCACCAAGAATTTATCACGATGGTTTCCAGGGGCAACCGCGTGGAGGTCAACCTTACATGGTACATTGCTAGCAATAAGATCATCAGTCCACATTACTAACAATCCCCTTTCCCCCCGAAGCGGTGTGCTAAACTACTAGACCATCAAGGCTGTCTAATGATAGGCCATCTTACAATTAGTTAGATTAGAGACTGTCGGAATAATAATTAATTATGAGTTTATATGTTCCACTATTTTGTATAATTGTAGTGTAATGATAGATAGAGGAAAGGAATGATCATCATCATTTCAGCCCAGAAAACACTGCTGAACAAAGACCTCTCCCAAAAATTTTCACGACGTTCGATCCTGCGCTGTTCGCATCCAACGCCTTTCAGCGACGAGTTTAGGCTAATATATTCTGCTATAAAATTTCTGATAAAGGTAATTTCCAACAAACAATCACGTTACATTTTAAATACGTACCTAAAGGACTTGATATGGTAACGATATTGTGTTGCTTGCTCCCATAATGGACAGGCATTTGTTTCCCCTTGCCCGGATCCTCGTTGTTCCCATAACACTGGTTGACGAGCTCCGTCACCGTGCTACCTCGGAACAGAAACACTCCGGCCTCCCTGTACTGAGCGAACACCAAGTCCTTTGGTGATAACGCTGCAGCGCTGCCCACGTGGATTCCTTCTTCGCCGTAATTTGTCATATAAAAAGATATACGACCTTGCCTGCAAAGATTCGTCAATTAAGAAATATAGAATTCATAACGCTGACAATGTTATCTGAACAGAGATTAAGTGTATAGCAGTTTCTATGATGATTGTCGCAAGCCTGAGCCTTGTTAATGTAAATATAATTAAAACAATATTTATTTAAAAGAGCAACACACAAGTTACTTGCTCGTTCTTCTTGATGAGTCTTCATTCGGAATGAGCGGTAGAATAAAAAAATTTTACTATTCAAAAGTTTATTTGAATAAAGATTATTTCTATTTCTAGAACAGCTGGTCTTGTTACATGCGTTCTCGCGTATGTCCAAATCAAATCAAAATATCTTTATTCATGTAGCTCTATTACAGACGCTAATATATTATTATTATTATTATAATTTATATGTAGATATATGTATACATTATACTTAAGTATTTATTTAATATTCTTGTTATAATATATTTTATAATAATGTTTTTGTAGAAAATATCTAACTTAAAATTCATAGCGCTGACAATGTTATCTAATTGAACAGAGATTAAGTGCGTAGCGGTTTCTGTTGATTGTCGCATGCCTAATCCTTGTTATTAATTAAATATAAGTAAATCAATATTTATTTAAAAGATCAACACACAAGTTTCTTGCTTATTCTTCTTGTGATGAATCTGCATTCCGAATAAGAGGTAGAATAAAAAAACTTGACTATTCAAAAGTGCTTATATTAAGTTTATTTGAATAAAGATTATTTCTATTTCTATTATTTCTATTAAATATTACAGTTATGTATAATGCGTTTGCTTTTTTCCTTTGTTGCTATTGTCGTGTAAGTATCTATTTCCACCACTCCAAAATTCCTTTCAGTCATTCAAAGGTTGCCTGGAAGATAAGTCCGCCATTGTACAACTTATTTCTTAAGATCGTTGTATCTGTTATTTTAAATGTACTGTACAATAAAGTGTTAAAAACAAACTCTTATGATACATCAAATCTACCGTCAGTTCCGAGTACTTTCGAGCTAAGAACTGACAAGAATCTCAAGCTCTTTCTTTTAAAAATAAGCTTGTATATGTTTATAAAAATGTAGATTCATTTTTAAATTAAAATTAGGGAGAATAGTGTGACCACCATATACAATTGCAATTCTGTCAAAAGAAAATAGTCCAATCAAGGACCGTATCTTGAACAGACCAGTCCCCAAGCAGTCCCTGGGCAATACCTGAACATCATTGGTTTGCTTCTCAAGCAAACAGTACACTGAGGTGCTGTGATCTATCTATTTAGAGCTGGAAATTTATATATTGGGTCATTCAATTTGATAAGCGGCCTGTTTAATCTGGTTTATTTATTTATTTTAAGTATCTGTTATCAAGTCATCTGTTTATTTAACTGCGAACAATTTCAGGCAAATCGTGCTCGAAATATCGACCTATTGTAGTCTATCATTATCATTTTATAGCGTATCTGTGGTCATGTGAGTTGAAAACTTTTTGAACCACTGGATTTTTTAATTTAATAACTTGGTTTCAATATACTTTTCTCATCATCATCATCATTATCATCATCGCAGCCCGGAAGACGTCCACTGCTGGACATAGGCCTCCCCCAAAGATCTCCACGACGATCGGTCCTGCGCTGCTCGCATCCAATGCCTTCCAGCGATCTTGACCAGATCGTCGGTCCACCTTGCTGGAGGCCTTCCCACGCTGCGTCTTCCGGTCCGTGGTCGCCACTCGAAGACTTTACTGCCCCAACGGCCATCTGTCCTACGAGCTATGTTCCCTGCCCGTTGCCACTTCAAAGTCGCAATTCTTCGGGCTATGTCGGTCACTCTGGTTCTTCTGCGGATCTCCTCATTTCTGATTCGATCACGCCGAGTAACTCCGAGCATAGCCCTCTCCATTGCCCTCTGAGTGACTCTGAGCTTGTTGAAGGGGCCCATAGTTAGCGACCACGTCTCTGTTCCGTAAGTCATCACTGGCAACACACATTGGTCGTAAACCTTCATCTTGAGACACTGCGGAAATTTGGACGAAAAGATATATCGGAGCTTCCCGAACGCTGCCCATCCGAGTTGGATTCGACGATTGACCTCTTTCTCGAAATTGGATCTACCTAACTGGATAGTTTGCCCTAAGTATACGTAGTGATCGACAATTTCGAGTGTAGAGTCTCCGATTTTTACGGTAGCAGGTACGACATCGACGTTTGACATTGATATACTTTTCTAATAAACACAATTAATTCAAGAGTCGTCATTATACTCGCCTCTTGATTATTTATTCTTGATTGCTTAAAATATTTTACGAAAAATGCGGGCAGGTTAAGTCGTTCTTTGTCCTTGCATTATGCAAGGGCAGTGATCGACTTAACCTGCAGAATAAACAAAGTACAAATATATACAAAATAGAATTAATCTATGGTGAAAAGAGAGTGAAGACGGAGTAGAGTAGAGTCATGAGAAGTAAGAAGAGACAGATCACTCACGCAAAAATATTACTACTAACATTTTGCCACGCACAACCACATTGTGGAATCACCTTCCAGCAAAGGTATTTCCTATACGATATTGAAACCTTCAAGAAAAGAGCTTATTCCTTCTTAAAAGGCCGGCAACGCACTTGCAATTCCCCTTGGTGTTGCGGGTGCTCATAAGCAGTGGTAACCACTTACCATCAGGTGAGCCGTAAGCTCGTTTAACCTTATCTATACATATAAATAAAATTGAAGTGTGTTTGTAATATTGAAATAACCGTTTTTTACTACATGCATATGAATATAAATACGGTAAATACACCAAAATAACATTTTTTATAATTTTTGTCTGTCTGTCTGTTTATTTCGGCTAATCTCTGAAATGGTTGGACCGATTTTGACGGGACTTTTTTTGGTAGGTAGCTGATGTAATAAGGCTACTTTTATTTTAGAAAAATAAAGTGGAGTTTACCCGCGGACGAAGTCGCGGGAACAGCTAGTTCTATAAAATATACGTACCGTTGAGACTCGTACAAAATTTTATCCATTTGACTAAGCTGAATCATCGTCTTGTACATATTTAGTAACGTATCCTTATCGATATTCGGCTCTTCCTTATTATCGATAACTTCCCCGCTGTTGTCCAACACTCGATAAATAGGGATGGGATCATAACTGTTTTCGTTTAGAAACTTTATTTCCGTCGCGTAGGGAGCCCTCGCTCCGGGAAAGTCAGCATTCTTAATATGTTGGACCACATTTGGCTGGGTGTGTGTTGATAGGAGCTAAAAACGTAAATGTAATATAATATTAATACGCGAAGTCAAACTTTTGTACCCCTTTTTACGGAAATTACATGAACGGAGGAATATAAACAAACAAACAAACAATCGTAAACATTTATTTATTTATTCATTTTTGAAAACGTACAAATATTACAAAATTTATTACACATTGGACCCTGTACTAGGCGAACCTGTATCGCGGGACTCCAAAAAAGAATCGAAATTGAATATGAAATTTTGCACACTTATAGTGTACTAGCTTTTGCCGCGGCTTCGCTCGCGTTAATTTATCCCCTTAGGGGTGGAATTTATCAAAATACTTTCTTAGGGGATGCCTACGTTATAGTAGATTTATGCATGCAAAGTCTCAGCCGGATTGGTTTAAAATGGACAAAGTTTCATACAAACTTTCATCCCCAATTTTATCTCTTTGGGGGTAGAATTAATCAAAATCCTTTCTTAGCGGATACCTACTACCTGCATGCTAAATTTCAGCCCGATCCAGTCCAGTGGTTTGGGCTGTGCGTTGATAGATCACTATGTCACTATGTATGTCACCTTTGAGTTATATATAGACTAGCTGACCCTACAGACGTTGTTTTGTCATTTAAATTAAAATCACTATTAAAAGAGTTGTTGATAGAAGGTGAAAAATTTGGGTTGTATATATTTTTGATGCCAAAAAATAAAAAAAATTGTCCGAAATATAAAAAAAAAGTAATACTTTTTTTTTTATTTCGGACAATTTTTTTTGGGTGGATAACCCTTATGACTTAGATGTATGAAAAATAGATAGTAGCCGATTTTCAGACCTACTGAATATGCATATAAAGTTTCATAAAAATTGGTCAGGCCGTTTCGGAGGAGTATGGTAACTAATATTGTGAGACGTATATAAATAACATTGGAGTGTCTGTTTGTAATATTGAAATAACCATTTTTTACTACATGCATATGAATATAAATACGGTACATACACTATAATAACATTTTTTACAATTTTTGTCTGTCTGTCTGTTTGTTTCCAGCTAATCTCTGAAATGGCTAGACCAATTTTGACGGGATTTTTTGGCAGGTAGCTGATGTAATAAGGAGTAACTCAGGCTACTTTTATTTTAGAAACATTATTTTAATTTAAAAAAAATAAAGTTAAATTCCGCACGGACGAAGTCGCCTGTACTGCTAGTATATAATAAATATATAACCCTGGACAATTAACACAGCGCCATCTAGTCCCAAGCTAAGCAGAGCATGTATTATGGGTACTAAACTAAGCAACTGATATAAATACTTACATTTTTTTTTAAAATACATACACAATATACATAGGAAGCACCCAGACCGACACAAACAATCATACTCATGAATACAAATGTTTGCACCGTGCGAGGAATCGAACCCGCGACCATCGGACGTAAAGCAGTATGCTAAACCGCTATACCACAGAGCTCGTATAAATGAAACCTAATAATGATTTCTTACGTCATTTAAATTAACAGTAATACAATGTGAATTAAATTTATTTAAATTACATTCAATACTTAAGTCGTAGTTTGTATTGAATTGAGAACGTAAAAATATGTACTCATTTAAAACAAATAAGACATGAAATAGTACATTCTCTTGCACATCTGCGTAAAAAATAAATAGATATATATTGTCTATGAATTTACTTTACTTTTTAATCTATACATCTATACATATTAATAAAATTGGAGTACTTGTTTGTAACATTGAAATAACCGTTTTTTTACTACATGCATATGAATATAAATACGGTACATACACCAAAATACCATTTTTTACAATTTTTGTCTGTCTGTCTGTTCCGGATAATCTCTGAAATAGCTGGACCGATTTTGACGGGACTTTCTTTGGCAGAAGCTGATGTAATAAGGAGTAACTTAGGCTACTTTTATTTTAGAAAAATGAAGTTAAATTCCACGCGGACGTAGTCGCGGGAACAGCTAGTATATAAAAATATATCTAAGTATTTATATCAGTTGTCTAGTACCCATAACACAAGCTCTGCTTATTTTGGAACTAGATGGCGCTGTGTGAATTGTTTAGGGACTTTATTATTATCTTTATATCTTATATATAAAATTCTCGTGTCACAGTTTTCGTTCCCACACTCCTCCGAAACGGCTTGACCGATTCTCATGAAATTTTGTGAGCGTATTCAGTAGGTCTGAGAATCGGCCAACATCTATTTTTCATACCCCTAAATGTTAGGGGTAGTCCACCCCTAAAATTTTATTTTTAATTTAAGGCAAAACAACGTTTTCCGGTACAGCTAGTATAGTATAAAATGAAGTCGCTTCAACAAACTAACTAACTAACATGAAAATGGGGGGTGGGGATAGTTAGTAATGTGGACTCATGACCCCATTACTAGCAATGTACCATGTCAGGTTGACCACCACGCGGTTCCCCCTGGAAACCATCGTGATAAATTCCTAACTGACCTGACCTCATGTTCGTCTTATCATCCTCCACTGGTGCCCCGCCAGCGTAAACCGTTAGCGCAGGCGGGTGCATCATTCCATTATCATACACATAAAAAAAATAGTATCAAAATAAGGGTAACCTTAAAAAAAATTATTGCGTATCATTTTTTATACCTACGTTCTGAAAAAACATTATTGTGCAAATTTATTGGACAATAAACATATTGTAAATTAGATTAAATTTAAAAATGCACGATATATATATAATTATAATACTTGTGATATACGTACTTTGAAAAACTTGTCTAAAAGCGTTTAATCTCACAAAACTACATACATACTAACATGCAAAAATTAAATTCTATATAATTTTATTGAATTCTTAGAATTTTTTTTTATGAAAATAATGGTAACTCTAAAAAATTTAATGCGTATCATTCTTTAACCGTTCTGTAAAAACATTATTGTGTAAATTTATTGGACAATAAACATATTGTAAATTAGATTAAATTTAGAAATGCACAATATATATATAATTATAATAATTCTGATATACGTACTCTAAAAACTTGTTTAAACGCGTGTAATCTCACAAAATCCACACCACATTTCAGCGCCATATTCTCACTTACTGACGCAAGCCGAAGTCATTCTGTGGTGTGGTATTTACAAAACTGTGTGTACCAAACGACATTAGCAAGTATGATAAGTGAGCGGCCTTTCGTTACGGCTGGTTATCGTTTAAAGTTATCAACGAATTACTTATCAGTAATTTAACTATTAGGCAGATTCTCTATGTACACTGCCAAGTCATTACAGCGGGGTTATTATCAGATTTGTGTCAAGTATTTGCATAAATACTTACCTATTTTTTATTAATATAGTGTACGGGAGAAACATACTTGCGGGTAACCTGATGGTAAGTGATTACCGCCGCCCATGAGCACCCGGGAGTAGGGAATTGCAGTGTGTTACGTTAATAAGGTATAAGCTCTTTTCTTGAAGGTCTCAATATCGTATCCATTCGGAAATACCAAGGCTAGAAGGTGATTCCAGAATAAAACAAGATAAACGCACTGTGGAGGACCGCTGTATATCCAGAGTTTGTGGTGTAATCTATATATCTATACATCTATACATATAAATGGAAGTCTGTTTGGAATATTGATATAACCGTCATTTACTACTTGCATATGAATATATATATATATGTACGGTACAGGCAACAAAATAACATTTTATAATTTTTGTCTGTCTGTCCATCAGTCTGTTTGTTCCGGCTAATTTCTGAAATGGCTGGACCGATTTTGGCGGGATTCTTTGGGCTGGTAGCTGATGTAATAAGGAGTAATTTAGGCTACTTTTATTTTAGAAAAATAAAGTTAAAAACCACGCGAACCAAGTCGCAGGTACAGCTATTCTATATATATAAGTAAAATTGGACTGTCTGTTTGTTCTGGCTAATCTCTGAAATAGCTGGATCGATTTTGACGGGAGTTTTTTGGCAGGTAGCTGATGTAATAAGCAGTAACTTAGGCTACTTTTATTTTAGAAAAATAAAGTTAAATTCCACGCGGACTAACTCGCGTGTACAGCTAGTGTAAACTAAAAACCTATCAATGTAACATTACTATCTATGATGGCCAGGTTGACCTCCACGCGCTTACCCCTAGAAACCATCATCATAAATTCCGGGTGATTTTGTCACGATGAATTACTGACCTGACTTCATGCTCATCAGGTAAAATGGCCAGACATGTGGCGGCGTGGTGGGCCGGGTCATTGGGCTCCCTAAAATATGGTCGAACGCAGTGATGGCTGGCTCATCCGTCATACTCGTGAACGAGTGCTGCTTGTAGGAACTGGTCTGCTCTTATCACTATGACTGATTTAATCTTATTGTATAGTCATATTTGATCCAAAAAATTAGTGCTGGTTGGTAGTTTGTATTCACACGTTTCGACTTGTAAATGTAAACTTACAAGGTTTATTTAAAAGAGCAACACACAAGTTTCTTGCTCGTTCTTCTTGTGATGAGACAGCTATCCGAATGAGTGGTAGATAAAAAACAAATTGTTATGACTATTCAAAAGTGCTTAAATTAAGTTTATTTGAATAAATGATTTTCTATTCTATTTCTACTCTATTCTATCATATTATCCTCCACTAGTGCCCCGCCAGTATAAACCCGTAGACGGGTGCACCAATCCATTATAATCAATTAAAAAAACTCGTATTGGGTAGATAGAGCCAATAACAAAAATATTGATGTAATTAATATAACGGTTTCGCTAGAATTTGAATCTGACGTATCAGAATATATGTCTAACATTGTTTCTTATATTATTTTATCAGTGTATTCCATTACCGGAATGTTAGTCACAAGGTATTACGTACGTTACGGGTTAGGCAGATTTGATCCCACGACCTTTTGTGCGCTCGATAACAGAGCGTTTAAATATAATGGCGAGTTTTCAATTCATAACATTTCTAAATTGATTCGATTCAGTTTTCAATTGGATTTAAATTAGATTTTCGATTGTACAGTAATTTAATTGTGCTTTTTAAAAACATACTTTAGCTTTACTATAGTAGCTCCATACACAACTACATATATTAAAAATAATGTTTGAAATTGAAGAAAAAGTATATTTACTAGCTTTTAACGTGAATCAATCATATAATGGGATACCTCAAACTAATTTATTATTAACAACATTGTTCTATTTTATTTGTCACTAATGAATCACATAATCTACACAAAGTGGTTTTAATCATCATTAATAATAAATAAATAATTTGTCAAATTTCATTAATATTGAGTATTAGTATTTTTGACAATATTAATTAATGTTTTCCATATTAATCATTACTGTCAGGCCGATCTCTTCCTTGAAAGCATTGATGAGGTTGTACGAGGATCGAATCCACAATCTATTTTATACTATTATATTAACAATAAAGATTTAGGTCTATGATAAGTATTTTAAAAACTGAATTATATATTAAATATTTAGGAATTGTGGAACGGTAGTACCTATACAAAATATTTATCTTGAAGCTGATATTTATTTCCAATATGGCAATACTGAAGTGAAGTGTATACGAATAAGATCAAATAATTTAACACTTATTTATTTTATTATCTGGACGTGATATAATTATTTAATAGAAAGAATTGCGCTGAATTATACTCATTTTTATATTAGTCGTTTTTTTATTATTGGTCGAATCGATTTATAATCAGTGATTGTATTATTCGCATCTCTATTATTTAGTGGTTGTCATTTTGATTTGTCAAAATTGTCAGGAATATGTCAGTTGCTCAGTTCAGTTAGATTTTCGTGGTTGTTTAGGTAGTTGTTAGGTTAGTGTAATAAAATTTGTAATTGCTGTAAAGTTTATTTCTTACTAAAATGCCTTATTGGTATTATGACAAAAAAGACTTGCAAAACACACCGTCATTTCGCGATGGGATCAGCACAGACACAGAGAATCGTTACAGGAAGGAAGGCGCTAGATTTATCATTGACACGGGATCCAAAATGGACTTAGGTTATAACACAGTAGCGACTGGTGTTGTTTATTTTCACCGTTTTTACATGTTCCACTCGTTTAGAACATTCCCGAGGTATATAACGGCGTGCTGCTGTTTATTCCTCGCCGGAAAAGTGGAAGAGACGCCGAAAAAGTGTAAGGATATAATAAAAGTTGCAAAATCTCTGCTGACTGTACAAAAGTTTGGAACCTTCGGTGAAGATCCGAAGGAGGAGGTGATGACGCTCGAGAGGATCCTGCTGCAGACGATAAAGTTCGACCTGCAAGTGGAGCATCCTTATGGCTACTTATTAAAGTATGCCAAGTGTTTGAAAGGAGATAAGACCAAGTTACAGAAGATGGTGCAAATGGCTTGGACTTTTGTTAATGACAGGTAAATACTGTTTATTTATCAACTTATGATTGCCGTACTCATAGAGGTCAGCTTCCGTTTAATAAATTTAAGACAATATTAAAATTGCTGAGCTAATTCTATAACTAAATATTTACTTAAATGATAAATGTGTATGTCATTAGGCATTCATGTACACACCACCGTCTTAAACTAGCCTGGGGCCCTTGGGCACACAAGAATATGCGGCCCTTTTGGAAAGTAAAAAAAAACTCATTAGGTATAAGAACAGTAACATTACTGATATTGATATTATATAAATAAATGAGCATTATTATTATATTATATATATAATATGTGAACCAAAAACATTGTATCACCATTTTATGAAAATGTTCATATAGAGTGTATTACATTCAAACACTTATCATTACATAGTATAAAACAAAGTTGCTCTGTCTGTCCCTATGTATGCTTAAATCTTTAAAACTACGCAACGGATTTTGGAGCATTTTTTTTAAATAGATAGAGTGATTTAAGAGGAAGTCTTATATATATGTAATATATGTACACCCGTGCGAAGCCAGGGCGAGTAGCTAGTAGTGTATATAGAGAATGAGTGCAGATAGAGAGTGTGTATTATACCTATATATATATTAATAGTTATAATATACGGTCTATCTATAAAATAAATAAATAAAACATTCACATACTCTGTTAAAGTGAGCTAACCCGAAAGTGCAAACGCAGGAGATAAAAGAGTTACAAAAATGTGCTCAATAAAAAAAAATATATACCTCTATCTGCACTGAGTTAAACACTACACACTGTACTGTATATGCTCTATCTGTCTACACATCTATACATAGAGAATGTTTATATATATTTTTAAATAATGCATAAAAAATACATTGTGTTAATAAAAAAATATACACACTTGTATAAACAATTGCTGATTCAAATAAATTTTTAAATTTTTTTTAATAGTCAAATTTTGTACACTGGTCGACCAATAGTACAATATAATTATTATTTTTTTCTTTGAGTACATTTGCAATCAGTCCCAGGACTGTAAGTGAATATGTTCTGTGATGCTATCATGTAGAGCGGCTTCCCATTGGAAACCTTACTCATCTGCATCCCAGAGCTACTGCCGATTTTCTAGCTCCAGGATATGATGGCGTTTTAGTCGTCTCACATGCTGTTCTATGGTGAGTTGTCGAGCAAGTTTGTTAGGGTGATGAATCAACCGTTCCTTATATTTGGCTGCCAAACTCCGAATGTCCTCCTTCACTGTTCTTATTTCAAGGTGATCATGGACTTCAGTGTTGGTTATGTACTATGGTATTTGTACAATGGTCCTTAAGATCATATTTTGTTGGTGCAAGAGTATATTTATATTGAAATCACTTGCGCTGCCCCATAGTTGCAGACCATACATACAAACAGGTTTCAAGATAACTTTATAGATGAGGAGTATGTTGTCCATGGACAGTCTGGAGTTCCTTCCTAGGCTCCATCCAATATAGGCTATTGTACTTTAGAACTAGTATAAATAAATAAGAATTTTTATTCTATTGTTGCAGTTTATGCACCACATTATGTCTACAATGGGAGCCGGAGGTGATAGCAGTTGCTCTCATGTTCCTGGCCGGCAAACTCAGCAAGTTCGAGGTGGTGGACTGGAATGGACGGTTACCAAAACACAACGCCTGGTGGGACATGTTCGTTGAAGACATAACCATGGAGCTTCTTGAGGATATTTGCCATCAGGTCAGTGTGTACGGGTTGAACCCTATATTTGGTTGATAGTGATAATATGATAATGGTGATAAGTGTTCATGATAGTGGGAGATGATAAAATACACTGATTTTATTTACTACTTACTTCATTTGTATTTGTTTATTACTATTTAGTAAAATGATATATTCAAATTCAAATTCAAAGCCTTTATTAATTGACACAAAATAATACAATCTATCATAATATTTGATTACAAGTTTAAAATATAGAAGAATATTAGTTACTTATATATACATTTTATGTTACTTCTAATTCTGCACATCAGTCTCTGAGTCAACGTGTCCTTTAGACACAAAGGCCTCCTCCAGCGTTTTCCATGTGTTCCTATCTTTTGCCAATCGGAGCCACAGTGGGCCGGCAATCTTTCTAAGGTCATCAGACCATCTCTTGTACTGTCTTCCTCTTTTTCGTTTCGTTTTATGACGGGGAATCCACTCAGTTACAGTTTTCGTCCATCTAGTAAAATGATATATAGGTGTCATAAATGCTCAATAAGTAATTTATATAAAACTAGCTGTTCCCGCGACTTCGTCCGCGTTGCATAATTTAACGTTATTTTTCAATTTTCAATTAAAAGAATTTTTAAAAATAAAAGTGGATTAAGTTACTTCTCATTACATCAGCTACCTGCCAAAAAAATTCCGGTCAAAATCGGTCCAGCCATTTCAGAGATTAGCCGGAACAAACAGACCGACAGACAGACAAAAATTGTAAAAATGTTATTCTGGTGTATGTACCGTATTTATATTCATATGCATGTAGTAAAAAACGGTTATTGCAATATTACAAACAGACACTCCAATTTTATTTATATGTATAGCGTATACAAATCATAGGTGTTCTATGTACACATAAACATAAACATATAGTTGTACATTTCCCTACACAGTTTTTATAGAAACCTAAGATGTTCACAGAACAGATTGTCAAACCATGATCAAATTGAAGTGGCATTGTGGCTGAAACTATAAACATTTCACATTTAGAAATTAAGTTGTAATAGCAAAGTATTTTAAACACTTTTAGTTGTAATAGTTAAACTGAAATGTGTGTGCTATTTAAGCTACTCTCCATGAATACTTATAGAGCAAGAGCCCACGACGGCCAGACATACGTCATTTTAGTAAACGTGAAAGTTCTTGTATGCGTGTCCCCAACACAGGTAAGAACGATCCCCAAACATGAAACCTGGATCGTGGTTCCTTTGGCAGGTACCAGGTAACAAAGGTGTAAAAAAAATCATATCAAATTCGCTATTTTAAGAAACTCCATATTTTCATATATTGTTCGTAGCATTATTATAACTTGCGCTGCTCATTGCCAGACACTTAGTGTGGTTCCAACCCCCCGCCGGACCCCCCTAAACTATACTATTTTAGAAATAAACTTACGTTATTTTAATAAAGCTGAACTTTATAGACAGTTTTCTTGGTTCGACAACGATCAGAGCAAGTTATAATACTGTTACGAGCAATATGTGAAAAAAACGTACGTTTGGCGTCCAGACGTATGTCTGGCAGTCGTGGGCTCTTGGACTATTAGATTTGATTTATACAATATAGTATAGTGGTTTTCGCTGCGTGCCACTTCAAAAAAGACCTCAAACCTTGCGTACTCCTTGACGGGAGACGGGTGACGGGTGGCGGGGGCAACCGAATGACGACATGCGGCAGGTGCGGGATAGCGCACGGTCGGCCACAGTGCTCGGTGGTCCGTGACGATTATGATTGTTATAAAATAATATTTTGGAAATTGTTTTTTTTACTGATAGTCTCACGTACCCCTGGGGGTACGCGTACCTAATTGGAAAACACCGATATAGATTGCTGTAATAAAAAATATTAACTCATTATATTGCAGGTATTAGATCTGTACTCGCCACAGACGCAGCCGTCTGGCGGCGACTCGCCGCCGCTGTCGGCGCCCCCGAAGACTCCAAAAAACGAGAAGAAGCCTCCATCCGGTACACCGCCCGCTTCTGTATCGCCCGTCGCGGCTGTCAGTAAGCCGGCCTCCACGCCGGTCAAGAACGGGGAGCCGCCGCCCAAGCCGGAGCCCCCCATGGCGCCGCCGGGCCCGGAGCCGCCGCGGTACGGGTACCCGCCCTACGCGCCCATCCCGCCCTTCGTGTACGGGGCGCCGCCCCCGCGGCTGCCGCTCATGTACTCGGAGCCGCCCCCGGGCGTGGCGGCGGGGGCGGGCCCGCGCCGCTACCCGCCCCCGGCCCCGGGTCCGCCGGGCCCCCCGGGTCTGCCGGGACCTCCGGGCCCCCCGGGGCTGGCGGGCCCCCCGGGCCCCCCCGGGCTGGCGGGCCCCCCGGGCGCGGGTGCTCCGGTGTCGGTGCCTCCGCCCTACTTCCCGCCATTGCCGGCGCCGCCGCCGCGCCCCTACTACCCGCCCCCGTAGCGAATAGATAACGTATAGTATAATTTTTTACTGAAATATATTATTAACTGCCTGTCGTCGTTTTATTCTACGTATCCACACATCCTGTCGCTGTCTGTCCCTATGTATGCTTCAGTCTTTAAAACTACGCAACAGATTTTGAAGCGGTTTTTTTAATAGAGTTATTCAAGAGGAAGGTTTATATATATAATACATGTACACCCGTGTGAAGCCGGGGCCAGTAGCTAGTGATATATAAAACAGGCGTCGCCGCTATCTGTTCGCTATCTTTTAAATTATGCAACGGATTTTAATGTAGTTTTCAACAATTGATGATTCTAGAGAAAGGTTTATACGTATTATACATGCGTGTTATAGTATGAGAACAAGACAAAGAAATCAAAGATTTTACTGCATCCGTGCGAAGTCGGGACGGGTCACTAGTGGAGTATAAAACCTAATTTTATTGGATCACATATTAATCGCGTTAAAAATTCTATATCAATATAATGAAAATAGTAGCTAAATCTCGCGGCGCTCTTCGTGGAATACAGCCTGTATTACTCGCCGACATATAGCTACATATTGGTGAAAAAACAATGAAAGTAGGTCAAGCATTTATGGTGAATATATCAAATTCAAATTCAAAAATCATTTATTCATGTAGGACATTTTAGCCGCTTATGATCGTCAATTTTTTTGATTATAATTATTTTTGCCTACGGTCCAGTTCGGTATATAGATCCAATTGAAAAGAACTGGCAAGAAACTAATTGATCAATTATCAAAAAAAAATATCCATCTTTAGGGTGGATATTTTTTAAAAGTACCACCAAATAGGTGTAACGAATTAACTATTATCGCGTAGCAACACCGGTGCTTAGCTTCGACAGAACATTAACGTAATAAGCCTGTCATTCGAGATCGAATCACGTTCTTGTACATACCTATATATCGATTGTAAATACTTCTATATTATAAATATGTATATAACCACATTCTGGACTCATCACTTCACCTCCTACTTTCCTGCGGCTGCTACAAATAACACAATAATACACAAATAATAGCGGCCCCAACATAGCTGCTAAAATGGCATATCAGACATTTTCTTATTATGTAAATAATTGCTTGTATATTGCTTTAAAAAGACACAAGATTACAAAAAAAAACGACATTGTTAATTTCATTAAACTTTATTGTCAGTAGGTATATCATTCAAAAATTTTGAGAGACTGTACAAATTTCTTATTATGTCTTAGTATAATTATAATATATTACAAACATTTGATGGATTTCATAAAATTATTTCACTTCAAACAAAACTGTTACATTATAACGAGCTTTTAATATACAATCCTGCCGTTCAGTTTGCGTTTCTGACAGATCGACATCGTTGGAATAATTATTATTGTTTTTATTAATATATTTAACGGCTCTGGATACAAGTCCTTTTTAGCGCAACAACGAATATACACATAAGTTATAACTCGAAGTTTTACAATACAAAAAATTAAGTCAATATCTAACATACGTAGATTAAATAGAAAAATGACATTTTTCAAAATTAGAAGCTAGAATTACCTCCTTTTATATAAGTCAATTAAATTAACCACGCCGTCTTAATCATTATCTAAATACTTTTAAAATGATATATAACACTTCTGTGTAAATTTAAAACTTAAAAGGGACGAGTAATTTAAAATAAATTTAAATGCTAAAGACAAAAATGTACATTTTGAATACCGTCATTTTTCTATTTAACCGACGATATATAAGTTGTAGACAAAAGAAAAAAATCCTTTTGCTTTCTGTGGCATGTATGTAGTTTTATAGAACTTATATATTGGTGGTATAAAAGAAACTTATTCTACAACTTAAATTCTATGTTTATACACATATAGAACTTAAGTAGTGAGGAATAATATATCGTCGGTTAAATACAAAAATCGCAGTGTTCAAAATGTACATTTTTAATACCACAATTTTTCTATTTAACCGGCGATATAACTAGAACTGTTTCATTTAAATGTTCAATGTTATCAATCGTTAATAATGCAAAAACGATATTTAAACTGCCGTAAATTGTACGTCGATTCAAAGTCACATCGCCCATTGATCCCGACCTGTCAGATATGCAAACTCTGAGCGGCTGGATTTTAGTTATAATAAAAATTACATATCAATATAAAAAACATCGAAAAGACTGACTAATCTGCCAGAGATTGTGCACACAAACGGACAAAAGTGTTCACTTATATTAATTGTAGCTGCCATACGACTAGAAATACAATATTTTGTTAACGTTAAAACATACAAGGCACCGAGATTAATAATAAACTATAAAATTCAAACACAGTACTAGAACACAAACGCATATACATAATAATAATTATATATCTTACTAGCTGCACCCGCGACTTCGTCCGCGTGGAATTTAACTTTATTTCTCTAAAATAAAAGTAACCTAAGCCAAAATTGGTACAGCCATTTCAGAGATTAGCCGGAAAAAACAGACAGACAAAAATTATAAAAAAATGTTATTTTGGTGTATGTACCGCATTCATATTCATATGCATGTAGTAAAAAACGGTTATTTCAATGTTACAAACAGACACTCCAATTTTATATATATGTATAGATTAATATTATAAACGCGAAAGTATGTGAGTGTGGATGGACGTTTGTTACTCTTTCACGCAAAAACTACTGAACATATTTTGATGAACCTTTACAGTAATAAAGCTTATACAATAGAAGAAATATAGGCTATAAATTTCACGCACGCAGTTTGTATATATACATATAGAACATATAGTTTGGGAGAGGCCTATGTCCAGCAGTGGACTGCAGTGGGCTGATGACATAATATCTAAAAGTAACCATCTCATAGCGTATTTACTATATATTTCTATTGACTCATACCCGGTTTTCAATGGACTACTCTAATGCTGTTAGCCGCAGCTGGCCTTTACAGCTTCACCAGACGATAGGGGACGAGTGCAGATGGCACTCCAAACTGTGGAAGGACTTATGGAGCGACAGAAGGTTGACTCCCGCCTGATAGATATGACTTTAGTCTGAGGGCACCGCTAAGCGTTCAAAATTCGTAATTTCCGCGTGTGATCTCGATGTATGCGATTTTAAACTTTATACATAACAAAATAGTGACGATTTTTCTGGTGAATTCGCTATTGACTTAATTCTCATCTTATCATCCTTTGGTGCCCCAGCGCATACCGTTAGCGCAGTCGGGTGCATTCCATTATCCATAGCAGTGTTGAAATAGAAATAATCTTTATTCAAATAAACTCATTACAAGCACTTTTGACTAGTCATATTTTGATTCTACCACTCATTCGGAATGCAGATTAATCACAAGAAGAATGAGCAAGAAACTTGTGTGTTGCTCTTTTGAATAGATGTTTTTTTTATATAATAATTACAGTATAACAAGTAAGAGGCATGCGATAATCAACATAGAAATCGCTACGCACTCATTATTAGTGTAATCAGATAATATTGTCAGTGCTATGGATTTCAAGTTTTTCTATAAAAACATTGTTGTCGTTAACGAATTCTTCAATTTTATAGTAAGCATTTTTGCAAAATATGACATTTAAATCTTTTTTCAGTCAGATTTATAACAGACCTTACGCAATTGCCATAAAACGAATTACTAACTTTAGTTGTTGCTATGGATAATGGAACGCTAGCGATCTAGCACACCGCTTTACGACCGATGGTCGCGGGTTCGATTCCTCGCACGGCACAAACATTTATATTCTTATGATTATGATTGTTTGTATCGGTCAGGGTGTTTTCTATGTATAATATGTATGTATTTACAAAAAAAAATCTATGTGTATGTATATATCTAGTACCCATAACACAAGCTTTAGCTAGCTTAACTTGGGTCTAGATGGGGCTGTGTGAATTGTCCTGAGATTATTATTATTATATTTACATTACTTTTAGATATGTGGTAATTAAATAACTTTACAAGTTACAATTACGTAAACAGGATAAAGACGAACAAACATTAATAACAATACATACAGTGACTCGTAATCACACTATTAATATAATATTACAAAATGAACGTACAAAATAATAATACTATAAATTGAGGCACACAGTAATGGTAGCGTCAGATCGCATATAATCTCCATTTTATAAGGCACGTGATTTTCACTTACAGCTATATACTATGCTATAGGGGTTACACTATCATTTTAGGAATAAGAGCGTAAGGGGGCGTTCAAGTATTACGTAAGCACTATGAGGGCAAGGAGGGGGGGAGAGGGGTGAGTCTCTGCTTTGCTTATTTTGGATGACATGGGGGTAGGGGACTCTAGATGATTATTATAGGGGTTACATTATACTATCATATATTACGAATAAGAGCGTAAGGTTGCGTTCAAGTATTACGTAAGCACTATGGGGGCGAGGGGGGGGGGGGGGGGGGGGGGGGGTGTGAGTTTTTGCTTTGCTTTTTGGATGACATGGGGGTAGGGGAGTCTAGATGATGATTATAGGGGTTATATTATACTATCATATATTAGGAATAAGAGCATAAGGGGCCGTTCAAGTATTATGTAAGCACTATGGGGGCGAGGGGGTCTTTGCTTTGGATGGCATGGAGGTAGGGGAGTCTAGATGATGATTATAGGGGTTACATTATACTATCATATATTACAAATAAGAGCGTAAGGGGGCGTTCAAGTATTACGTAAGCACTATGAGGGCAAGGGGGAGGGGGGGGGGGGGTGAGTCTTTGTTTTGCTTATTTTGGATGACATGAGGGTAGGGGAGTCTAGATGATGATTATAGGGGTTATATTATACTATCATATATTAGGAATAAGAGCGTAAGGGGCCGTTCAAGTATTACGTAAGCACTATGGGGGCGAGGGGGTCTTTGCTTTGCTTATTTTGGATGACATGGGGGGTAGGGGAGTCTAGATGATGATTATAGGGGTTACATCTTATACATAAAATTCTCGTGTCACAGTTTTAGTTCCCATACTCCTCCGAAACGGCTTGACCGATTCACATGAAATTTTGTGAGCGTATTGAGTAGGTCTGAGAATCAACCAACATCTATTTTTCATCCCCCTAAATGTTAGGGATAGTCCACCCCTAAATTTTTTATTTTTATTTTAAGGCAAAACAACGTTTGCCGGGACAGCTAGTTATACTATCATATTTTAGAAATAAGAGTGTAAGGGGCTGTTCAAGTATTATGTAAGCAGTATGGGGGCGGGAGGGTCTTTGCTTTGCTTATGTTGGATGACATGGGGGGTAGGGGAGTCTCGATGATGATGACGTCATCGGTAATTATTTATTTTTTTACAATTCAATGACAATGTATTTTTTTTTGCTAAAAAGAACAATTTGAAAAATTGGAAAAATGTTTAGGTAAGCATGGGGGAACGTGGTAAGAGCTTTGGGGGATAGGGGGTGGTAAATAATTGTAATAAAACTGCTTAATACTTGAACGGCTTCTAATAGTAAATAATACAATAAATAAATAACCCTGGACAATTAACACAGCGCCATCTAGTCCCACGGTAAGCAGAGCTTGTGTTATGGGTACTAAACAACTGATATAAATACTTAGATATTTTTTTGTAAATACATACATTATACATAGAAAACACCCAGACTGATACAAACTATCATGCTCATGAATACAAATGTTTGTATAGTGCGAGGAATCGAACCCGCGACCATCTCAAGTAAGGTTTTTATCTATCTATATATGTATGTAGAATCTTAGGCGCTGTACAGGGATACTTGATAATGTATACATTATCAAGTATCAAAGGAATTAAGAGCTATGACCGCAATTTTTTTCCGCCTATAATTAAAATAATTAAAATTTCTGAAATAAAAGTAGCCCAAATTACTCCAACTGAGCGCTAGTGAGCTGAGCGAAAGTCACGTCGTAATCGGTCCAGCCGTTTCAGAGATTAGAAAAACGGACAGACTAAAACTTTAAAAATATATTTCTTTATTTGAGTACCATATGCATATATTGAAAAGCTATTATTAATTTTAAATTATGAACAGACACATAATTTTTATTTATTTGTATATATTTATGCATTGTTATATTATTATAAATTTACAATAATATCAATGCAAACTTACGAATATCAGTCTGAATAGATTTATCTATTTAACTGGCTGTTCCGCCTCAAAATTAAATATGTCAAAGATTTTTTTGAAGTTCAGTTACGCAATAATATTCTGAACTTGGGTCTAGATGGCGCTGTGTGAATTGCCCTGAGATTATTACTATTATTTCATTTTTCAATCATTTTATATTCTCGAATTTCTTCGGTGTTGTAGTTTAGAGTTACGGGTCATACTAACTAAGTAATTATAATATATTTAATTTATATTTGTTTTAATATTATTATTACTCACTACTAGCTATGTTGGGTTGACTGGTAGAGATCTCTTTTAGAGATAAGTCCACCTTTGCTCACTGTGTATATGTTTAAGTTTACAACAGTATTTAAAAGTGCAATAAAGAATATATTATTGTTTATTTTAGGTTATTATTATTTATGAATGCATTTATTAGTTTAGTCTACAATTTATATTTATCTGTACTATATACCCTGGGATCCTATATGATAGTGTAATCAGCCCTATAGATAAAGTAATTCTTTCACACACACACACACACACACCCAAATATTTCTCAGTATAGGCACAAAGATAAGTCTAACACTTTTAGCATGTTGCATCAGGGATGTTAGGGAGCTCCGGAACCGTAGCCAAAACTATCGGAAATCCGACAGATCGAGTCTGTAATAGACGTACAAGATATTTAGAAATTCGAATATCGGTAACCAAAATTATCCGAAACTAACGGACGATCCGAAATAATTTCATATCTGCAATCGAAATTATATGAAACTAACGGACGATCCGAAATAATTTCGTATCCGCAACCGAAATTATCCGAAACTAACGAACGATCCGAAATAATTTCATATCTGCAATGGAAATTATATGAAACTAACGGACGATCCGAAATAATTTCATATCCGCAACCGAAATTATCCGAAACTAACGGACGATCCGAAATAATTTCAAATCTGCAACCGAAATTATATGAAACTAACGGACGATCCGAAATAATTTCATATCCGCAATCGAAATTATCCGAAACTAAAGGACGATCCGAAATAATTTCGTATCCGCAACCGAAATTATCCGAAAATAACGGACGATCTGAAATAATTTCATATCCGCAACCGAAATTATCCGAAACTAACGGTCGATCCGAAATAATTTCATATCCGTAACTGAAATTATCCGAAACTAATGGACGATCCGAAATTATTTCATATCCGCATCAGTATCCGGTATAACAATCATTCCTATATCCGATACCTATCCGTTCCGATATTTCATATCCATAACATCCTTGGTCTGCATCACTAAATCATAAAAATGTTATATTTCCTCAACCACGACGGTGGTCAACGACCAACGGTGGTAAATATTAATTTCAAGCATATTTTGTTCCACAAAATAAAACTTAACTCCAATCAGGGCCCAAATAGTAGATAAATACAAAACAATAATCAAATTAAAACCTTTTTCAGTTTAAATAGTTATAAAAAACATATATTAATACATTGGTAATTATTATTTAAAAATATCGTTACTAATTACATATATATAACAAAGTTATTTACAACATGTTAAAAAAAACATTATTTCATTGAGCGCCAAAACTCACGCAATATAAAAAAATACATACAATTTTAGACATAGAATTCAAACTTATTTGAAAATAAAATATTTGGTCTCCACATGAGTAATAATATAATTTCTTGAGCTTGATTACTATAAAAAAAAATATGGCAATTTAGAAATACTTGTAAAGGAGTTAAAAATAATAAAAAATAATTTGATTTGACTGTAGAAAGGGATTGCGCAATATTAAGAATATACAGGGTGTACAGACAGGTTACAGACTAACTATGAAACTGTAAATTCAGACCATTTTATATATTGAATTGATTCATTATATTGAACTGAAAACCAGAGGAATTTTTTTCCGGAATTTCTTTTTCTTTCTTTTTCACGTAAATTCTTGTAATTTATGATACTATACCATAATGTAAAGGTGGGAAATTTTTTTTTCTTTCTATTTCACGTAAATTCATGTAATTTATGATACTATACCATAATGTAAAGGTGGGAAATTTTTTTCTTTCTATTTCACGTAAATTCGTGTAATTTATGATACTATACCATAATGTAAAGGTGGGAAACTTTTTTTTTCTTTCTATTTCACGTAAATTCGTGTAATTTATGATACTATATCATAATGTAAAGGTGTAGTGCTTTGTAGTGAAATACTATAACATATAAAAAAACAGCAACGTAATAGACGTACGAGGGCGTAAGTGGACTGTTAGTAATGTGAATTAAAAACCTCACTGCGAGCAAAGTACAATATCATGCTGACTTCTGTAGGGTTCCCCCTGGAAGTCATCTTGATAAATAATTAGAATAGAATAGAATAGAAAATCATTTATTCAAATAAACTTACATTGAAGCACTTTTGAATAGTCATTACATTTTTTAATCTACCGCTCGTTCGGAAAGCTGTCTCATCACAAGAAGAACGAGCAAGAAACTTGCTGGTGGGGAAATAATCTTCCATCTGATTCAGACCATTCATCTGGATCAGCTGATCTTATTTAGGCTAACCTGTCTCTTCCACCCTGTATATATTTATTTATATTTATACAACCAAGATTATGTATGAAGTAAATATAAACATCCACTGAGAGATGACTTCCTCAGAAAATACATCATTCAAATAATTTCATATTCTCATATTATTCATTCGCTCATATTTCATACATTTCAATTCTGATTTTAATTTATTAATATAATCTATAATAATACATACTGAATACGGTTATATGAGTCTGGATTGCTTCAAATACTGCAGCAACACCTGGTGGATAAACTTGTATTGTTGGACGTTCTCTATGAGGTTCGCTCGCTGCTGGTGGAGAAGACCGATCGTTCGCGGGATGTCCAGCTCCTGGGAATATGTAATTTTTTTATTCTATCTTAAATAATAATAATAAATCTGAACAATTTACCAAGCGCCATCTAGTCCCAAGCTAAACAGTGCGTGTTATGGGTACTAGACAGCTGATATAAATATTTAGATATACACAGATCACCCATTGCTGATCAGGAGCCACTCAAGTATTACGTAAGCAGATTTATTACAATATTTACCCAACCCAGCCCCAATGGAGTGGAATGTGAATTTTATTCTTTTATTATATATTTTGCTTACTATTTAACAATTTCCTAGGGGGGTGGTGCAACTTAAGAAAGGCTAGGTCAGTACCTGGTTGTGGTCCAGCACGTGCAGCAGCAGGTGGGCGGCCAGGGCGGCTCCGCTGCGGCCCGCACCACTAGCGGGGGTGGAGGAGGTCAGTACCTGGTTGTGGTCCAGCACGTGCAGCAGCAGGTGTGCGGCCAGGGCGGCTCCGCTGCGGCCCGCACCACTAGCGGGGGTGGAGGAGGTCAGTACCTGGTTGTGGTCCAGCACGTGCAGCAGCAGGTGTGCGGCCAGGGCGGCTCCGCTGCGGCCCGCACCACTAGCGGGGGTGGAGGAGGTCAGTACCTGGTTGTGGTCCAGCACGTGCAGCAGCAGGTGTGCGGCCAGGGCGGCTCCGCTGCGGCCCGCACCACTAGCGGGGGTGGAGGAGGTCAGTACCTGGTTGTGGTCCAGCACGTGCAGCAGCAGGTGTGCGGCCAGGGCGGCTCCGCTGCGGCCCGCACCACTAGCGGGGGTGGAGGAGGTCAGTACCTGGTTGTGGTCCAGCACGTGCAGCAGCAGGTGTGCGGCCAGGGCGGCTCCGCTGCGGCCCGCACCACTAGCGGGGGTGGAGGAGGTCAGTACCTGGTTGTGGTCCAGCACGTGCAGCAGCAGGTGTGCGGCCAGGGCGGCTCCGCTGCGGCCCGCACCGCGCCCGCATATGAACGCCAGCGGTGCATTCCGACTCTCCAGCGGACTACGCTCCGCTTTCGCTTCTTCCTCGCTCGCCAGCCGCAGGCTGTTCAGCTCCGATATGAACTCTGTCGAACACCACCGTACAATCATTAACATTATCCATTTTTCGATGTTTGCTTCGATTGACAATGTTATTTAGTAGTTTTTACATCCGCTTCCCATATACCACTAAAAATAGTAATACGATTATTTCGGGGTATGTATTGTAAACAGGACTAGTTCACTACTCGGTGGTCTAGTGATTTAGCACACCGCTTTACGTCGGATGGTCGCGGGTTCGATTCCTCGCACGGCACAAACATTTGTATTCATGAGTATAATTGTTTGTGTCGGTCTGGGTGTTTACTATGTATAATATGTATATATTTACGAAAAAAAAAATATCTATGTATTTGTATCAGTTGTCTAGTACCCATAACACAAGCTTTAGCTAGCTTAACTTGGGTCTAGAGGGCGCTGTGTGAATTGAAGAAAAAAAAAATCCGCTACAATTAACATGTGTGAGACTACGAATATTCGGTGTCCATCGGCGACCAAATCGCGACTATGAATCAACACTAGGCTTCCGAGCTGTACCCGAACTCTAATTAACGCCTGATGATGCCTCGTTCAGAGGCGAAACACGTGTCGCGATATGGGTGTAGACTCAATAACGGTCGGAATTTGATCGCCACTGGATGATCGTAGCGCTGGTCAGGTTTCCACACCGAATATTCGTAGTCTCACACATGTTATTGTAGCGGAATTAAACAAAATTATATAAATCCATCCAGTAGTGAAATGGTCTTCCGCTAAATAACACCTAATTCGATTAAATATAGAACTAGTTTAGGCAATAAAGTTACAAGATATCTTAGTCTTCTGGAATGGAAACACATGAGTGATGTTACGAGCGTCACATGATAACGTGATATGTAATGTTGTTTCTGTATAGTCGGTTGACAGTTATCACTTACCAAAGTATGATAATAAGATATGATATTTGAATTTCTATAATATTAATAAGATTATAGTTTTGAAATAATAATTAGTCATTGCACAAAATAAGGTTATTTTAATATGACTGTAATCCAGTTCAGAGTGCTTTCGAAATGATAAGAAGTGACAAGAATCTCAGCTCGTACACTTTTGAAATATGGAGATATATATATATATATATATATATATATAACTTTTGAAAACAGATTATTTATTTTATATACATTTATTTATTACAAATATTTGAAAATAGTACTAGTTGAACTTCTCCAAACTGACAGTAGACTTGACATACCATAAGAGTCTGTAATAGACCTACATGAATAAAGATATTTTGAATTAAAATGTAACAATCAGACAAATTCAGAATGAAACTCCAAACGAGATAAAGCGTACAACAAGGAGTTTATAACCTGTGGGTGTTCAGTGTGGGTATAATAAAACACAGAGTACCATCAGCACAGAACGCTATAGAGTAGATATAAGTAGAAACTCCGAGCAAAATAAAGGGTACAACAAAGAATCAATAACCTGCGGGCGATCATCGTAGGTATGATAGAGCACAGAGTACCGTCAGTACATAACGCTACAGAGTAGAGATAAGGTTTACCGAGGAAGTGGTCGACGTCGGGCGGGTGTTGCGGCGAGTGCCAGGCGCGGAAGTGTACGTGCCACAGGTGTCGCGTGCGGGCCGCCCCCTCGCCCCCCGCGCCCCCCACGCCCCCCGCCGCCGCCCCCGCGCCCCCCGCCGCCCTCCTCACGCGCACGCGCACGGAGCTGCCCCACGGCGCTACCGACTCCCGCCCCGCGCTCACCTGGAACTGCATGTGTACATACGTTATATATAATCAAATTTTAATAATGGTTAACTACTGTTTCTGTGTGTGGATGGAGTGTGACGAGGATAGACAAGATAAAGAATGAATACATCAGAGGAAATATGAAAGTGGCACCCATGTCGGAGAGGTTAGAGAGTAATCGTCTATCGTGGTATGGGCATGTAATGCGTAGGAATGAAGATCATATCTTAAGAACGGAGTTACATATGAATGTGGTTGGTTATAAGGGTAGAGAAAGACCGAAAAAGAGATGGATGGACTGTGTGAAAGATGATATGGTGAGAAAGGGAGTAAATAACGAGATGACTGCGTACAGAGATGAATGGAAGAGAAAAACATATTACGACGACCACAAATAAATGGGATAAGGAAGAAGCAGATGATAATGGTTAACTACTGTTTCTATAAATGTAGTGTTTGTTTGTAATTACATATTAAGTATCTAAATGCATACGTACTTTCGTATGCATTTAGTATACGGTATGTACGGTGTAGCTTTAGTTACACGTCCTAGTTTAGAAACCACTGCAGTTCATAAAACACTTTGACGTAAAATAAAGTCTCTGTTTTCTAAAGTTGGACTAGTGGACTCTTACCACATTTGGCTGGGCAGGGAATGGAACATGAGTGCAGGTGAGTATTGTCGTACGTTGGCAAGAGACTCCTTAAGCCTTAAACCTACACCCAGGTCAGAAGTCCTGGAACCTGTTCAGAGTATCACTCTGTGCCACATGATGGACTTGGGTCCCGTACAGGGAATCCATGGAACGAAGTTGAAGTTCGTCTCGGACTGGAGTGTGAAAACTCCTTTCCTCTTCACAGCATTATATGTAAGAAGGGAGGAAGGTTTTTTTTATAACACACGGGACAAACGAGCATGCGGCTCAACTGATGGTAAGTGATTACCGCCGCCCATGAGCACCCGCAACACCAGGGGAATTGCAAGTACGTTGTCGGCCTTTTAAAAAGGAATAAGCTCTTTTCTTGAAAGTTTGATTACTAGTAATGTCAACTATTGTTCCCATTGCTAGCATTGTACCATGATTGACTTCCAAGGGCATCCCCTGGAAACCATCTAGATAAATTCCTAGTGAATTTGGCACGATAGTAACTGACATGACTTCATGGTCTTCTTTCATCCTCCACTGGATACGGACAATAACGCTCCACTGGATACGGACAATAACGGACCACTGTCCCTTAAACAAACACCTGAACACAATAGGTGCTACAGACAATCCCCTTTGTCGGGGCTGCTTTGAAGCCAAAGAAACGGCCGCTCACGTAATCCTGGAGTACATAGCACAAAACGAAAACGAATCTTCGGAACGGTGAGGTCGCTCTGTGAAGCCCGTGGAGATACCAGGAGACTTCTGCGCTTTTAGGAGGAGCTTGGCTGGTTACTTTAGTAGTCTCGACTGTATACACACAACGGCCCAGATAAGAGGCTGATTGCGGAAAATGGAGTCCAACTAATTCTAATCTATTTATTACAGCCAAATGTGCTATAATAAATACCTTACAGACTAACATACATATCTATATAAATATATATAACTCAAAGGTGACTGACATAGTGATCTATCATCGCATAGCCCAAACCACTGGACGGATCGAGCTGATATTAGGCATGCAGGTAGATGTTATGACGTGGACATCCGCTAAGAAAGGATTTTGATGAATTCTACTTCCAAGGGGATTAAATAGGGGATGAAAGTTTTTATGAAACTTTGTCAATTTTAAACCGATCGGGCTGAGACTTTGCATGCATAACGCTACTATGACGTAGTCACCCCCTAAGAAAGGATATTGATAAATTCAACTCCCATGGGCATAAAATAAGGGATGATGTAGGATGTAAATGTATTAGTTTGAACCTATCAGTACCTAATGGAACGAATAAAATAAGACGAACATAATAGAACAACTAAATATTATTTATATTTAGTTTTTTAAGCTACATTTATTTTAGAAAAATAATAATAGTGAATGATATAATTAATAGAAAAAAATAAATATAAATTGTCTGTGGTCATGGCAGTGATGACGGCAATCTGCCACGGTAGCGCCGATACACCACACCCTTCGGCCAGTAGTCCTCCTTCATGAAGGTGGTCAGCATGTTAGTGGGAATTCGGGCCACAAACACCTTGAAACTCGCGTTGTGACTCGATTCTAGCTGCGTCACCATCAATGCCAGGTTACTCCAGGCCCGTATGTAGTCGACAATGTCCTTAAATTACTTTCTCCACATGTGCCCCCTAACGCAACAAGGAGTTGAGAGACTAAGAAGGAGTTGGAGACCAACAACAAACTATGTGTAAGGAATTACTTGACGTTTGGAGTATGAGGTTGCGGTACCTGTCCGTAGTGCTGCGGCGTGGAGGTGGTGGGCAGGTAGTGGGGAACTCCAGGTCCCACCAGCGCCAGCAGCCGCGCGCCCACCTGCCACGCGCACTCCCACACCAGCGCACTCTCCGCGCCGCCACCGCCACCTCCACCACCGCCACCTCCGCCGCCGCCGCCACCACTCGCGCCGTCCGCGCCCACTTTCGCCACCACGTAGAACTGCTGCGTGCTGCCGACCGTCATCTGTAAGCCCACATATTACACTACTTCCATACCAAAAAAACTATTTTTAAAGTTTTTTAATTATGTAATATTAAAAATTGTATTTATCAGGGATGTTAGGGAGCTCCGTAACCGTATCCGAATCCGAAATAAGAGTTTCAAATAATATCGGGTAGGGCCGGAGCCTAATTGAGACGCATTATGTAACCGTTTTATTAGCTATTTGTATTTTACTTTTGAAATTCCTTAAAAAATTAAGTGGTGAAATCACACACGGTTGTCCTCATATGGGAGATATCACAAAATTGGGACTAGATGGCGCTGTAAGGTTATTCTTAGATATTTAAAATGTACATGCTGTGATGTGTGACGCGTTGATGTAGTTATGAGGGTTGAAGCAGTGGGGTGAAGCCTCACTCGGTTGTCCTCGTACGGGAGATCTCACAAAATTGGGACTAGATGGCGCTGTAGGGTTGTTCTTAGATATTAAAATTGTACATACCGTGATGTGTGACGCGTTGATGTAGCCATGAGGGTTGAAGCAGTGGGGTGACACCTCACACAGTTGTGCTCTTACGGGAGATATCACAAAATTGGGACTAGATGGCGCTGTAGGGTTGTTCTTAGATATTAAAAATGTACATACTGTGATATGTGACGCGTTGATGTACCCATGAGGGTTGAAGCAGTGGGGTGAAGCCTTAGTCGGTTGTCCTCGTACGGGAGATATCACAAAATTGGGACTAAATGGCGCTGTAGGGTTGTTCTTAGATATTAAAAATGTACATACCGTGATGTGTGACGCGTTGATGTACCCATGAGGGTTGAAGCAGTGGGGTGAAGCCTTAGTCGGTTGTCCTCGTACGGGAGATATAACAAACTTGGGACTAGATGGCGCTGTAGGGTTGTTCTTAGATATTAAAAATGTACATACTGTGATATGTGACGCGTTGATGTACCCATGAGGGTTGAAGCAGTGGGGTGAAACCTCACTCAGTTGTGCTCGTACGGGAGATATCACAAAATTGGGACTAGATGGCTTTGTAGGGTTGTTCTTAGATATTAAAAATGTACATACCGTGATGTGTGACGCGTTGATGTACCCATGAGGGTTGGTTGCCGTGGGGTGAAGCCTCACTCGGTTGTCTTCATACGGCAGGTGGTCTCCGCTGAAGCCGTTGAGGGCGGCGTGCTGCGGCAGCAGAGCTGTCCAGAACTCGCCTCCGCTCTCCCTCCCCTTGGGGATCTGTTCGAACGCGAACGACAGCTGCTCGTCGGACATTTTGCGTTCTAATAATTGGCACTGGGGGGAAAAGGGGTTTTTTATTTTTTTTTAAACTACCATGGTAGCAAACAAGCATACGGCCAATTTGATAGTAAATGGTGACATGAAATGGACACCTGAAACTACCAGGAGTGTTACGTGCGCATTGCCGACCCTTAAGAAACCTTAATATACCCTTCTTAAAAAACCCCATGCTGTAGTCTAAAAAAACCTCGGCAGTTCATTCTCCGTAGATTGGAGAGTACCCGTACGTGTAGTAATGTGGACTGATAATCTTACTGCTAGTACCATGTACCATGTTAGATTGACTACCACGCGATTCCCCCTGGAAACCATCGTGATAAGTTCTTGGCGAGTCTGCCAAGATAGGCTAACTGAGCTGATCTCATGATCATCTTACCATCCTCCACTGGTGCCCCGCCAGCGTAAACCGTTAGAGCAGGCGGGTGCAATATTCGTAAAAAAAAAAATAATTGGCAGTGTGTAATATATTATAGATATCACACAAATTATATCTTAATATAATGACAGCTGCCGTGGTCTAGCGGTTTAGCTCACCTTACCTGCTATGGTCGCGGGTTCGATTTCACATAACAAACTCTGTTTATCGTGGGTCTAGATGGCGCTGTGTTAATTATCCAGTTATACAATATTAAGTACTAGCTGTTTCCGCGACATCGTCCGCGTGGAAATTAACTTTAATTTTCTAAAAATATAAGGAGCCTAAGTTACTCCTTATTACATCAGCTACCTGCCAAAAAAAAGTCCCGTCAAAATCGGTCCAGCCATTTCAAAGATTAGCCGGAACATACAGACCGACAGGCAAACAGTTTGTGTGTGTTATAAAAAATGTTATTTTGGTATATGTACCCTATATACATTCATATGCATGTAGTTAAAAACTGTTATTTCAATATTACAAAGAGACACTCCAATTTTATCTATATGTATAAATTGTATTTTTAAACAAAAAATAAACATTAAATGTGTGTTACAAAGAAATTAAATAACACAATTATATTACAATAAGTTAGGCATTCAAACATTCTAATCATTTATACTGATTAATAAACTCATTGAGTTTAGTAATCATGTATGGAGGCATAACCACAATTGTTATTCTGTATATTGATAAATAATTGATATATCGGTTTACGTTTCGACGGTTAAATAGGAAAATAGCAGTATTCAAAATGAATTTTTGTTTTATTCAAAGTTTTTTTTCCACAACATTGATTTTGCAAGCACATTTAATAAGTTTATTTAACCCATTGCTTGTCCATGTCAGGTCCTCCACGCGGTTCCCCCTGTCGTGATAAAATCCTCCACGATGAGCTCAACTGACTGACTTCACATCTTATCATCCTCCACTGGTGCCCCACCAGCGTAAACCGTTACGCAGATGGGAGCATCATTCCATTATCATTCACTAAAAAAAAAAAAAAGTACCGTGACACTCGACATAGTGTAATATTTCTTTTTGCGGGTAATTAAAAAAGGTGGGATATTTTTTACGAAAAGTTTTGATGAAGCCATCTCACACTTACTACGAAACGTGGCATCAGCTTTGATTTCTACAACTGTCACCTATTGGATTGTTATAATACGAAAAAAAAAAAAGTAAAAAAACGCAATTTCAGCGTGGAGCCGGTGTAATAAAAAGAAAAAAAGGCTTGCAGTGGAAAGGGATAAATTTATTTAAATTATTTTCTTCCTTTAAAGTTTTAAATTTACACATAATCATTTTAAAGTATTTAGATAATGATTAAGACGGCGTGGTAAATTTAATTGACTTATATAAAAGGAGGCAATTCTAGCTTCTAAATTTGAAAATGACATTTTTCTATTTAATCTTCTATGGCAATCGGTCGTTATTTTTACGGCCATTTATGCCAGTGTCATGTATCGATTTGGTATTTTGGATACACTTTTTATCTCCAGTGCGTGGAGATAAAAAGTGTATCCAAAAGACCAAATCGACGATTTATATAAATTTGATTTGCAATGAACATCGTGTTGACTCATCACGAAATAAAATTCAAAACATTATTTACGCAATTGCGGTTACATTTTACCGTTTGTATCACAAAATAACAACCTATTGTTTTATTAATAGACTTATTAAGATTTAAGACACTAATTGGTATGAACGAGTCATGTTTTTAAGGTTTATAATCCTTCATCATTACATAGTATAAAACAAAGTCGCTGTCGCTGTCTGTCCGTACCTATGTATGCTTAAATCTTTAAAATTACGCTACGGATTTTGAAGCGATTTTTTTAATAGATAGAGTGATTCAAGAGGAAGGTTTATATGTATAATACATGTACACCCGTGCGAAGCTGGGACGAGTAACTAGTATCAAATAAAGTCGCTGTCGCTGTCTGTTCCTATGTATGCTTAAATCTTTAAAACAACGCTACGGATTTTGAAGCGATTTTTTTAATAGATAGAGTGATTCAAGAGGAAGGTTTATATATATAATACATGTACACCCGTGCGAAGCTGGGACGAGTAACTAGTATCAAATAAAGTCGCTGTCACTGTCTGTTCCTATGTATGCTTAAATCTTTAAAACAACGCTACGGATTTTGAAGCGATTTTTTTAATAGATAGAGTGATTCAAGAGGAAGGTTTATATATATAATACATGTACACCCGTGCGAAGCTGGGGCGAGTAACTAGTATCAAATAAAGTCGCTGTCGCTGTCTGTTCCTATGTATGCTTAAATCTTTAAAACAACGCTACGGATTTTGAAGCGATTTTTTTAATAGATAGAGTGATTCAAGAGGAAGGTTTATATATATAATACATGTAATAGAAATTTGGTATATATATATACACTGGTGCAAAATTATTACTAACCCCTTACAACCCTTTTTTCGCATTAAAAAGTAGCCTATGTCCTTTCTCAAGACAACCCTTTTTTTTCAACCACTATTATTTGAAAAAAATTACGGCAATCTCGATATCATTCCGCTACGTAATATTATAAATGTAATAGACTATGAGAAACATCTATCTTCCGCGCTTTCAAGCCAAAACTACTGAGCCGGTTTCATAGAAATTTTATATATATATACATACAGTCAAGGATATAGGCTACTTTTTAATGCGCAAAATTAAAATTATTACTAACCTCTTACAACCCTTTTTTCGCATTAAAAAGTAGCGTATGTCCTTTCTCAGGGTCTAGACAACCCTTTTTTCTAGGGTTGTCTAGACCCTGAGAAAGGACATAGGCTCAGTAGTTTTGACCTTTCTCAGGGTCTAGACAACCCTAGAAAAAAGGGTTGTCTAGACCCTGATAAAGGACATAGGCAATTTTTAATGCGAAAAAAGGGTTGTAAGGGGTTGAAAGGGGAGATCTTAGGTGGTATGGCAGTATTGTGATTTTTAAAGTTAGTAAGTTTTAAAATAGATTAAAATTATTTTTTTGGCTGTTAATTAAATATAAATAAACATGATATTCAAAGTGTGTATGTGTGTTTGTATTAACCGCCGTAATAATGCAGTTTTCAACAATAGATACAGTGATTCAAGATGTTTATGATATGAAGGTACACCAGGTCAGGGAACTAGTCTTAGTAATATTTTAAACGCGAAAGTTCGTTAGTATTGATGGATGTTTGTTACTCTTTCACACAAAAAGTACTGAACGGATTTTGATGCAACTTTACACGTAATATAGCTTAGACATCAGAATAACATATCTTATATATAAAATTCTCGTGTCACAGTTTTCGTTCCCATACTCCTCCGAAACGGCTTGACCGATTCTCATGAAATTTTGTGAGCGTATTGAGTAGGTCTGAGATTCGGCCAACATCTATTTTTCATCCCCTAAATATTAGGGGTAGTCCACCCCTAATTTTTATTTTAATTTTAAGGCACAACAATGTTTGCCGTGACAGCTAGTTAAGATATAAATCCCAATATTTGTCAACATATTGTTAGAAACATATATATGTATCTCTATATGTTTATAGGACATACGTTTAATATCTGATAATAACTGATTACTACACTAATTTGATTGGATAACATATAGATATATATTAATAATCGACCAGAATAGATATTATTATATAAAGTACAATATATATATGTGTAGAGATTTACTACCGATGGTCGCGGGTTCGATTCTTCGCACGGTTATGAGTATGATTGTTTATACCGGTGGGTGTTTTCTATGTATATTATGTACGTATTCACAAAAATATCTAAGTATATATTTTGTTTTTATTTTTATTTTATACTAGCTGTTCCCGAATGAATGAATGAATTTAACTTAATTTTTCTAAAATAAAAGTAGCTTAAGATACTCCTTATTACATCAGCTATTTGCCAAAAAAAAGTCCCGACAAAATCGGTCCAGTAATTTCAGAGATTAGCCGGAACAAACAGACAGGCAAAAAATATTATTTTGATGTATGTACCGTATTAATATTCATATGCATGTAGTAAATAACGGTTATTTCAATATTACAAACAGTTACTCCAATTTTACTTATATGTGTAGATAATATTAAGTGTCTAAAACTCACCAGAGTTTCTTTGGTAATACTAGGAGGTAGCGGCTGGAACTTCGGCAGTCCTGTAGACCAGCGGTGCTTGTTCTGCTGCTGTCCAGTGCTGGGCTTCGCGCGATCTCTTCCCAACGTAGCACTTTTGACTTCCGTCTTCGCAGCCCTACCCATAAACACGCCCCAACGTCGTCGTTTCTTCTCCTTACTGCTCACGCTGCTGTTCTTCGTCGTATTACTACTGTCCAAATCGACCGTCGTGCTGTAAGTCGAATTCATTATAGAATTCGATAGAGCACTGTCTGTCCCGCTCGTGTGCGACATGTTCGCGTTGTGATCCGCAGTCAACTGTGCCCGTACGTCGCCCACGCTCACTGAGGTCACGTTATCAGCGGTTCTGCTTATCATATTGTTATTGGACACTTTGTGGGTAGACAGACTGGTGTACGGCGTCTCGTCGTGTTTCAACGAGAGTCGATCGACTGAGAGCGCGATATCCTCGAAGTCGGATTTGTTAATCGATCGATTTGACACGTTCAAATCTTTTGGCACGCTCGATTCGCGGACTCCTTTTATGATTTGCGCGTTCACGTAGTGGTTGTCGGGGTTTGGGATTTTGATTGGCAAATAATTTGGCACGGTCAGGTTCGGTTTTGGGATACCGTAATTGTTGATGGTGGGGTGACTGCTGTTCCTCTCGTTTAGGCGTGCGATTTCATCTGTCGTAGTTAGACTTTGGGCCCGATCTCGGAAAGTGATTTTCCCGTGTTCGTTCCTCCAGGATAACGGCACGTTCTCGTATATCGGTTCTTGAGTATCAGTCACTTTGCCGACTTGTTGTGGCATCACTAAATGCCTCTGGTAGGGTAGTCTATGTAATGGCATGGAGTACATAATATTCCCTCTCTCATCGTACACCTTCTGGATGTTATCAGATATGTGGTGGGGATCGAGGATTATGTGAGGATTGGGTTCTAGAACTGACGCGAGATTGTTATACGTGCCGTGGGTAGGTGGAATTATGTTAGGTCTTCCATAGACCACGTTGTGGCCAGGGTTCAGGTATCCTAAATGGCGGTTTAAAGCTGTTCTGGTGGAAACCAGATCGGGACTAGATCCTGACACGTGGGAGTTTATGTACCCTCTGTGATAGTTGAGCGCTTGGCTCGCAACCGCTAGATCGGGTGTGGAGTTCGATGCGAGACCGTTTGAGGGGTACGGTGGGGGTGGTTTGTAGACGTTGATGTAGTGGAGTTGCGGGTTCCTCTCGCTTTGGACATTGGGGTTGATGGCGAAGGGGTAGTTGCCCATCAATTTGATCCCGTAAGGGTAGTCGTCGGTGGGAGAAACTCCCTGGTTGACTGAGACCGTGTGCCTGGTGACATCAGGGTAGTGAATTCGATGTATGTCAGGATGGGAACCATACACTAGAGGTTTGGCGTTTATGTTGACTTGTGAGTGAGGGTGGTTCTGGTACCTCAGCTGAGCGTCAGCTCTTTGCTGTTGATACTTTTGCTGGATAGCAGTTTCGTAGTCAGGCGCTGGTCGATATGAGGGTAGTAGAGCCCTGCAATAAAAATTTATAATTACAATTTTTTTTTTCATAAAGAGACAAGAAATTCAACTAGATTTTCATTATTTTTCATGCTAGTTTGTTTACTTAATTAGGTGTCTATGTCTAAAATTAAATAAAAATGTACGCGAACAACTATTGCCATGCACGTTTGTGATTTAAGTAATCGTTTAGCGAATAATAGGCTTTGCTCAATGAAAATGATTTAACAGATGTTTTAAAAGAGGCAAGAATATCAACTGGTTCTCTATTTATTTAATGTCAGTTGTTTTTTTATATGTTAAAAAAAGTTGTTTACATTATTTACTTAATTAGGTGTTTAAAAGTTAATGAAATTCCCGTGCAATTTCTAGTGTTATTGTGTGCTATATAAGTGAGCCAATAATAATATGTTTATCAATAATCTCTTTATCATTACAAATTGATCATATACTAGTTTAGGGTTACCAACCCAATTCGGTTTAAAAGTAGTAAAGTTGCAATAATTAAATTAATGTGTAGTGAGAATAGGTGAAAATATATTCAAGTAATTAAAATAATCATATTTTTGTAATAATAAAAGCATTTCTATAAAATTATATATATAATAATATATAACATAGTAACACTAGAAATTAGAGATATTACAAATTGGTCACACATGGTATATGTGTGACTAAGTTTAGGGTTGCCAACCCAATTCGGTTTAAAAGCAGTAAAGTTGCAATAATTAAATTAATGTGTAGTGAGAATAAGTGAAAATAAATTCAAGTAATTAAAATAATCACATTTTTGAATAAAAGTATTTCTATAAAATTATATATACATGTATTAATATATAACATAGTAACATTAGAAATTAGAGATATTACAAATTGGTCACACATATACCAGTTTAGGGTTGCCAACTCTAAATTAGTATATGTGCGACCAATTTGTAATGTCTCTTAATTTCTAGTGTTACTATATACGCGGCCCAATAACACTGTTTGTTAATAATCTTATCATGTTGTGGGCCGCGTCATCCACACCATAACCGGTATATGTATAATTAATGCACGTCTGTTTATACACTTATATTTAAACACTTTCCAAATACATCTAAATTGGAATTTTAGAAAGTTATCACTTTATATATACATTCTGTCTGATCCGGCCAACGTTGTTTTGTCATATAAATTCATATCGCTATTAAAAAATAGGGGTCGGTGATAGAGGGGCGAAAATTTGGGGTTGTATGTATTTTTTAATGATGACTCATAAAAAAATATCAAAAAATCAATTTTTTTTTGTGGTGCACACTTGTGCAACTGTTAGATAATAAAAAATATATAACAATCTATTCATAGATCTACCATATACATATACTGGTAGATAAACTGGGCGCTGGTCTGCGAGTTCCAGGCACGAGGTGGAGGCTCCAGCCTCGACGCGCTTCCACCCTCGCGGATGTCCAACTCCTCACGTGAGCGTACCTGTTCCTGGGCGCGAGCTGCGGCCGCTGGTCTGCGAGCTCCAGGCACGAGGTAGAGTGCGCGCGGTGGGCCGACGTCAGCGGCTCCAGCCGGGACACGCTGCCACCCTCGCGGATGTCCAGCTCCTCACGGCTGTCGGACAGCCCATGATCCTGACATGGTCATACAGTGTTACTAAACCATATCTTATTAATATTATAAATGCGAAAGTTTGTGAGTATATTAATTGGTGGAGTTTTCATTTTTTTATTTTCATAAGGAAGATAATGGCATGGCAGTGGAGGATGATAAGATGAACATGAGGTCAGGTCAGTTAGCCCATCGTGCAAATTCATCAGGAATTTAACACGATGGTTTCAAGGGGGAACCGCGTGGAGGTCGACCTGACCTGACATTGCTAGCAATAGGGTTATCAATCCACATTACTGACCCCCCTTCCCCCCAAAAAAAGACAATTGTTAGTAATGGGACGTCAGGTTCCCTCAACGCAGTTCCCCCTGGAAACAACAATGATAGATTCCTGCAAAATTTGTCACGACGGGTTAATTGACCTGACCTCATGCATATCCTATCTTCCACTGGTGCACCGCCAGCGTAAGTAAATCAATATTTATTTAAAAGAGCAACACACAAGTTTTTTGTTTATTCTTCTTGTGATGAATCTGCATTCCAAATAAGCGGTAGAATAAAAAAAACTTGACTATTCAAAAGTGCTTCTATTAAGTTTATTTGAATAAAGATTATTTCTATTTCTATTTCGTACACCGTTAGCGTAGGCGGTCGCATTCCATTACCATCCATAAAAAAATGAACACAAACTTACACAATTCAACACTTGTACCGTGAAATCATATACATAAGTACTAAGGAAACTTATAATTACACTGAATAATATTAACACAACGATTTCTCACTCGATGGACCGGTAGAACAATTTTCGATTAAAAAAAAACGTTACGACGCGTGCAGTGCGCACGCGAGCACCTGATAACGATCTGTATCGATGAAGATTACAAGACTGCTTACTAGAGATGTTCGAGCCTTATCGATATTTAATAAGAATAGAATAGAAAATCATTTATTTAAATAAACTTACATTGAAGCACTTTTGAGTAGTCATCACATTGTTTTAATCTACCGCTCATTCGGAAAGCTATCATCACAAGAAGAACGAGAAAGAAACTTGTGTGTTGCAATAGAAATAGAAGTAATCTTTATTCAAATAAACTCATTACAAGCACTTTTGAATAGTCATATTTTGATTCTACCGCACATTCGGAATGCAGATTCATTACAAGAATGAGCAACAAACTTGTGTGTTGCTCTTTTGAATAGATGTTTTTTTATATAAATAATTACAGTATAACAAGAAATCGCTACGCACTCATTATTAGTGTAATCAGATAATATTGTCAGAGCTCAGTGCTATCGATTTTAAGTTTTTCTATAAAAACATTATTGTCGTTAACGAATTCTTCAATTTTATAGTGAGCTTTTTTACAAAGGAAGTGTTTTATACGACATTTAAATCGTTTTTCAGGCAGATTTATAACAGACTTTAGTACTTTGTTGTAAAACCTTACGCAATTTAGTGGTAAAATATCGATATTTCAACAACCAGCCGACGTTGATATATTTGTATCACTGTTGAGAGGTCGCTATAGATTGAGATCATATATTTGAATTTACTGTTGAGAGGATGTTTTGGCACACCGCCTTATCTCTGATGGTTGTGTTCCTTGCACTGTACTACAATTTGTATTCCTGACTATGATTGCTGTATAGGTCTGAGTAATTTCTATGTATAATATGTATGTATTTACGAAAAAAATATATCTATGTACTTGTATCAGTTATCTAGTACCCATAGCCCAAGCTTTAGCTAGCTTAACTTGTGTCTAGATGGCGCTGTGTAAATTGTCCGGAGATTAGTATTATTACTATTACTCATTGTTATGCGCCTAGATTTATGTATGTATGTTATTATTATTATATTTATATGTATGAAGGTATCCGCAGAATATCAGCGTCGTGGCACCCCGTTACGACATATGGGATATAGAGCGGAGACCTGTTTGGTACCAAAATAATCAATATGAAACTTAAAATTAAAAAAATATATTTGTTATTGTTATGTGAACCAAATAAACTTATTTCCTTTCTTTTCTTTTCATCAATGTCGATTTCTTATTCGATATATCGATAAATATCGACATCGATGTCGAGGTTTTTATAATATCGCTCGTCCCTACTGCCAATGCTAAATACCTAACTCGCTTGCGTTGATAAAGAGGGGAGTGTAAATAAGAGTAATCTTGCCCCTACTCTATTCCGATTGATGCCCGGTCCATTTCAAATGGGGATCAAAATTAGGACAGCGAGACAAGGTCCGAATCCCTAGCGGTGCCCTCTGAGTAAAGTCGTATCCGTCAGGCAGGAGTTGGCCTTCAGTTACTCCATAAGTCCTTTATTTGGTTTGGAGTGCCATCTACACTCGCCATCTATCGTTCGGTGAAGATATAAAGGCCACCTGGGGCCAACAGTATTAGACTCGTCCGGAAAAAGGATACCCCTCCTATGTTGGTCCCAATCCCAATTAGTCCAGAGAAATGTGGACAAGTCAAATAGCACTGTAGATAGGTACTTGACATTGTCTCTGCCTACCCTATCCGGGATAACATCCGTGAAAGTATATATCAAATTAATCAATCAAATGAAAATATCTTTATACATGTAACTACAGGGATGTTATGGATATGAAATTTCGGATACGGATAGGTTTCGGATATAGGAATGATTATTATACCGGATATAGGATATGAAATTATTTCGGATTATCCGTCAGTTTCGGACAATTTCGGTTACGGATATTATGTTTTTAAGGAATTTCAAAAGTAAATTACAAATAGCCAATAAAATGGTTACATAACGTGTCTCAATTAGGCTCCGTACCGTATTATCCGAAACTTTTATTTCGGATTCGGTTACGGTTACGAATATTTTTTTATATCGGATATCCGATAGTTTCGGTTTACGGTTATGGATCTCCTTAACATCCCTGTTATACTACTAGATATATAATACTACCTAGATTTTTATCGCACTACTCTAATGCTGTTGGCCGCAGCTGGCCTTTACAGCTTCACCGGATGGTAGGGAGCAAGTGCAGATGGCAAAACCGAATAAAGGTCTTATGGAGTAACTGAATGCTAACTCCCGCCTAACGGATACGACTTTAGTCTGAGGCACCGCTAGGGGTTCGAACCTCGGTTCAGGCCGTCGTATTATGGATCCCCGTTTGAATTGGACGGGGGATCGATCGGAGGGGGTCTATTTCAACTGCGTAAGCTGTTTCTGTTAAAGTGTGATATAAGATAATCAAAATCTCAGAGGACGTAGGTGTTCCATCATCCAGTCCTGATATATTATTGACAACCTCGATGGTCTAGCGGTCTAGCACACCGCTTTACGACCGATGGTCGCGGGTTCGATTTCTCGCACGGCACAAACATTTGTATTCATGAGTATGATTGTACGGTCTGGGTGTTTTCTATGTATATTATATATGTTTTGCGAAAAAAAAAATATCTATGTACTTGTATCAGTTATCTAGTACCCATAACACAAGCTTTTGGTAGCTTAGTCTAGGGTCTAGATGGCGCTGTGTGAATTGTCCCGAGATTATTATTATTATTATTAAAAACAACTAAACGTAATATTGTTGGTCATAATTTCGATCTTATCCTTGTTTGAATTGTATGAGGGATCGGTCGGAAGGTTAATATGTCAAATCTACCGTCAGTTCGGTGTGCTCTCGAGCTAAAAAGAACTGGCAAGAAATTTTCTCGTTTCTTCTTCATTTTTAAATACAATGAGTAAGAATGTAGTGACTAGCATCTGCTATTACATTTTTGTCAAAAGAAATAACATCGAGAAATTCTACAACTACTGACAATCTATTCGAGGAATTTTGCTTTGTTTTTTTTTTATAGTATTATCTAATCTTTGCTGTAATTTGGAGTAAAACTATTTGTAATTTTGTTTTCGGTAGGCATCTAAACATACGAGTAAATGTTTATTTTATTGTAAGTAAAATTTTTGCTATAACTACATATCCTGGTTGTCTGTAAGAGATTGCTTTAAGCGATAAGGCCGCCTTTTAGTATATCTTTCTTTTTTATTTATTTTTGTAATTATTTATTTCTTTTAATGCACAATAAAGAGTTATTACTATTATTATCATTTAGAATAACATAGAAAATTTGCTTTACAATTTTATTTTCTAAGCGACTTCAAAATGGAGGGATCTTTATATCATAGGCATGACATTGGGCAGAGCTTGGCAGGCTACTTAAGTAGCCTGGCTCTACACGCACAACGGCCCAAATGAGAGGCCAATTGCGGAAAATGGAGGCCAACCTACATCATAGGCATGAATATAAATGTTTGTACCGTGTGAAGAATAGAACCCTCGACCATTGCAAGTAAAGCGGTCTCTTAAACCGCTATTACAACCGAGGCCTTTGTATATATAATAATAATAATAATATCTGAGGACAATTCACGATAAAAAAAAAATTATTGCGTGAGATTGCAACCGCTAGCCAAGAAACTTCTGTGGAATGCCTAAAATTTGTTTTTTTAATAAGTATTCTTTGTAATTGTATTTTCAAACTATGTACGATATATCATATCACGACAGAATCTCTAATGTGAAATCGCTGCTTCAATTATGGCGTTTAAAACAACGTGAAGGTATGGCAACTTGCTATTTTTTTCATGCGTCAACACTCAGTCGATACACGCAATATGTTTAGTGGCATTAGCATTATCTTCAAATTACTGGGTAAGGAGATACCAATTTAATCCTTTGGTATGACAATGCATGAATGCTTTTTTTCTATACCCGTGATTCAGTGAGGTGCGTGTTGACATGCGACGGTCACCACTTACCATCAGGCGGGCCTTCAGTTTCTTTCTAATTTAATCGAATCAAAAATTATTTATTCATGTAGAACAATTTAGTAGCTTATGAACGTCTAATTTTTTTAATGATTATTTTATCCCTACATATATAGTTAGGGGTAATTTTTTACAAATTTTTAATGTCAAAATTATTTCTATTTAAACAACAGCCTAAAAAATAAGTTTCAAACTTCTAGCTTAAAAAATGACGATACTTCCATATAACGTTTCATCACCCCTTTTAACACCATACAACCCTTTTTTCGCATTAAAAAGAATCGTATGTCCTTTCTCAAGGTTTAGACTATCTGTGTACCAAATTTCATTTAAATCGGTTTAGTAGTTTCGGCGTGAAAGCGAGACAGACAGAGTTACTTTCTCATTTATAATATTAGTAAGTAAAAAGTAATTCTTTATATATAATTATCCTAAATATTACAAATGTGAAAGTAACTCTGTCTGTCGGTCTGTCTCACTTTCACGTCAAAACTACTGAATCGATATACTAATATTTAAATGAAATTTGGTACACAGATAGTCTAAACCCTGAGGAAGGACATAGGCTACTTTTGAATGCGAAAAAGGGTTGTAGGGGGTTGAAAGGGGAGAGGAAAGATTATATGGAAGTAATGTCAATTTACGCGGACGAAGTCGCGGCACAGCTAGTATTCTATATATCTCCCTTTGATGCGGTGATAGACGTGTCATTGCGGGTGAACATCACCAAACATCATCATCATCTGCTTCTTCCTTATCCCATTTATTTGGGGTCGGCGTAATATGTTTTTCTCTTCCATTCATCTCTGTTCGCAGTCATTCCGTTATTTACTCCCTTTCTCACCATATCATCTTCCACACAGTCCATCCATCTCTTTTTCGGTCTTCCTCTACCCTTATAACCATCCACATTCATATGTAACACCGTCCTTAGGATATGATCTTCATTCCTACGCATTACATGCCCATACCACATCATCAAACATCACCAAACAATGACCACTATAAAATGATGATGGTAAAGATTTTCAAACGGAAGACAAAAATTTGGCGGACGATTCTACATGTGTAACAGCTTTATTTTTACTACTAGCTCTGCCCGCGACTTCGTTCGCGTGGGGTAACTTCAACCGTTTACGCAGCGCACGCCTTTTTTTTGGACTCTAATGCTGTTGGCCGCAGCTGGCCTTTACAGCTTCACCGGACGATGCGAGTGCAGATGGCATTCCAAACCAAAGAAAGGACTTATGGCTGAAGGCCAACTCCCGCCTGACAGATACGACTTTAGTTTGAGGGCACCCGGCGGTTCGAACCTCGGCTCAGGCCGTCATAATATCGATCCCCGTTTGAATTGGACGGGGGATCGATCGGAAGGGACGCAGCGAACGGAAGCCCTGATATGAATAATTTCCCCCATTCTGCAACATTTTTCACTGATGCTTCACTTCTATTGGTCGTAGCGTAATGTTATATAGCTAAAAGCCTTCCTCGACAAATGGACTATCCAACACAAAAAGATTTTTTCAAATCGAACCATTAGTTTCTGAGATAGAGCGCAAACAAACAAACTCTTCAGCTTTCCAATATTAGTAAATAAATTTTATAGAAAAAAATAAATTATTAAAAAATAAATATAGCTGACCTGGAATTTAGGCCGGTGCTCTTCGTGTGTGACCTGGTGCTCGTTGAGCGCGCTCTGATGCTGCATGTAGAAGGTGTGCTGCTGTATGCACATCCGCCATATGTACTTGCCGTCGTCAGGGCTCCACAGGGTGAAGGAGGCGGACTCCGCCTTCTGGCACTCGATGCTGAACGTGCGCTTGTGGTTGATCACGTTCGTTATGTCCATCCATCTATACAAACAAATACATAAAACGGTGATACAATTTTTTTTCATCTACTCTTAAAAAAAAATTCAAAATTCAAATTCATGTAGGTCTATTACAGACTCTTATGATATGTCAAATCCACCGTCGGTTCAGAATGATTTCGAGACGAGAAGAACTGACTAGAAACTCAGCTCGTATTCTTTTCAAATAAATGTTGTACATGTTTACAATAATACAGATTCATTTTTAAATTCAAATATAATGAATAGGAGGAGGGAGAATAGGTTGACCACCAGCATAAGCTATTGCTGAAGCAAATAGTCTAATCAGTCCCCACAATCAGCACCCGTTCACGAGTATGATGGATGAGCCATATTAGAGGGAGCACTGACCCGGCCCACCACGCCGCCACAAGTTTGAACTTTATGCGAGCATGACTGTTTCAAGTTACTCCACTACGTCATTTTTATTTACAACATAGGCTGTAACAATAACAGTTTCTCCCCATTACAATATTAAAAAAAAAATCTTAAAAAAAAATACGGAAAGGAATGCAACAGGGCTGTTATGGATATGAAATTTCGGATACGGATAGGTTTCGGATATAGAAATGATTGTTATACCGGATACGGATACGGATGCGGATATGAAATTATTTCGGATTATCCGTTAGTTTCGGATAATTTAGATTACGGATATTAATGTTTTAAGGAATTTCAAAAGTAAATTACAAATAGCTAATAAAATGGTTACATAACGTGTCTCAATTAGGCTCCGCCCCTATCCGATATTATCAAACATTTATTTCGGATTCGGTTACGAATATATTTTTATATCGGATATCCGATTTCGGTTACAGTTACGGAGCTCCCTAACATTCCTGGAATGCAACCTGTCCTTAAAAGTTTCCAATTGTAACCACTAGGTCGCAACGTTCAACGGTAAATTATATATTCTACTCATCAAATCATATTCCGTAACAATATTAATAGGATATCGTTGAATAGCTAATATAATACATTATGCATCAGTCAATGAGTCACCATAGAACAGCATATGCTGGTGGTCACTCTATTCTCCCAAATTTGAATTTAAATGAAATAGTATTATTGTAAATATGTACAACATTAAAAAAAAATACGAGCTGAGTTTCTTGTCAGTTCTTCTCATCTCGAAATCATTCCGAACTGACGGTAGATTTAACATATCATAAGAGTCTGTAATAGACCTACATGAATAAAGATATTTTGAATTTGAATTTGAATTGAGATCCTTACTAATATTATAAATGCGTAACAAACTGTCTGTTGCGTTTCTACGCCAAAACTGCGATCGATTTCAATGAAATTTGTTACACATATAGTCTAGACAAAAAAAGTTTGAGAACCTCTGCCCAAACTATTTTTTGTCGTAGACCCCTTGTTATATTCTTCGGTTTTGGGTAGACCCCCCATTCTTACCTGGTATTGTTTTTTTTGTAAATTTCTAACTGTAGTAAAGTTTAATGTTAAAAACATAAAGTAAAAACAAGATGGCCGCTGTCGTAGACCCCTTGCAGTTTGTTATAGACCCCTGGGGGTCGATATGAGAAATGCCTAATTAAAGCCTATTACTCACTAAACGATTACTTGAATGACGAGCGTGCATGGCAATAGTTGTTCATGCACGGGATTTTCATTTAATGTTAGACATAGACACCTATATAAATATACATTGTAAATAAACTGGCTTTAAAAAAAGTAATTCAATTTAGTTTCTTGCCAGTTCTTCTCAATTGGATCTATATACTGGATGGTAAGGAAAAAATTATAATATAAAAATTTGAGGATCATAAGCGGTTAAAATGTCTTACATGAATAAATGATTTTTGAATTTGTATGAGATAGGCTATTTTTTAATTCGAAAAAGGGTTGTAACGGGTTGAAAAGGGAGATGTAAGGTTGCTATACTTCCAGTATCGTAATTTTTAAATCTAGAAGCTTGAAAATTATTTTTTAGGCTGTTGATTAAATATAAATAATGACATTTTGAAAAATTTTCACCCTTCAGGGGGTAAACTAAATTAGGGATGAAATGTTTCTTCCATTTCATCCCCAATTTAGTTTACCCCATTAGAAAAAATGGGAAAGGAAATTTGTCATTTTCGAAGCTAGTAAGATTAAAATTTTTATGATGGTTTTTTTGTTTAAGTTTTATTTTATATGTATATATACTCGTAGGTAAAAAGAAAATACAGAAAAAGATTTGGAATACGGATATACCTATATATTAGGAAGAAATTGTCAAGAAGTTGAAGTACAGAAGAAGAATATAGAAAACAATAACTATAAAATACAAATTTAGAATAAAAAATAAATTTCTGCTTAGCCAGTACAGTATACAATTCCTCAGGACTTTCTCACGTTCATATTATCATCCTCCACTGGTGCCCTGCCAGCGTAAACCGTTAGCGCAGGCAGGTGTACCATTGCATTATCATCCATAAAGAAATGGCTCTTCAATTGTCTTCCGAGTAATCAATTAGTGAGCAATAGTATTTATCTAACAATTGTCTATGTGAAAATAGTCTATTATACTGTGGGAAAGTGAAAGAATTTATACCGTAGACTACTGTCTGATCAACCGCATGTAGGTAGGCAATTTGTAAATAACAACCTCGATAAGATCGGATGGGAACATGTAAATATACGACGGTCTCGGTGGTTTTAGGTTTAGCAGACCGCTTTTCTTCTGATAGTCGCGGGTTCGATTCCTCGCACAGCATAAAGATTTGTATTCATAAGTATGGTTGTTTGTATCGGTTTGAGTGTCTTCTATGTTTATTATGTATATATTTACACTAATATATCAAGTGTATATATATCAGTTGTCTAGTACCCAATGTTAACTTGGGTCTAGATGGCACCGTAACGTATCTAACAATAAATCAATCATGGTGTCCAGGGGGATCCACGAGGAGGTTGACCTAACAGGGTATTTTTTTTTATTACATAACAGTGATGCCCGGTTGTAAATTTCCAGGTATCCTACTTTTTTTATTTACACACACATTTCATTATATTACAGGATATACAATGCTATCACTGTGGCTACTAGTCCTCATTACTAACAATCTCTTCTCCCCGCTATTGTCAGATGTTAAGACCTGTAGCACTGCGATCTACATAGATCTATATATATATAGCTCGCCCTTTTTCAAAGTTCGCTACCTATACCCATCAGGGACAAGAATTGCAAGAATTTTCTTAGGAGCGATGGTTTTTATCTCCTCAGAATAGAGTGTATATTTTCCAAAGAAGATATTTCGCTTATGCATAAGTGGACTACAAACACACGATGTGTAGTGGCGTTTCCTCTTCTGTTTAGCAAAATTTTCTCAGAAAATTACGAACACCGATTAGACTATTTGCTTTTGCTATAGCATTTGCTGGTGGTCACTCTATTCTCCCAGATTTGAATTTAAAAATGAATCTGTGTTATTGTAAACATGTACAACATTTATTTGAAGAGAATACGAGCTGAGTTTCTTGTCAGTTCTTCTCATCTCGATATCATTCCGAACTGACGGTATATTTGACATATCATAAGTCTGTAATAGACCTGCATGAATAAAGATATTTTCATCAAAATCCATAGTCACTTATTTGATGTTCCTTGGAGAAGAACAGAGCTGGCCAACCAGGCTCCCATTATTCTTGCACTGAGTCTACTCAAAGGTGTCGTTATTCGATTTTCTGTGCTGGACATATGTGACTTGTTGAATTTTTAGCAGAATGGCAATGGATTTCCTAAATAATACGTTAAATTGTAGGTTATTATATATCTTATATATAAAATTCTCGTGTCACAGTTCTCGTTCCCATACTCCTCCGAAACGGCTTGACCGATTCTCATGAAATTATGTGAGCGTATTGAGTAGGTCTGAGAATCGGCCAACATCTATTTTTCATCCCCCTAAATGTTAAGGGTAGTCCACCCCAAATTTTTTATTTTATTTTAAGGCATAACAACGTTTGCTGGGACAGCTAGTATATATATATTTGTAATTTTTAATATTTCATATTTTTTGTATAATTTTTCCTAAGTGAGCAAATTGGGAGGCTGTAAGGCTCGCAAGTTTTTCATGTTAATAAATAAATAAATGCATTTATAATATTGAAAGCATCAATAATTTCCAATATAAGTACATACCTATAATATCTGGTGGAGTCACTGCTGTCTGTGATCACCCTGATGCCAGTTATTGATATGGCTAGCGACACCTCCTTCTGGTTACGTTCATCTCGTGCACTGAATGTCTCCTGGCCATAACCTGGGAGCTGCTGGCAGGTGGTGATGAAGCCCTCTTCAGCTTGTGCCTAAAATTTTAATGTCTAACTTTATTTTTTTATTTCAAGAAGGGTATATTAAGGGTTCTTAAGGGTCGGCAACGCGCACGTGACACCCCTAGTGTTTCAGGCGTCCATAGGCTACGGTAGCCGTTTACCATCAGATGGGCCGTATGCTTGTTTGCCACCTAAGTAGTATAAAAAAAAAAAATATTTACTGCTCACAACGAAACTTACAATATTGACAAAGTAACAAAAGTATGTATTTAATCTTACAAGCTGTTCCTTGTGAGAGTCTGGAGCCTGAACTAAGTCGAAACCTGTACTACAGATCTCCAGGCTCTCTCCGAGGACTTACTGGTATTTAACAAATCTAACTAATGTTTTTGTACTGACTGTAGGGAACTCCTTGATAGGTTTTTATATTATCTTTTAATTTTGTAATCATATTTTTGACATATTCTTTTTGTTACTTTCTATTATATATCGCTGTCATATTAGTCGCATTTTATTTCATCTCTTTCAACTCCGTATTTTCCTTATCAATGAACCTCTCACTCATCAGACACATTAGATACCTCTACATCAGTGAGGTCACTCCGTGAAGGCTGAGATGATACGAAGAAGATTGTTGAAGAGTGTTGTTGCTTAATACTTTTTAGTGTCGAATTTGACAAAAATGAATACTCTCTAGGACATATTTGGACTAGTTTTTTTTTTTTCAAGGACGATAATGGAATGGTGCACCCGCCTGCGCTAACGGTTTACGTTGGCGGGGCACCAGAGGAGGATGATAAGATGAGCATGAGGTCAGGTCAGGTCAGTTAGCCCATCGTGACAAATTCACGGGGAATTTATCACGATGGTTTCCAGGGGGAACCGCTTGGAGGTCAACCTGACATGGTACATTGCTAGTAATGGGGTCATAAGTCCACATTACTAACAATCCTATTCCCCCCTATTTGGGCTAGTTAAACTTTCCCTACCACAGAATATCACAGTAATATTTAATCAGTTGTAAAATTATAATGGAATAATAATCATAATATTTCAGGACAATTCACACAGCGCCATTTAGACCCAAGTTAAGCTAGCTACAGCTTGTGTTATGGCAACTGATACATATATATAGATACTTTTTTAGTAAATACATACATATTATACATTGAAAACACCCAGACCGATACAAACAATCATACTTATGAATACAAATGTTTGCACCATGCAAGAAATCGAACCCGCTACCTTTGGAAATAAAGTGGTGTGCTAAACCACTATACCACAGAGGTCGTCATAGAACAGATACAATGAAATAGATAAGATTCATAGAGTAAGTAGTTGAATACTGAATTTTATATAAGGTGACTAATGACTAAGATTAATATTAACTCATGCAAATCTCATACAATAGCATACATAATGTGTATGTCATACATAATTCCTAACGATGCAACACACAAGTTTCTTGCTCATTCTTCTTGTGATGATTCTGTGTTCGGAATGAGTGGTAGAATAAAAAACATATGACTATTCAAAAATTCGTAAATGAGTATGATAGAAGATTATGGAAAGTGGCAACAGATCCACAAACAGGAGTGTCTATTGAATCTTAATAATATTATAAATGCAAAAGTTTGTAAGTATGGATGTTTGTTACTCTTTCACACAAAAACTACTGAACGGATTATGATGAAACTTTACAGTAACATATCTTATGTAATAGGCTATATTTTTTATTGAAATTTAATGTGGGTGAAACAGTGGGCATTGCTAGTTGTGAATAATTTAATTCAAAAGCGTTTATATTAAGCTTGTTTGAATAAATACTTCTATTTTTATTTCTGTCCTAATAATCATAGACAAATTACATTGTTATATGTATGAAATGGATGACATAGTCTATGATATAATGATTATAAACAATAATAGTATGTTTAATAATTTTATATAGTAAAGCTAGAAATTAGGCACATATATATGTCTTTAATTTCTAATTGTACTATACAAATGTATAAGGACCATTCTGGAACAGGTTACGGAAGAGGGAAAAGGCATACCGAGTTGCGGGTCATTTTGTAAACATCAAATGTTCCCCTTCAACTTTCAGGAAAAGGGGCTATATATTATTATTATTATACAAATGTATATATATATACTGGTTTTGAGATAAAAGATAGGCTTTTTTCATAATAAACTCTTTAGAATAAATTTCATTAAGATTGGTTCAGTACTTCAGTTACTGAATGATGCTCTGTATGCTCAATATGGCAATAAATTACACATTTAAGAAAGTTCATATAACTCTTGTAAAATTAAAAAGTAGTGCAGATGAATTTACTTTTTAATTAAAAAATAAGCATCGTACACACATATGGTGTTACTGTGAGCGGGAACACAACTACTGTTTTAATAAAAACCAAATGCTAGTAAAAATGTGTAATCTTCCCAAAAGGGTTCACAGCGAGAAGTAACAAAACAATATTAGTCAAAAGTGACATAAAAAATAGATATAAAAAATATAACCTTTATAAAAAGAATGGTAGACAAGCTGCCAGTAATATATGGTTATTTCATTTTCAATTAAAAAATAAGAATCATACATATATATGGTTTTTTCAAAACCTACTCTATATATTGTAACATAAGGTCTTTATAAAATGGTCTGAACTAAAACTTTAGATTTGGCATTTATAATATTGCATTCAAAATTTAAAATATAAAGAAATTTGTTCTATTTTTAAAATAAGTACAAGCAAGATTACTTTTTAAATTAATTGTTGAGGAACTTAGCAAAGGAACATATAAATTATACATAATGAGTCTGATGATTTTGGTGTAAGGTTTTTTAAATTAATCATGTAGTAAAATTAAGTCATATGTACAGTACCTGTGACATGTTATGCAAAGCCATATGATGTTGTATAACAGCACTGGTCAGTCTCTCCAGCACTCCAGGCTCTGCACGGTTACTCAGGTCTATAATTTGATTGCCATCATGTATTTGCTTTGGAAATGTCAACAGATTCTTCAAATACTCCACCGTATGCCTCTCCCGGTCATGATTACCATACTCTGCTTGCCGGCTGTACGAAGCTAGAACCACTGCCTGCTGGCAATCACAGGATATCCGACCCTCAACCAAATCATTCTTCAGTTGCAAGAAATAATGATATCTTGTCACTTCATCATTGATTAAGCTTGTACCCGATATTATATAGTACATCACACGTAAGTAGAGCTGATGTGTGGACGCGTATTTGTCTAGCTGCCTCTTCAGGGGCCTCTCCAGCTGCACCCATCGGGGTTGACAGTTTCTATTCAGATACCGGAGGCCGAAGAACTGCGGCTGCTGGATGGACTGCCGCTGGCACACGTTGTCGAGGCATTCCAACCCGGAACTGTCTACAGACAGCGTGCAGTCGGCTACACCACCATCTAGCAGCTCCACACTGATCACAAACAAACTCTTCGACGCGACGTTGTACTGTCGCGTCTTCTTCAATTTTAACTTGAAAGGCATCTTCCTACGTTACCCGGCACTTATTTGCAATAGCATCACTTATGGAACGACCGTTTTGTTACATTTATGGCGAAGGGATGTAATGAAAGACATCCGTTACGCGCGCCACACATCCATATCATTTCCAATAGGAATGCGAGTTTACAATTTGCTCGATTATCAAAATACACATCGAAGAAACGGTGACGTATATAATAAAAGCGTATGACTACAGTGTAAAGTAATAAAAAATGCCTAGTAAACAATAAAATACAAAAAGCACATTAACAACAAGATCATAACGAATGACAAATGATTGACAGTTTGCGGTAATGTTGCCAGTAGAAATTACTAGCTTCTTGCCAGAGGTTATAAATTTTGGTGCGTTTAAAATAAGTCTAATTCAGAAAAGGTTAAATCTATATTAATCTTAGCTATACATATAAATAAAATTAGAGTGTCTGTTTGTAATATTTAACTAATAAATACGGTACTACGGACTACGGACTGTTATCGGCAGGTAACTGATGTAATAAGGAGTAACGTAGGCTACTTTTATTTTAGAAAAATAAAGTTAAATTCCACGCGGACGAAGTCACAGGTGCAGCTAGTAATATTATAAAGCTGAATAGTTTATTTGTTTGTTTGATCGTGCTAATCTCAGGAATTACTGGTTCGAATTGAAAAATTCTTTTTGTGGATAGTCCATTTGTCAAGGAAGGCTTTGAGCTATAAAACATTACGCTACGACCAATAGAAGCAGAGCTGCAATGAAAAATATTGCAAAAATTGGGGAAATGAAACGCAGACGAAGTTGCACGGGTCAGCTAGTTTCTAAGAAGATTGTTACATTTCTCATCATTATACTTCTCATATTTTAATAACTAAAGATTCGAGCAGTGGTAAATATTTATTTCGTAAATACGAAATACGAAAATTATTTCTTATTTGGACAGTCCTATCTAGACCGAAATTCTTATTAATATTTGTACTGGAACTTATGTTAAATTTTATAATACATAAATAAAAATAAAAAGATTATAACTTCAAAAATATATTTCATAAAATGATTTTTTTATACAAATTTAAACTTTGATCAGTCGAAGTTTTGACAATGGCCAGTGCTTCGACTCAACCATCACGCGGTGGAGCGGCGCGCCTGTGCTTTCTCTACATTGAGCCAATCACGCGGTTGCTTCAATACTTTCATTAGTTCTTGTTCTGGAGAATTTGGTTTTGGCTCGTGCATGTACTCCCATTTCTGAAAAAAAAAAGTAAATACAAGAGAAAATCACAAAAATCACTCATCATCATCATCTGCTTCTTCCTTATCCCATTTATTTGGGTTCATATGTTTTTCTTCCATTCATCTGAATCACTCTATATATTAAAATATACCGCTTCAAAATCCGTTGCGTAGTTTTAAAGATTTAAGCACACATAGGGACGGACAGCGACAGCGACTTTTTATACTATGTAGTGATGATGATTATTATTATATGTTGATTTTTTTTATTTTAAATACTAGTCTTATCCACATGTTTCTGTCGGTACTGAATATAGTATGCATGATAGGACAACCACTCGTGTGTTAAGGAGATAAAATAGGTTTTTTATACTTAAGACAACACTTCGTGTGTAATTTTGTTATTGTCTTTTAAGCTTAGTAGACATTTATTGATATAGTATAATTTCGATACAGAGTTCACATACTTAATTTATATAATGAAGTTTAGAATATAGATATAATTAGAATTTGAGTTCTAGCAAACTATTTTTATTTAATTTTGGTCACTGGGATTACTATTAGGGTTTTAGTTGTAGTTCGTCTATTTGGCACTAGATGGCGTTATTAGCAAATTCTATATTTACATAGAAGTCTAAAACTCGATAATATAATTTTGGGGCTCGATCTGTTTATGTAGATTCATAAATGGTATAAATAGTATTAGACCTATATTTGCTTATTCACCATTGTGTCTACATTAAGCTAGGTAGAGGAGCTGTACTGGCCGCAATGGAGAATATGTCACGTGTAATTTTTCTCAGGAAGGCCGAAAAAGAGATGGATGACTGGTGTGAAAGATGATATGGTAAGAAAGGAAGTAAATAACGCGATAACTGCGAACAGGGATTAATAGAAGCGAAAAACATATTACGACGACCCCAAATAAATGGGATAAGGAAAAAGCAGATAATCTTTCTCATAACCCTTAATATTGTGTATTTAATATTATCCTTAATAATATATAATACTATCTATTATTAAATATCATTGCATTGAGAGGTAAATAAATAAGTATAGTATATGGTAAACTGACCGCATTGAGTGGTAACGACATGAGTATGGACTCGTATCTGGCCTCGGGCGTGTGGAGTCCGAACTTGGTCCCTCGGTCGTATATCAGGTTGAACTCGACGTAACGTCCGCGCCGCACCAGCTGCCACTGCCGCTCGTAGTAGCCGTACGCGTCGTCCTTATGCTTCTTGACTGTTTACATTTAAACAATAGTATATATTGTTAGCTGTAGCTGTAGCTGGTGGCGCCACCGTCGTGCGGCGCGTCTATAAAAGGCTGCGAAACCCGGTGTGCGGGCTGTCCCCTCCGATCGAACCCCCGTCCAGTTCAAACGGGGATCGAAATTACGACGGCCTGAGCCGAGGTTCGAACCCCTAGTGGTGCCCTCAGACTAAAGTCGTATTCGTCGGGCAGGAGTTGGCCTTCAGCCGCTCCATAAGTCCTTCCGCGGGTTTGGAGTGCCATCTGCACTCGCCCCTAACGTCCGGTGAAGCTGTAAAGGCCAGCTACGGCCAACAGCAGTAGAGTAGTCCGAAAAAAAAAAGTGTGCGGGGCGTCTCTGCGTCGAGCCACCGGTGCGCCGTGGTTCGTTCGCAGCGTAGATCTCCACCGCGATCTTAATCTGCCCTCCATCAAGCAGTTTATGAAGGAAGCGTCTCGACGCTACTTCGACTCTGCCCAATCCCACCCTAACCGGCTTATAGTCAGTGCGGTCGACTACGCACCGAGGAGTAATATCCGACATATGCGACAACGTCGCCCGAGGCACGTTCTCATTGACCCCGACGACCCCATAACGGCAGGTAACCTCCCCACGGGCCCGTCCGTTCCACCCCGACCACACTTTTACACACGACACCGTCCTCGCCGGCGAAGACGACGACCTCAAACACACAATATCGCGCATTCAACCGGGCGCCTGCGCGCACCCGGGCGCCCCACACCGGCGCCCCTCCGATCGATCCCCCGTCCAATTCAAACGATCGAAATTACGACGGCCTGAGCCGAGGTTCGAACCCCTAGTGGTGCCCTCAGACTAAAGTCGTATCCGTCAGGCAGGAGTTGGCCTTCAGCCGCTCCATAAGTCCTTCCTTGGTTTGGAGTGCCATCTGCACTCGCCCCTAACGTCCGGTGAAGCTGTAAAGGCCAGCTACGGCCAACAGCATTAGAGTAGACAGAAATAAAAAAGTGTGCGAGCTCTTTTCGTCGACAGACGTGCTCTCGAACGAATCTCCGTATTTGCTTTATAAATTCTTGTACCGACTTTGTTAAAATTAATTATACAATTTGTTATAAGTTTCTTTTATTTAATTAAATTTAGAGGTCATTCCTAACAATATGATGTATAGACTCTGTATTGTAAACATGTGCAACAATATTTGAAAAGAACACGAGTTGAGTTTCTTGTCAGTTCCTCTCATCTCGATATCATTCCGAACTGACGGTAGATTTGACATGTCATAAGAGCATAAGAGTCTGTAATAGACCTACATGAATAAAGATAATTTGAACACGTCGATGATCGCATTGAAAAATCTTATTTCTCACAGAGGGATCGACTATTAAACTATTAAAGCTTCATCCAAACCCGTTCAGTAGTTTTTGCGTGAAATCGCGTTTATATGACTAGTTTTTGTCCGCGGCTTCGCTCGCGTTAATTTATCCCCTTAGGGGTAGATTTTATCAAAATCCTTTCTTAGGGGATGCCTACGTCATAGTAGCTTTATGCATTCAAAGAGTCTCAACCCGATTGGTTTAAAATTGACAAAGTTTCATACAAACTTTCATCCCCTATTTTATCCCCTTGGGAGTAGAATTAATCAAAATCCTTTCTTAGCGGATGCCTACGTCATAACATCTACCTGCATGCCAAATTTCAGCCTGATTTGTCCAGTGGTATGAGCTGTGCGTTGATAGATCACTATGTCAGTTAGTCACCTTTGAGTTATATATATTTAGACTAGCTGTCCCGGCAAACGTTGTTTTGCCTTAAAATAAAAAAAAAAAATTAGGGGTGGACTACCCCTAACATTTGGGGGGATGAACAATAGATGTTGGCCGATTCTCAGACCTACTCAATACGCTCACAAAATTTCATGAGAATCGGTCAAGCCGTTTCGGAGGAGTATGGGAACGAAAACTGTGACACGAGAATTTTATATATAAGATTAAGATATTAGTATGGGTACCTATGGGTATGTAGCTGGGCACCACTGCCTCAGCGCAGGATGTGACGAACTTGAAAGCCTCCTGCTGGCTGGGCTGGTCGATGTCGTCGAAGAATATGCCGCCGATGCCGCGACTCTCGCCGCGGTGCGGGATGTAGAAGTAATCGTCGCACCATTTCTTAAATCTGCACATAAAGACATCCAAACTATAATAATACCCACTCACAACTATTAGAGAAGGATTATACAGTAGTATGTGACTCAGAATTTTATATATTTAAAGAACGATTATAGCATAGTGTGTTACTCTAACAGAAAATTCTATACATTTTAAATAGAAAAACCTTAGAATTATTACATATAAAATATATTACAAAGAGAGGACTACACAGTTGTGTGTGACTAACAGAAAATTCTGTATATTTTGAAAAGAGAAAGAATATATAGTAGTGTGTGAGTAACTGAGAACTTAATATATTACAAGGAGAGAAGGACTACACAGTAATGTGTGACCAACAGAAAATTTAAGCATTATAAATTGAAGGATATATCCATTAGTAGTATAAGACTAACTGAGAATTTTATATATTAATAGAATGATTACAGAGTAGTGTGTTACTCTAATAGAAAATTCTATATATTTTAAATAGAAAAAGCATCTACAGTAGTGTGACAAACTTAGAATTTTATATACGAGTACTAAAAAGAGAGAAGGACTACACAGTTGTGTGTGACTAACAGAAAATTTATGTATTACAAATTGAAGGAGTATATAGTAGTGTGTGACTAACTATATATATTATACATTAACAAGAGAAGGACTACAAAGTTGTGTGTGACCAACAGAAAATGTATGTATTACAAATTGAAGGAGTACATAGTAGTGTGTGACTAAATGTGTATATTATACATTAAAAAGAGAAGGACTACACAGATGTGTGTGACCAACAGAAAAATTTATGTATTACAAATTGAAGGACCACACAGTAGTGTGTGACAAACTTGTTGTAATAGGTGGTGTCGTGCGCGTCGCACGCGTGCTTCAGTGTCATGTGGAAGTTGAGGGCGTCCTCCTCGTCCAGGTAGTACGGCGTCAGGTCCGTGCCACCGCCGAACCACCACTGCACTCCTGCGCACGGCATTACAAATCCAGACATAATAATAATAATAAAGCGTAAAAAAAAGCAAAAGCTGTGTTAATAAGACAACACTGATAATGATAATAATTCAGGACAATTCATACAACGATATCTAGTCCCAAGCTAAGCAGAGCTTGTGTTATGGATTTATTTATATCGATTTCGCTATTTGGCAGTTTGTATTCACATACAATTCTTAAAAGAGTTATTTTAAATAACATTTAGCTAGCTTAACTTGGGTTTAGATGGTGCTGTGTGAATGGTCCGGAGATTATTATTATTATTGTAATGTATTTAAATAAATAAAATACTAAATTGCGTTTCACATTTAATTAGACCGTTCCCGCCATTTTAACAATCAGCCTCTGTCAACTGCACAGAGTACGTTATAAGCAATATTAATTATTTTTAAATTTTCGTGTTTAATATACATTATTTAAATTATTAACCGGGTCTTAACACAAATAATTTTATGGCAATTTGCTCGTGACCACGGCTAGTGCAACCTAGTCGAAACGTCGAGAGAGGTAAATACCTTTATTTGCCATAAAATTATTCGTGTTAAGACCCGGTTAATAATTTAAATAATGAATATTAATTATGCCAAAGACTATATATACTACAATTATAATACATGTACATCGTGAGAAGTCGGGGCGGGTAGTTAGTATCGTATAAATGCAACATAGAATCGTATGCAAAAAATTATGATATAAAAATTTGACGTTCATAAGCGGCTAAAATGTCCTACATGAATAATTGATTTTTGCATTTGAATATAATGATGGTTTTTTTTCGGACTACTCTAATGCTGTTGGCCGCAGCTGGCCTTTACAGCTTCACCGGACGTTAGGGGGCGAGTGCAGATGGCACTCCAAACTGTGGAATGACTTATGGAGCGGCTGAAGGCCAACTCCTGCCTGACGGATACGACTCTAGTCTGAGGGCACCGCTAGGGGTTCGAACCTCGGATAATGATGGCAAGGGGCCTTTCAAGTATTACGTAAGAACTATGAGGGGCAAGGGGGTTTTTGCATTTCTTATTTTAGATGACATGGGGGGTAGGGGAGTCTAGATGATGATTACGTCATCGGTAGTCATTTACTTTTTTACACGAATGGCAACCCTCACATTGTCTTTGCTAAAAAACAATACATTAATTGAAAAATGTTTACGTAAGCAGGAGGCTGTAAGGTGGTAAGGTGGTAAGGTTGTACTGACAACTTACCGTCTTTGTCTTGCACTTCGAAATAGCGGTAGTTGAAGTGTATGGTGGGTACCATGGGATTCCTAGGGTGTATTACGGCGCTGACGCCTGCAGCGAAGAATGGTAGCTCTGCATTCTCCAATTTTTTACCTCTGTTGAATAGCAAATAAAAATAAAAATCATGGGACCTTACCACGTTTATTTTTATTGAGTTCCCGATATTTCGACAGTGTTAAACCAGTGTGGAATACCACCACCACTGCCACTTATTTGGTTATAACTATTTTATATGCTTTATATTTCGAATACCAAAATTATATTCTAAATTGTCACTACTATCTATTGTTCTTTTTCGGTTTCCCGTCCTGGCCCTAGTTAGTAGTGTTTCTTTATAATATTAATATATACAATATATATATATATATCCTACAACTCCCTGGTTTCCTTTATCGCCCACAACCAGTATAAAAAAAACAAATAATTAAAGTAATGGGACTGGACTGTTTAAGTTATGTTCCGTATGAAAGTCCCGGCAAAATTGGTCAAGTCGTTTTAGACATCAACAAGAGCAGACAGTTGAACAAAAAATTTTTGAATTTTTTTTCTGGAAATGCTGTTTATACATTCATATGCTGTTCAAAACACTGGGAAGGGGCAGAGGGGTGAGGCACCTGCCGGCACTGCTGGTCGGCTAAGCAACCTTTTAGACCTACGAGAATCATATATATCACTACGACTGATTTAATCTTATTGTGTATTTATATTTGACCCTAATAAATTAGTGCTGGTTGGTAGTTTGTATTCACACGTTTCGACTTGTAAAATGTGAAGGATTGTTTAAAAGAGCAATACACAAGTTTCTTGCTCGTTCTTCTTGTGATGAGACAGCTTTCCGAATGAGCGGTAGATTAAAAAAATGTCATGACGATTCTAAGTGCTTAAATTAAGTTTATTTGAATAATTATTTTCTATTTTAATCACTGAAAGTTTTTATATTCGTTTATGTATATTTAAAATATGAGTTCTTTTTATACGTTTATTTTATACATTTCTGTCACTGCGTTCTGCTATAATAAGGATCTCTACAAGCATCTGTATTATTTTCATTAATTCTTACTCAACCGGTCTGCCATTCCTACACTAGAGCACAGCAACAAGTTTCAACAACAAGTTTCACTTAATAATAATTACCATAAAAATAGAAATAATCTTTATTCAAATAAACTCATTACAAGCACTTTTGAATAGTCATATTTTGATTCTACCACTCATTCGGAACGCAGATTCATTACAAGAAGAATGAACAATAAACTTGTGTGTTGCTTTTTTGAATAGATGTTTTTTTTATATAAATAATTACAGTATAACAAGAGGCATGCGATAATCAACATAGAAATCGCTACACACTCATTATTAGTGTAGTCAGATAATATTGTCAGCGCTATGGATTTTAAGTTCATAAAATTGTCTGTAGATTATAATTTAATACAATCATTTAAACTGTTCTTGAAATTTATTTTATGTGTTCATAATTCGATATATAAGTATTTAGTGAAAAGTTGTTAATTTAAAATTATAATATCTTACAATTATTTATATAGATATGTTAATTTCATCATTTCGCAATACACAATATGGATAACAGTATAACATACAGTATGATAACAATAACTTATTTGTCAAATTATGATAACTAGTTCGGAAGTTATTAACAAACATATGAACATATATAGTGGTCAATATAACTCTCCTTTTTCCTTTTCGTAGTCGGGTAAAATATTCTATATAAATATCATAAATCATAGTACAGTAATGACTATATGTCATACGCCGCGTGTCTGTATGTTGTTATATCGATGAACTCATAAAGTACTGAACGGATTTTCATCCAACAATAGGTATATATAATTCAGTAAATTTTTATGTAAATTGGTTAAAACATTAATATAAAACCGGGTTGGGTTGCCAGTATAGATTAAAATAATTACAGAACTAAAAGAGTGAATCAGTCATACGAATAAGAAATATATATAACATTTTGCATGAGATACAGAGAAGTCTCAATGAAAAAAAAAATTGTCTCAAATATTTGTTACAATCAGTTACAATGCATATTTATTATATTATGAAAAAATAATACTAAAAACTAGAATCAAATAAAAAAAATTACTATAAAATAAAATAAAAACTAAATAATAAATACTAAATACTAAAAAACTTAAGTCTAAATTAAGCGCACACAAAGTTAACCAGAAATGTAGTGAGTGAACATAAAATCGGAAACTTTATCAATAACATTTAATATTTATATAATTACTGTTTTTTATATTTAAAAACGTCGCTGTAATACTTTATAAGTACAAAGGGACGAATACAAAAAATGCCAAATTTCATTAAAATCGGTAAAACAGTTCATACCCGATCCATACTTACTCCACCAGTCAAAACGAAACGTTAGCGCGTTTTAATTTTCACGCAGCGCCATCTATCGGCACATTTGAGAACTTCATGCAGCATACTTTTGAAGCAGGGGTAAGCTCCGGAGCCGTAACCGAAACTATCGGATATCCGATATAAAAAAATCATATGTCAAATATAAAAAATATTCGTAACCGAATCCGAAATAAATGTTTGGATAATATCGGATAGGGGCGGAGCCTAATTGAGACACGTTATGTAACCATTTTATTAGCTATTTGTATTTTACTTTTGAAATTCCTTAAAAAATAATATCCGTAATCGAAATTATCCGAAACTAACGGATAATCCGAAGTCATTTCATATCCGCATCCGTATCCGTATCCGGTATAACAATCATTTCTATATCCGAAACCTATCCGTATCCGAAATTTCATATCCATAACATCCCTGTTGTATTCCTTTCCGTATTTTTTTAAAGATTTTTTTTTATATTGTAATGGGGAGAAACTGATTGTTACAGCCTATGCTGAAAATAAAAATGACGTAGTGGAGTAAGTTGAAACAGTCATGCTCGCTATAAAGTTCAAACTTGTGGCGGCATGATGATAGGCCGGGTCATTCGTAACCGTAACTGAATCCGATATTAAAGTTTCGGTTAATATCGGATAGGGGCGGAGCCTAATTGAGACACGTTGTGTAACCATTTTATTAGCTATTAGCTGATTCCGCGACTTCGTCCGCGTGGATTTTAACTTTATTTTTCTAAAATAAAAGCCTTTGTTACGCCTTATTACATCAGCTACTCAAAGTCAAGAGTAAGGTAGGTATAGATAATACATGTACCGTGCGAAGCCGGGGCGAGAGTACACTATAATTTATTTTAAAATAGCAGACAAGTAATAACTACTACAACACAGTGCACAAACTTGGCAATAAGCTCAACATGAATTCATATTTTTGAAGAAAGGACAAGGTGCTTCAAAACAGGGATGTTATGGATATGAAATTTCGGAAACGGACAGGTTTCGGATATAGGAATGATTATTATACCGGATACGGATACGGATATGAAATTGTTTCGGATCATCCATTAATTTCGGATAATTTCGGTTACGGATATTAATTTTATAAGGTATTTCAAAAGTAAAATACATAATACGTAACTTTGGCTACTTTTATATTAGTTTTTTTTTACTTTAGAAAAATAAAGTAAAACTAATTAACTTTTTTGTTAAATTCCACGCGGACGAAGTCGCGCGTACAGCTAGTTGTCAAATATAAATTTAATAATTGTCACCCGCACCCTACTACAGGCACACAGTATAAATGCAATGCAATATTTAAGATTTGAAACTATTTCAAAAAATGAGCCAGTTGAATTTCTTGCCAGCACTTCTCAACCAAAACAGCCAAACAGGGATAGTGAAATATGGCGGAAACAAGAGGCTGAAAGAATAGAATAGAATAACATTTATTACATCACACATCTCAACACAATAAAAACGACAGCTTACAGCTGCATATAAATTATTATATAAGATAAACGTAAATAAAAAACAATTCATTATATTAGAGATGAAATCATTATATACAGAAAAAGAAAGAAATAAAAGAACAAAATAGTAACAAATAAATAATAATAATAAAAAACCAATAATAGATAATAATAATGAAGTAAAATGCATTTCCTATCCACCACTGCGGAGCATCGTCACCGCGTCACTGTAAAGAGAGACTGTTTTATCAGCCTTTGTCCCCTCAGATCGATTCCCCGCCCCATTCAAACGGGGATCGAAATTATGACGATCTGGGCCGAGGTTCGAACCCCTAGCGGTGCAACCAGACTAAAGTCGCATCCATCAGAAGGCCCTCAGACTAAAGTCGTATCCATCAGAAGGGAGTTGGCCTTCAGCCGCTCCATAAGTCCTTCCTTGGTTTGGAGTGCCATCTGCACTCGCCCCCTATCGTCCAGTGAAGCAGTAAAGGCCAGCTACGGCCAACAGCATTAGAGTAGTCCGAAAAAAAAAAGATAAATATTTGTATTCATTCATTCATTCATGAATACAATTGGTCTTACCCCGATTATTTTTTTTATACAAAACGATTACACCAGCACCCTGTATCTGTATATTTGTTTGTGTCGACTATCGAGTATGAACTTTCTTACGGATATTAAGTATCGTAGTTAGACTTAGAAAATTTGTTGTTTTAGGTTTCGTTAGGTAGCTTACAGGTCAGAGCCACGGTGGGGCAAGCATCCTACTGCTCCACCATGGCTATGCCCATATGTGTTGGCATATTACCTGCTCCTCATCTGCTGTACAGCCGCCGGGGGCAGTTTCCCTGATACCACAGATAAGTTCACGTTCGGCCTTTTCGAACTTAGGTAGCTTAGAGGTCGGAGCCAGGATAGGGCAAGCTAGGACACCCTGGCCCACCGTGGCTACGCCCATATGTGTCATGTTACATTACCTGCTCCTCATCTGCTGTACAGCCGCCGGGGGCAGTTTCCCTGATACCACAGATAAATTCACGTCGGCCTTCTCGAACTTAGGTAGCTTAGAGGTCGGAGCCAGGATAGGGCAAGCTAGGACACCCTGGCCCACCGTGGCTACGCCCATATGTGTCATGGTACATTACCTGCTCCTCATCTGCTGTACAGCCGCTGGGGCAGTATCCTTAACAACAGATATGTTCACGTTGGCCTTCTCGAACTTAGGTAGCTTAGAGGTCGGAGCCAGGATAGGGCAAGCTAGGACACCCTGGTCCACCGTGGCTACGCCCATATGTGTCATGTTACATTACCTGCTCCTCATCTGCTGTACAGCCGCCGGGGCAGTATCCTTAACAACAGATATGTTCACGTTGGCCTTCTCGAACTTAGGTAGCTTAGAGGTCGGAGCCAGGATAGGGCAAGCTAGGACACCCTGGTCCACCGTGGCTATGCCCATATGTGTCATGGTACATTACCTGCTCCTCATCTGCTGTACAGCCGCCGGGGCAATATCCTTAACAACAGATATGTTCACGTTGGCCTTCTCGAACTTAGGTAGCTTAGAGGTCGGAGCCAGGATAGGGCAAGCTAGGACACCCTGGTCCACCGTGGCTATGCCCATATGTGTCATGGTACATTACCTGCTCCTCATCTGCTGTACAGCCGCCGGGGCAGTATCCTTAACAACAGATATGTTCACGTTGGCCTTCTCGAACTTAGGTAGCTTAGAGGTCGGAGCCAGGGTGGGGCAGGCTAGGACACCCTGGTCCACCGTGGCTACGCCCATATGTGTCATGGTACATTACCTGCTCCTCATCTGCTGTACAGCCGCCGGGGGCAGTTTCCCTGATACCACAGATAAGTTCACGTCGGCCTTCTCGAACTTAGGTAGCTTAGAGGTCGGAGCCAGGATAGGGCAAGCTAGGACACCCTGGTCCAGGTACCTGCTCCTCATCTGCTGAACAGCCGCCGGGGGCAGTTTCCCTGACACCACGGATATGTTCACGCCAGCCTTCTCGAACACCCGACCGTCTTGCAGCACGCATGTTATGCCTCCACCGCCTTCTTTTCGCGTCCACCGATCCACTTTGAACTTAGCGTCCTGAGGATATGGTTTAATTTAGACAATTATCTTTATTAATCTTGTTGAAGATTCATAATATTTTAATAAATACATATTATACATCTTTTTTTACAATTCACACAGCGCCATCTAGTCCTACAGTCCGGCCGGGAGAGTTTGCGTTTCGGACAGCTCAGGATCGAAAGAGCGATGTAACTTTGAACTTACGTACAATTTAACGCAAAATTTAAAATATCTTATATTTATCTTATTAACTAGTGATTTTTAACATTGAATAATTATTCCAACTTACAATAAACGTATTAATTTTGGGTTAAAATTATTAACTACTTAACAAATATAAAAACAATAGTTTTTAAAAGTCAAACCAAATCAAACTGCGCTGTTTCAAGGTTATGTCAACTGGATGTTATTCTAGTGATGTGAAATAACCTTGAAACAGCGTAGTTTGATGTGGTTTGACTTTTAAAAACTATGTATGTACGTCAGTTCAAAGTTACATCGCCCATTCGGTCCCGATCTGTCAGAAACGCAAACTGAGTGGTCGGACCTCAAGCTAAGCAGAGCCAGTGTTATGGGTACTAGACATCTACTGAGGTTATTATTATTTAGTATGAAAGGTTTATGTTTAGATTCTACTTAATAGACACATGTACAAACTATATAGAGTCATACAAACAATAATCTCAGGACAATTCACACAGCGCCATCTAGTTCCAAGTTAAGCTAGCTAAAGCTTGTGATATGGGTACTAGATGACTGATACAAATACATCGTTTTTTTCGTAAATACATACATATTATACATAAAAAACACCCAGACCGATACAAACAATCATACTCATGAATACAAATGTTTGTGTCGTCCGAAGAATCGAACCCGCGACCACCGGAAGTAAGGCAGTGTGCTAAACCGCTAGACCACCGAGGCCGTCATGCATGAAATATGCTTGTTCATAACACAAATATTATTATAGTGCGGGGAATGAACTCATGACATTGATAGGTGTTAAACCACTACGTCACTCAGACTAGAATAGTTCTAAGTGGAAATTCTGCATCATTCGATAATGTACCTAACATTTTTTTTTTATTTATTACTCTTTTTATCTGCGAGCAGCCTTACATATTAAATTTTACACTTACATATTTTTACTTACATATTGAATTTTTTCAACTTGAATTTCTTTTATTCAAAATTAAAAAAAAAACAATATATCTTTATTCATGTAGGTCTACTTCAGACTCTTATGATATGTCAAATCTACAGTTTTACATAAGGATACCTATATAATGTATATAATCCAATTAACAAAAAAAGTGATTCAATTGAGTTTCTTGCCAGTTCTCAATTGGATCTATATACCGAACTGGACGGTAGGGAAAAAATTAAAATTATAATATAAAAAATTTGACGTTCATAAGCGGCTAAAATGTCCAACATGAATAAATGATTTTTGAATTTGAATTTGATATATGGGAAAGTTTGTGAGTATGGATGGATGTTTGTTACTCTTTCACGCAGAAACTACTAAACGGATTTTGTTGAAACTTTACACTAATATAGCTTATACATTAGAGTAACACATCTATACATATAAATAAAATTGGAGTGTCTGTTTGTAATATTGAAATAATCGTATTTTATTACATGCTTATTAATATAAATACGGTACATACACCAAAATATAATTTTATACAATTTTTGTCAGTCTGTCTGTTTGTTCCGGCTAATCTCTGAAATGGCTGAACCGATTTTGACGGGACTTTTTTTGGCAGAGATATTGTAATAAGAAGTAACTTAGGCTACTTTTATTCTGGAAATGTTCTTTTATTTTAGAGAAATAAAGTTAAATTCCACACGGACAAAGTCGCGGGTACAGCTAGTGAATAAGTTAAGGTTTAATTTAAGATAGCAATGCATACCGGATGTGGTAAGTACACGTCATTATCAAAGTCATATTCGTCAACGGTTTTCTCGTCATTCCATGCCTACAACAGAATGGTATTATGAGTATATGATTACCATGAATATCTATACATATAAATAAAATTGCAGTGTCTGTTTGTAATATTGAAATAACCGTTTTTCACTACATGCATGTGAATATAAATACGGTGTATACACCAAAATAACATTTTTTACAATTTTTGTCTGTCTGTCTGTTCCGGCTAATCTCTGAAATGGCTGGACCGATTTTGACGGGACTTTTATTGGCCGGTAGCTGATGTAATAAGGAGTAACTTAGGCTACTTTTATTTTGGAAAAATAAAGTCACGTTCCACGTGGATGATTTACAATTTTTCTCTGTCTGTCTGTTTGTTCCGGGTAATCTCTGAAATGGCTGGACCGATTTTGACGGAACTGAAGAGGTGGCTTCTTTATTATAATGAGTGATAATATAATGATCGTGATAAATTCACCGGGAATTTATCACGATGGTATCCAGAGGAACCGCGTGGTCAACCTGACATGGTACATTGTTAGCAATGAGAACATCAGTCCACATTACTAACGATGCTCTTCCCCGCGACCTCCATGTGTTTCCCCCTGGAAACCATCATGTTAAATTTCTGGTGAATTTCTCGCAATGGGCTATCTGATCTGACCTGTATATATGGTTAGCGCAGGCGGGTACAGAACCGCATGAAGGTTAACCAGCTATGGTAATGGACCCAATAATAATATAGTCTTATTTCACAATATGTGCCTCCAGCACATTTACTCATCTCCAGCTCTCTCCACTGAACTCTGTCTTCTGGAACCCTGTTCCAGAACGGCCCCAGAGTCACGGTTGATATCCTCTTTCTAATAGGACCAATAGTCATTACTAAAAACACCTATCCGGAAAGGTGATAAGAGCTTGTATGTATAACACTAGTTGCTGCTGTTTTAACAGTCAATTAAGTAATGTTATTTATAAGGACAGAACCCAATGGCATCCAGTTTCTGCTTACCCTATAAACAATAGAATGATTGAGCATGCTTCTTATATAATAAAATGTCCTAACTCAAAAGCTACACTACTGAAAAATCTACTTTATCTGCAATGATTTAAGGTATAATTTTCAATATAAGTAAGTTCTGAGTTAGTGTAATTTATTTTTAGTTTTTGTAATATTTTTTTATAGATGATAAGGTAATGATTCACCCTCCTGCACTAACGTTATGCACTGCCGAGGCTCCAGTGGAGGATGATAAGATGAGCATGAGGTCAGATCAGTTAGCCCATTATGAGAAATTCACCAAATATTTCTCTTATTGGATGATAATGTAATGTTTCACCCTCCTGCGAGGCTCCAGTGAAGAATGATAAGATGAGCATGAGTTCAGTTAGCCCAACACCATTTGATCTGTATGACCACACCTCATCTTCCTCTTTCTCCAGGGCACGACAAAACTCAGCCTGTATCCGCATTATGAGTAACTCCATTTGTGTTTTCATATCTTCTCCATTCTTCTCCAGCTGGCTGACGGGTGTTATTGGCTCGGCCATATAGTTGTTCAGTTGTATGATCTCCTTCATCTCAGCTGTGTTTTTTTTATGCTGGCTGTATGCCATGTATCCTGCGCCTACTAAAGCTGCACAGTATAATCTGGAAGTATAGATACAAATTAATATTCAAAACATTTTATTTAAATTCTTTTGAATGAAAATATTAATAATACCTCTTGAGAATTCACAGTGTCATCTAGTCCGAAGGTAAGCAGAGTTTGTTTTTATGGGTACTAGACAACTAATGTAAATAGTATTAGTATAGATGAGTACTTATAGGTTTAAGAAAATTATATGTTTAACATTACATTGAACTGAATCAAATAAATTGAAAAAATTAAAATCCATTGAAGTAATGGCTGTATAGTTTAGAAGCCTTTGCCTACCTATATGACAAATATGAAAAACAACAACAATAATTACAATACCATAGTATCTACTTTTGATAGTTTGCTTAAATATAAGTTATTTATGAAATCTTCTTCTGATGAGACAGTTTTCCGAATGAGTGGTAGATTAAAAAAATGTAATGACTATTCAAAAGGGGTTCAATGTAAGTTTATTTGAATAAATGATTTTCTATTCTATCAAAATTTTTGTTTTATTAAAATTTTCACTGTGAAAACTTATCTCACAATCCGTATTGATCACCATATAAGATCATAAACTCGTAATCTAAGGATAATAACTTATAACTTACAACAATAATTACAATACCATAGTATCTCCAATTAAAAAAAATGTGTTACTCCTTGTTTATAAAATAATTATTCTAATTAGAATAGATATAAGACATAAAAAATGGAAATCCACTGAAGTACTGGCTGTATGGTTTAGAAGTCTTTGCCTGCCTATACAGCAAATATTAAAAAAACAACACTCACTACAATCTCCAATTAAAAAAAGAGTTACTCCTTGTTTTTTAAATAATTTACCTAATTTGAAAACATGATACAGTAGTCAAATCAAAATTTATTTATAAGAAAGTATATTTTTTATAAATAAATAATTAACATTTCTTAATAAATTAAATGTCCTATTTTATGGAAAATTTGTGGGACAATTAATTAATTTTATGAGCTGCATTAGAAATAAAGGTTTTGACACAAGCTGTCTGATGAATGAGAATAGTACTGTGCAGTATGGAATTGTAATAAGGTTTATTTTCCAACGATTGGATTTATTTACCATAACAGGATGGAAAACTTTAACAGAATGGAATGATACATTGACCATTAAATATTTATTACTATAAAATATATTGATTAAATATTTATTCTTAATAAATATATACGTAAACAAATATTATGTATATTATTATAATAATTAAGTTAATTGCATTTAATTTTTTTTTAAATAAGTTCTATTAAAGTTAGTTTTAAATTGTGAACACTTCAGTTCAAGATAAAGTAGTTGATAAAACTGATTGATTCGAAGTATAATCTATATCTATACATATATGTGCCATAGGCAGGTAACATAACCCAAAGAGAATGATGTAATGTATTTTAGAATAATTACTGCATTATTTGTTCACGTAAATCGCTAAAGAATTATATTATTGTGAATACTTTTCGAAAGCTGAGTACAACTTTTTACTAACACAACTAAAGGCAAAAACTTCAGGTTAGAAATTACTCACTTAATTGGACGATCTTTAATTTTTCTGTAACTGCCCACATAACTCAGAGTTCTAATGCTTTGCACAATTATTTTGAGCGTCATCTTTATATAAATAATAAATAAAAATAACTAAAAATAACAGTATTTCTCCAGGGTTGTTTTGACAGTTTAAATTTTTTTTATTTGTTTATCACTTTATGTTTTAAAGGACATGCAAAGGGAGCTGCGCCCATACAGCCATGTCTGCATGATTTTCAAATTTATATTTTTTTATAAATTGTCTTGTTAAAATGGTTTAGTCGTACAATGTAAACAATGTCGTTGAGTCTTTTAATAATTCCTGAAGAAAGCGCGGGATATGCTCTTCATTATGGTAGATATTAAGGAGTCTTCTGGGTAGCAGTACTCATTATAGAAAAATTTGACGATTTCTCAAACAATGACAGATGACAAGCGGTGTACTGTCACCGTGATGTTATGATACAGCGCCGGCTAGTGGCTGACACGTGAACTAGTTATCAGTCAGCTGTATTTTTTCCTCTGCAAGACGAGCCTATATGCGCAAATATGCGTTCATCTCTTTCCCGAGCAGGTACAGTGACATCGATCGGTCGCGGCGCGCTCTTTCCGGCCAGTCCGCGGCGGCCTCGCTGACGTGTCGCCAGTGCGCGTGTGTAGTCCCAGTGAGTCTCCGCTATCGATCCGCGAACGGAGCCGCATTGCTGTACATTCCGGAGGCGGTGCCTCGCCTGGTTTCCGTCGATTGTCGGCGCGGCTGGCGCGAGTCGGCGTCGGCGGCGGCCCGCGGGCCTGCGCAGTAGAGGCGCGAGTGGCGCGGGAGAGCCCGACCTTCCTTCCGCCAAAACCGGCTCGCTGTCCGCGGCGGACGGCTGTGATGTAGCCGGGGCCGGCGCGAGCGGCCTTCGGACAAAGGACCCGCCACCGATCGGTGATTCGCGATGAAGAAGTTCACGTTCAAGGGGGTGCTGGACGGGTTCCGCAGCTCGGTGCAGGCCGCGCCGCGAGGCCTCGACCAGGAGATACAGGAGACGCTGCGCCCGGACCACTTCCAAATTAAAAAGGTATGTTGTTGTTTTATCGCGCGCCGACCCAAAGTTCTGCAGATAATGGCGATGAGCCGCGGCCACGGCGGGGAGAGGGGCTCACTACGCTCCACTGAAGTGGAGTATTATTAAAAACGGTCCACCTGAGCGTCGGTCGCGTGCTGTCCGCGCTCTCCACGCACCAAAACAATGCCGTCAACACTCCCAAACAAGCTGTTGCTGCATTGACAACTCGCCCGTCCAATTTTAGTTTAATTTACCTAAAAGCTGTATTAGGTATCGTTTAATATTCTTCGAGCAATTACTGCGTTGCATGTTCGTTCAACATAACCTTGGCCATCTAATCTGAAAAGCACGTTACTGTAATTTCCGGAATGCATTCCCTTTCAATCGATGTTTACTAGGTCAACTCTTAAAATATTTTAGCATTTGCGTATATTGACTTGACAACATATTACCATGCACTAGACTTGTGGGCGGTGGAATAGAGCCATCATATTGAACTGATAACTGATAAGATAACGGTGCACTCAATAAAGACTAACAAGACTCCAAGTATTTTATGGGCAAATATAATGAAACGAATGTCGAAAATATCCCCATCCGAAGTCAAAACAAAAGAGGTACCTTTAAGAGCTTTCTAGAATTTCTTGTTTATAAAAAGACTGAATAACAAAGGAATACTTGGGATGTTGATAGGTAGTAGGTATTTTTTTATGAACGAATCAGCTTCTAGAAAATTCTAGTGGCCCTAGAAGTCATGAAAGAGAATTTTGATGAAATACCTGCAATTGAAAATTGCTCTTAAAGTTTCGATTCCTGTCTGCATGTATATTTTTTTACGCAGTTAAATAATGGAACCCAAATTCTTTTCAAATTCACATCTGGCTCTTAATTTCTATGTAATTTCTATGGAGAGAAACGGTTAATGAATCATTAGCTTACATACCTTAATTCCTTATTGTTTGAGGGTCCAATTAAGGATTTCGAAAGCACCCACCCTTAAACAACTCTCCAATAGTTTTTATAAGTATAAAGTTTTGATAGTGTGCTTAAAATATATGAGTTATTTATGAAATCTTGTGATGAGACAGCTTTCCGAATGAGCGGTAGATTAAAAAAATGTAATGACTATTCAAAAGTGCTTCAATGTAAGTTTATTTGAATAAATGATTTTCTAATCTATCAAAATTTTTGTTTTATTAAAATTTTCACTGTGAAAACATAACTCACAATCCGTATTGCTCACCATATAAGATCATAAACTCGTAATCTAAGGACGATAACTTATAGTATTACAAAAAATAGAATAGAAATAATCTTTATTCAAATTAACTTCATTTTAAACACTATCTGTTAGTAATTTTTGATTCTACATCTCGGAATGCAGATTCAACTAAGAAAAATGTGGCTATAACATTGGGAGTCTCATTTTTTTCAGATTCAGCTAAGAAAATAAACTCGGCAGTCGCACTTTTCTACAAAAGTTGAAAAACCTTACATGTTTAACTACGTAGCACCGCATACTTATTGTTTTTAAAATGACTCATGTTGTTCCATAAAAACCAATTACTTAAGTATATTTTCAGGACAAAAACTTTTTTACCGTGGCCAATATAACCCCGAGTTTCACCCACACGTCAAGATCTGAACGCACCGTCGCCAACTAATGATGGATTGAATACTTACGCACACAAGAAAGTTAAAATAATATAGGAAACTTTTGCTATTAAACCTGCTGTACCTCTTCTGTTAGAACTACGTATCGTATAAGCCATTTATTTCACGTGGAGAACATTATTCAGTTGGAATATTGAATTAGCGGCGTAACTTTTCCTCGGTTTATTTTTAGGAAGAGCTACAGGAAAACTAAGTTTTCATTCAACGTTCATAGCCTGGATTTGAGGATATAAAAGGATGCAAGCGGCTGTGGCAGGTGTTTTTTATTTATCTGTTTTGTACATGTTTTGAAAGATTGGATCATTGTTTTCCTTTGTCGTGTCGTGAAGACCCTATCTGAGTTTCCCAAATATATCTTCAAACTTGTGAATAGTGACCCCATTGCTTGCAAGGCTAATTAACCTCCACCCGGTTTCCCCTGGAGATTAATTCCTTCTTATTTAATCACAATAAGCAATCTGTCCTGACTTCATGTTCGTCTTATCATCCTCCATTGGTACCCCGCTAGCGTATACTGTCAGCGCCGACGGACGAATTTACCATTAGCGACAATTAACAAAAAACTTTAAACAATTTACATCTATTTACTTTGCCTCCTTCCAGAAAGGAATAAATTAATGGCAAATGTGTTTCAAACTGTTCAAGTACAGTTCCAATGTATTACTTAGACAAGAATTAACACTAAACCCCAATTACTAATATGTAATTATGGTACCAGATTTACTTTAACAATACATTACAATTTAACATTTTTGTCAGTTGTAATTTGAAACTGCCGTCGGAACCGGATAGTTTGCAGTTTTTTATGGATGATACAGGAATGGAGCTCGACTGTTGCTAACAGTTTATGCTGCTGAAGACTGCTGCTGGAGAATGATGAAATGAACATGAAGTAAGGTCAATTGGTTAGTAACCTTAAAACATTTAGTCTCTAGCAAAGAAATAAAAAGTCTGATAGAATCTCGTATATTACCTCATTTGCGTGGTACATTGAGCTCCCTAAAATATGGTCGAGCGCAGAGATGGCTGGCTCATTCGTCATACTCCTGAACGAGTGCTGCTTGTAGGACTGGTTTGCTCTTATCACTACGACTGATTTAATCTTATTGTATATTTATATTTGATTATAATAAATTAGTGCTGGTTGACAGTTTGTACTCACACGTTTCGACTTGAAAATGTAAACTTACAAGGACTATTTAAAAGAGCAACACACAAGTTTCTTGCTCGTTCTTGTCATGAGACAGCTTTCCGAATGAGGGATAGATTAAAAAAATGTTATGACTATTCGGAAATGCTTAAATTAGGTTTATTTTAATGAAGGATCTTCTATTCTATTTGAGTTTCTAACCTCGTACAGCTTAGGATTTCAACCGATTTTCGTAGGTCAAAATCTCGTAAATGATAGAGAAAATGTCCTCGTAATTAAGACCAAATGTACTATGGATAACATAATTATTGATAACAATTAAGATTCCTGCCTCCATTACTATTATTAATATTGGACTTGTCTATTTTATTATTTCTCCGAATTCCATAATTATTACACATTCAGAATTTCTCGTTAGTAGAAGATTCGTTATATGAGATCAAATGCAAATAAAATTCTTTATTCACACATTCATTTTATTGAAATAAAATAAAATTTCTGTATACGTTTGAAAATGAAAGCTTTTGTTTCCAACAATTTGAATTACTTTACGTTTATTACGTTTTTTAATGTAGATATGCATATGTTTAGAAATAATAATAATATAATAATAATCTCAGGACAATTCACACAGCATCGTCTAGACCCAAGTTAAGCTAGCTAAAGCTTGTGTCATGGGTCCTAGACAACTGATACAAATACACAGATAATTTTTTTTTTTCGTAAATACATACATATTATACATAGAAAATACAAACAATCATACTCATGAATACAAATGTTTGTGCATATCGGACGTTTAGAAATAAAATATAGCGATGAATTTAGATTTTTGTTCTTGTTTTCATTTTTAATTCTATTCCTTTTGTTTCAGTTCTTTGTTTATTTATGCATATTGGTATTATACTGCAATACTCATGAAGAGTGTGAAATTTTATAAAGTTTCACCCTATATCAATATGAAATATGGCCTATGTGTTATTCTGGTGCATAAGTTATATTACGGTAAAGTTGCATCAAGATCCGTTCAGTAGTTATTGCGTGAAAGAGTAACAAACATCCACACTTATAAACTTTCGCATTTATAATATTCTAATGCCCAATTTACACTCAGCCAGAGTGGGCAGGGAAGTGAGCAGCGCGAGAGTGTAAACACGAGTGGAAACACTTACCATGCCATTGGCGCTGCCACTCGCGCTGCCCGGCGCTCCCTCGATTGTCGGTTTTTCGTGCGCGAGTCAAAGGACTGGCAGCGCGAGTGGCAGCGTGTTTTTACATTCAGCCCTCTCGCTCAGTTGTCGCCCGGCAATATTTCCGGCAGCGCGAGTGGCAGGGGAAGCGGCAGAATGTAAACGTAGCAGATTCAGATTTATTCTGAACTAGCTGTGTTCGCTCTTTGTAATATTCTGTTTATAGTGTTCCGATTTTTGTGATTAATATGCACACAAACAGTCAAACATAAACTATTTGTGATGTTATAATAATAATAAATAACCCTGGACAATTAACACAGCGTCATCTAGTCCTACGGTAAGCAGAGCTTGTATTATGAGTACTAGACTACTGATAGAAAATAATTAGATCGATACAAACAATCATACTCATGAATACAATAGATTACACCATGCGAGGGATCGAACTCGCGTGCATCGGAATTAAATCGGTGTGCCAAACTGCTAGACTACCAAGGCCGTCAAAAAAAAGGTATAACATTTCGTGGAATGCATCCATTTCATAAAACCGTCTGTTACAATGTACGATCAATGTTCTGATTAGGTCACGACATGCCTATGCAATGCATTATAGAAAATGTGGCTGCAAACACGTTTTTTTACTATAGAAATAGAAATAATCTTTATTCAAACAAACTTAATATAAGCACTTTTGAATAGTCTCATTTTTTTTATTCTACCACTCATTCGGAACGCAGATCCATCGCAAGAAGAATGAGCAAGAAACTTGTTTGTTGCTCTTTTAAATAAAAGTAGATTTCTTTAGTTAAAAAAGTATACGGTGTAATTTCAACGTAGTTTAATAAAATATTAGCGAATCTGTATCTAAATCTTGAAATAACTTTAGAATGGAGAGTATATTAAAAAAATATTCAAATAAATTCCACCTAGGAACCCTCTGAGGGTAGGCTAACTCACCTGACCTTTTACTCATTTTGTTTCCTCCACTGGTGCCT